TTGTGTAACTTGAGTCATTCAGCACAGGCGATGCATGATTCTTGTACACTATCTAGGAATAGTTCAAAATGCCAGCTAATAACCTTAGTCCTCCCATTCACCTTTGTTGTCCAATCCAATGCATACGAACGATTGTCTTGCTCCAGCCCATCATCTCCACCATTCAACTTTCTTGATTCGAGTTGACCTGATAGTAAGGCAATGGCTGTTGTTGGATCATCATTATCATGTAGAGTGTAAAATGGCACACACCCTTTTGCTATACGTGAGGATCATCATTTCTTTTATTTACGTGTACCTGTTGTCTATCGTGAGGGTGATTATCATGATAGGTGGATGGTGTGTATAGGGTAATTGATGAGTGGCCTCAGTGTAATAGCAGTAGGGGGATTTAAACTTGGGGGACAGCAGCTCCACGACTTGAGACAACGCTTCTCTTCTTTTTCTCCCACCTTTCCTTATTCCATTCACGACATTGCGATCAAGGTAGGTAATGTGTTATCAAAGAGTGCTCTTGTTGGCTGTGAGGTATTAATGTAGTTCTGAACATGCATTGTCAGGGAGTGAGCGTGTCCAAGTGCTGAGGAATGAGCGTGTGGGTGGATGGTGGTAGCCATGGCGACATGGTTGCTTCCTCTTGTTCGTTGCTATTCCCGCTCTACGCTTGGTGTCAACAGGTACATTCAGAGTCCAATGTTGCAGCAGAACTTGTTCCATTGACGTGTTAGCTTGTATAGAGGGCAAGTTGAGTCTCAAGACGTGGGCTCGTTTGGGGTTTTGTTTCGGCTTTAACTACCCTACACCATGGTGTTCGGTTTCCAGTAACCAACAACAACGGGTCTTTGTGTATATGGAAAAGGCAAGTGCAATGAAACAAACAATGAAAAAGGGCGTTTATTGTGTATGTGTGCTGATAATGAATTGAATAGGGTTCTTTGGTCAGGCAATGTAACTTGGGGGCATCATCATCTCTTTAAATTCAAGTCCCAGCCTGTATCAAGTGGCCGCTGCGTCGCTCTGCACTAGCCAAGTGTGTTGGAAAAGCTTCTTGGATCGCGTCAAAGACTCTATAGGCTTGCTTTTTTATTTAAAATGACGACGATTACGAGGTTGACAATGATTACAATGATTACGACAATGACGATAATGATGACGATTACGATGGATACGACAATGGCGATGATTACAACAATGACACAAACAAGCGTGGGTTGCCTTCCCTTGCCAAGATGATGTTACCTGATTGCCCCCCTCCATATCTCGCTGACATCTACAAGGAGGCCTGCAAGATTCCATTATCTTACGACGACGACGATCGTGACAATGCAGCTAGACGAAATAAAACATTGTTTATTGCCCCACTTGGACCTTGCTAGCTTAATCCCCTTCTTGCTTGCTTGTGGATGATGGATAGTATAGCTTACTAGATGGAATAAAGGATGTGATTTCATTATTGGTCTTGTAAGAAGTATATGCCTTTTCTGATACAAAGATGAGTTGATCTTTTCATTACAGTCCATTTGAAACATTCAGTAAAACTCGCTTTATTCTTTTTACTGGATGGTCTACCAATTGCCTATTCCATTAAAAGGCACCAGACACATAGCCTTGGAAAGGAATACCCGGTCCTCCAGCACAGCCGCCACCAGCACATCCACCACCAGCACAGCCGCCTTTGTTGTTACCACCGTAGCTAGTAAGCTCACCCAATTGACTGGCTACTTCAGGGCTTATGGTGGTTTTCTCTGATCCAGTTGTCAGCTTGGTATGACGGGCCACGACCCAAATGCTCTTTGAGGATAGTCGCATATCTGAATTCATGCGTGTGATATTAGTTACATACTTTAAAACGGGATAAAGCGGTTTTCTTACCTTTGTGCCAGTATACTTCTTTGTCAGGTGCTGAGGATTCGTCTATAAAAGCATATCATTATATCAGTACGCAATCACCTTGCTATGCTTTCGACCTTTTCCGATGTGCGTACTTATACTATAAGCGCGAGTTAGAGTCATGTACTGAGCCATTGTGCTTAGAACATTATATACTACTCACGTCTTATTCGTTTCATCGGTACCAATGTTTGATGCTGCACAATTGATCTTGCTATGAGAAGGTTTAGTACATGGTGACGAAAAGACGTTGGGGATGTCATTACCCAATGTAGCCGTAGCCAGTGCCTTGAACAGCGTCATACGTGGTAGCTTGTGCATCAGCCGATTCACGATAAATTTGATAAAGCGCTCCCACGTTTCCTATAAAGGCCATGAATACACGATGCATATGCAATGATTAGGGTAACCCTTACGTCGATCATGACAACTTGAATCAAGATGCAAATCCGTTTCACTATATGGCAAACGAGGATTGTCAAATAATGACATCATTTGTATGCTTCATTGTGATTGCACACTTACCCTGGTGCTACGATGACAATGCCATCTGGAAGATTTCCATAAACAAAATCACCTGGATCGTCGGCGAGCACTGCTCCTTTGATTTTGTTAAACAAACTTCTTCCTCCACCGTCATCCATTGGCTGATCGTTATCCTAATAAGCATACAGGGTTAGCGCACGAGAACAATCGTTTCATGTTCCATTACACAAACCTTGTCATTAAGCAAGTTCTTGCCCTTGTAGCTTTTCTTCCATAATTTGTTGGTTGTCGCTTCAAATTTGGCCAATTGGACGGGATCGATATTGTCATCGTGATTGACATACTGCCTCACTCGCTGTAATGTGTATTCTCGGTACTTTTGTGGGTGAAGCATATGGGTGTGCCATGCAAGATCTTTTCAGGGCGTGTTAACTTGACATGATGATAGTATTGTTATTACCGAGGATCTATGTATGTACATACCAATCTCGAGAGTGGGCACCAATATTTCGCCACGATGACGCCTCATCATAGTAAGAAACTTGTAGTATTGCCGAATGCCGCGACCAATACCAAAGGGAACCTGCCAATTGACTACTTGTGTTGCCTTATGATTAAAGTCATGCTGTCGCCCAACCGCCTGAATCAAGTCGATAGAAAATGGAGATGGGTTGCCATGGTAAGCCGATCGAATGCAACCAACAATGCCTAATGTGGTCATACGCCGCATGAGCATGGATACGTAATATGATACATGCCATGCGAATATACTTACGAGTTGTGAGGTGAGGGAAGGTGCAATCCTTCTCCTTTGAACAAGCTTCGATCTTTTCTATTAAGTCATCGATCGAGTCCTTCGGATCAAAGAGACCCGTTGTGGGATATAATCTCTTGCCGATTTCAACAAGTTGGTCCATGGCGCGAGATTCAGGATAATCTATCAAACGCAATGATCCATTACGTCTAAGCAATGTGCCGCTACACAAAGTATCTTAGCTAAACGTTCATAATGACTCAACCCTGTCACTGCTTACGCTAGTCGACATCCTGTACGTTCTACATCCACTGCAAAATTCCTTAGTGAGACGGTGTATACGGTTGTTTCTTCATGACAATGGTGGCATTGGATGCTCACGTTGGGATCAAAACGCCAATTGGTGTATTGCGGCCTGCATAAAAAGAAACATGAGTTTTGTGTTACTTGCATTTGATGAGATGCATGAGCTACAAACCATGAACAAATCATGTCCTTGTTGCAGAAGCTACACTCCATAGTGAAATCGCCCTTGCTCACATTGTCGGCTGTAAGATTATATGGCTCATCATCACCATAAAGCTCTTTCCAAACTTGAAGATCTTTCGCACTTGGCTCTGGCATCAATCCATTGGTATGCTAAATGGATTTATCAAAGTTAATCTTCACGTGAACATGCAGCCGAGGGTGGTTTCTGTTTTGGTGTGTGCTTACCAAAAGTTTCAACGGGAAGTCTGCTTTGAAAGATTGAAATTGAACGTTACGTGCAAGGTCTTCAAAATAACGGAAAGGACTAAGCATATGGGCATGCCACATGTAAGCAACGTCTTTGAAAAGTTAGACTACCACCCATACATTGAAGCTAAACGATGCATTGGCTTTTACCTAAAGGGGGCGGAATTATCTCGGGTTCTTGGCTTGCTTTGTATTGGTCCTGGATATATCGTAGCCAACGTGTATAGCGCACCTCGGCACGGGAAAGCATTATTTTAACAAGATCAGGTCCCAAGGTGCTCTTGTATTGGAGGAACCGCTCCATTAATGAGATGTAATAGAAGCAATTCTCGATCGTGACAACATTGTTCAGTTTTGGGAATGTAACGCCGTCTTCCTCGCTGGGAGGTATTTGAATGTTTGCATACTTCATCGTAGTGTAATAGTGATCTGCACAAGGAAAAACGGTAAATCGATTACTCTTTTATATGGTATTCACAAATGTGGGGAGGAAAGAAATCGTGGGTGGCTCAGCGTAAGATCTTCTATGGCGTCATAGAGTTGTTACACAATGCCAAATTGAGATACAAAGATGACGATCAGGTACTCCCGTCAACCGGGTATCAAAGATCACCGCGACAGTACAACGGGGGTAAGAGCGCAATTTTGTCATGCTGAGCTATGCTGAGCAGGATAGGTATGTAAGCTATACCAAAGTGCGTAATATGACCATAATCCTCTTCAAACTTTATACCACAACCTATAAGACCATCATGTGCTTTACATGCATGCACAAGCTATTTGACATTATTCACCTATTTAGGTACATTTATATGCGTCATTGGATGATGAGACCATGCACTCGGTGTATTTTGTGTGACAGAACAACATTCGAGGTAAAAAGAAAAAGCAACACATGATTCATATTATGCTATAAAGGTATATATGGTACAAATTTTTACACAAGGTACACTACTATTTTTTATCGTTGTCGTTAATGAGACGTTGTACTTTGGACAATGGACTAAGATCTCCTTCATAATCCTCGACCTCTCTTTTCTTTAGATCAGCAAGTCTTCTTCGTTTCCTGGTTTGACGTCGTTGCCTTTGTTGGGGATATTCGGGTTGTGAATTCTCCAATGATATCGATTGTTGAGTATCCACTGTATCATCCTGAGAGGGTACAACAGCGCTAGATTGGATATCATCTTGTTGATTCGTTTGTTGAGTGTTTGGTCCATCAGATTGCTGTGTATCCAGCGTAGCATCTTGAGAAGCTGAAACAACACGGGGTTGATTATCGTCTCGTCGATTCTTTTGTCGAGTATTTGGTCCTTCATGTTGTTGTGTATCCATTGTGTTGGATTGATTATTATCTCGATGATCTTCAACATTTTTCATCTCTTCGGTAACTGAACGATCGACGAGTGGCGTGTCATCATCACCATTCTCACCAACGCCGACATTTGGTAATCGCAAAACAGGCTCAAAATCGCTACCGAGATACTCCAAAATCGGTGACTGGTCAGCTTCTGATAGTAAAATTGGTTCTGGTGATGATGAAGTTTGTTGCTCACGACGAGGAGTTCCCTTTTTGTTGGTAGCTTTGCTGCTGTTTCCTTGTTGCTTCATCTGCTTCAATTTACGAGAAAGACTCCTGGCCACTGGTTTGTTGGTAGCTGATGGGGATTCCACTGCATGCTCTTCAAATGTGTCATCCACAATATGAGCGTCGTTGTTACCATGTTGTTGCTGTTGTTGTGGTTGTGGCTGCTCCTCCTCCTTATTTCGTGCTTCTTGTTCGCCCGATCCCTTTGATAATCCATTCACAAGGTTGTAATTCTCCCTCTCCAGTTGGCGTATTCGATCTTCCATCAAGCTCGACGTCCTGGTGAAACGAGATATTTCAGTCATAAATCTCCGTTTCTCGCCTTCAAGTTGTTTCACTGCCTCCTACATCGTGAATTAGTACAAGTGATATTCCTTAAAGCATTACAACCTATGATATGTACCTGAGCATGTTTATAGTCAGCTTGTTGCTTTTCTGCTTTAGTCAATGTCCTCTAAGAAAAGATAGTGAGTATTTGCATTGCACAATAAAATAGCTCTACATGACACTTACCTCCTGTGCTCTCAAAGTCTTCTCTTGCGATTTTGCACGCTCTTTCGCTTCGTGGATGACTTTTTCTAGAGCCTTTTTCCCATCCTCCGCTTCTGCAAGATCACCCTGTAATTCATTGTTAACAAATCTCGAAGTCAAGCCCATGTTGTATTCCATAAATATATGATACCTTGAGAGATTCAACAAGCATTTCGAGATCCTCCAGTGTCTTTCCATCCACCGCCTTCTTTTCAGATTTTCGTTGCTGCTTTTGCTTTCTTTCAAGGAGCTCCTATGATATGGATCAGCAAGTGATTTCTGCTAGCTTTCGTCATTCTCATCCACTCACACGCAATCTTGTGACATGATCATCTTTCGATTTGATCGCTGATTGCTTCAATTCAAGCAGCTCATCCTGATCGTCTAAACGCTGCCTTGCTTGTTGAAGAGCCTCCTAGATTAAGGTATCAGTAATGCTCTATGGCTCCGCTCAGCTCCTTGTTTACCTTTTGTCGACGAATGGTGTTCATCTTTTTATCAAGGACCGCCTTTTTGTTATCCAGCTCATTCTGCCGTTTCTCAATTTCATCCTACAGATATATAAAATACATGTTTAACACCTCTTCTCCAACACCTCCCATAGTTACTTACATTCAGCGATTCAACGACTTGTGTTAGACGCTCTTTTTCTTCATCAGCTGCTGTCTTTGCATCCTACGAGTCTTAGCGTCAGCTTTTCTGTAATCATATACCTTCACTTTCCCTATATTATACCTTCATGTCTTGAATCGTAGTGTCCTGTTGATGAATGACCGAAAGCTGTTCTTGCATGATTTGCTCATCTTTTTGGATTCTGGCATAGGCGTTTTGTAGATCTTCTTGGTGTTTCACGCTAGCAGCACTGGCACAAACTACATATGAAAGTGTCAATTTAGCATTCCGCCTAGTTTTGATTCCATCACATCCAAACTTACATAGGGTAGACCTGAGCCGAATGATTTTCCCATCCAATTCTATAGCCTTGGTGACATGTTTTGACTCTTCATAAACAGCTTTCAACCTTTCCAATTCCAGACGACGCCCCATCTACATAACAAACATCCATTAAAGCCATCCATCATAACATGCTGCTGGAAACAAACACACACTCTCTCTATCCAGATCCTACCTTCTCCAATTGATTCTCCATCATCTTCCTTGTTTCGTCCGATTCATGCCGTGCGCGTGCCTCGTCGACTTCGACTCGATGAAGGTCCATATCCTTAACATTGAGTTGCTGAACAGCGTTATTCAACTCGGTCTCAAGATTGCTTGCTCTAATCTTTAAGAAAATCAGTAACCTTGTAATAATAGGAATTCTACAAGTATACTTACATGCTCCGATTCATATTTGCGTTGCAAGGTGTTCAATTGCTGCTTATACACGTCGATCATTCGGTTGTCCACCGTATTGCGTATGGCAACGGTCCTTATTCTCCGCACTGTCTGCATGAGCTCCAAGGTATCGATCGTATCTCTCACCACGTTGTCGGGATATTCCTGTATGCAATGTTAGATAAAGATGGGATCTATGTCATATTATGCACTCACATTAATGTACGCAAAAACGGCTGTCTTGCATGGTCCACAAAAGCATTCAGCTGTGATCTTGGTGAGCAAATGATTCGTTGAGTTGCTGATGCTGCCTTCGAACTCCAAATCCGCGTAGTCGTTAAGAACTTGCACTGAAATAACGAATATGGAATCAGCTACAAGGATAATGTATGATGGATAGGTGTTTACCAAGGTCTTGGAATGCATAATGCTGATCACCGACAGCTGACGGCTGACGCCATGGGAATAACAAGTCGATAATGGTCAACGTTCCAAGGAAATGGCGATCATCCGATAACCGAAGCCTCAAAACAAAGGGCACTCGTGATCCTTCTTTGGTATTCTTCCAAATGTCATTGGCGTTGTTGACTCTTCGCATAATGGTATCCAATCCGTGCTCGCCAATGTATTGCTCTTTGTCATCGATGTAAGCACAATGAAATGAAGAACAAAGGATGGACTTACTCTTCAATTTGCGGTCCGCCCGTAGATCGTAGCAGTTGTTGTTGTCACCAAAACCTAGGAAGCTAAATTGGTTCATGTAAATGTAAAATGTCTAATTTCCCTAAATGATAATATACTCACGCATAATCCAATTGAATGCTTCGTTTCCCATCCCTTTTCCTTGATTCGTTCACGTAGTTGAGCTGCTCATCGAGGTAAGATAAAAGCTGATGAAGGATTGTTTGTCTAGGTTTCATTGTTAAAGGTATAAGGATAGACCACAAAGCCATATGACGCCTACCTGCTCGTGAATGGATCCAAAGGCCTAGATATCATCATGTCATCAATACTCTTCGACTCACCCCATCCCCATCGAAGAATGCTTACCCCGTGCTCATGAAAACTGCAGCCGAATTGTATCCTGCATCATGTAGTATGAGAACCCTCTATCATCGCTATCATGAAATACGGTACATACCTTCAAGAGCCTTTTGAACCAGATCTTCGACTTCAGGTTTGCACTGTTCAGGTTGTGTTACACACCGAGAGAAGTTGTATCGTTGTCTACATATGCGCACAATGAGTCCGTTGATACGTAGACGAAGGGGTTTACTGTCGTCAAGTACCTGATTTGTCCAAACGCGGTAATGTCTTATGTATAACGATCAGTACGATCTAGGAGCATAAACGAGTGTTGAAAGAGAGCCTACCAGGTGGATTGTCGATAGTGATAAAAGATTCCGAAGCGAAGGTGTTGATTTGAATGTGAGGTGACGACAAGGAAGGTCTACTTGATGGATGCAAGCAAGCAACTGTGCGGATCTTTGACACGGCCATTGTGAACGAAGAGAGGAGACATAAAAGGTTGTCGGTATTCAAGGGCGCCTCTGGGAAATTATAGTGGGCTTTATACAAAGATGCCAAATCACATGATCATTGATGCTATGGGGCAAGTATATAGATATGGGTGTGTGTGTGTGTGTGTGTGTACCTTTACGTCTAGTACATAGATATACGGTTATCAATAAATGGGGTATTTGTATTTGGGCATCTGCTCATATGGAGGAGTCGCCTCTCTTTCGCTTCCTTGTATCACAGCATGAAAATCAACGACCTTCCTCCCGAAATCCTAGCTTTGATCTTTCAAGTCCTACCTTCCCAATATGACTTATTCCAATGCGCATTGACTTGCAAACACTTTAACGAAGGAGCTATACCACTGCTTTGGAGAGCACCCGACTTGTCTCAAAACAACCAGTTTTCAAAGTTCGTGAGATGCTTGGCATCTAGTCGCAAACCACTCGGCCATTGGGTACGACGTTTCAAAGTGGATGTCGACACACACAGCATTGGGGACCATGATTGCATCAACCTTGTTCAATACATGCCACAGCTTGAAGAGTTCATTGTCGAGAATGCAGAACGATTGACTGACAAGAGTATTTGCAAGCTACCAGAACTTTGCCAGCAACTACAAGAGCTGCAGCTTGAGAGAGCCGATATCACCTACCGTTCAGCACATTACCTTGGACGTTGCAAGCGCTTACGACGATTGACGTTACGAGACTGTTCCAAGCTCAATTCTATGACACTATTACCATTTGCAGAGTGCCCACTCGAGTACTTGGATTTATCAGGGTGCAAATGGCTCAATGCGCAGGATACAGCTTACGATCTCCGCGCTTTTCATCGTCTCAAACATCTCGACATTGTATGCAGCGACCAAGGATCAATGAATGAGTTTATGCAACACCTTACTGTGGATGATGAAACGGGACAAACGATCATTCCAGCACTCACATCATTCTCTGTAACCGGTCGTAATCAGATTGGTGATGATGCTGTGGTCCAATTTGTTCAACTTCACCCCCATCTTGAATACTTGACACTTATGGCTTGTGCTATCACCGACATTTCTTTGGATGCGATCCAACATCATCTACCTCAGCTTCGATTTCTCGACATTTCATATTGCGAAGGTGTCTCTCAAGGAGGTGTACGCAAGCTAATCCAGCATAGTGAAGGGCTCGAGATGATTGGATTGAAAGGATGTGGAATCACACCATTTGCAGAACTTTTATCCAATCTATCGTCGTCACCAAGGAGACCATTGATCGATCGTCTAGGCCAAGTTGAGTTAGCTATCATTCGCTCTGCACCAGAAGAACACGTGCCAACATCACCACAAACGACACAACAGCAGGATGACGATTCAATCCCAATGGATCATGAGCTTATACTTCCACAAAATGATACGCCCGATCCCACACAAGAGATGCATGATCATTCCATTTTTCTCGCTTATGCAGCTATTCAACGTTCCCTGGATGCCAACACGTTGTAAATGATGATAACCATTCCCCTATTCCACATTATCGTACTTTGTAAATATCTTCTAGTATTGAGTAACATGCTGCGGTTGGTTGGGTGGCACAAGTGATTTCTTTTATCAGTGTTGTGGCGCAGTAAGGATGAGAGTAGTATATATTGGGAAGCAACAATAGAGAGAGAAAAGGGGTGCTAAATCACAATGTCATCAATACAACCATCAACTTTTCCTCCTCATACTCTTACCATTGAGCCTTACAAGCAAGAACAAGGGTTACCCTCTATAGGAAACTATATTATTGGACATTTTGACGAGGATTCGATTGTAGTATACCAAGCTTATTCACCTGAGATTGCTGAGTATGCTGTCAAGCACCAGCGTTTTGGTGGTGATGCTTTCAGCTTTAGTCGCATGTCCTGGATCAAGACCAGCTTTGCATGGATGCAATACAGGAGCGGGTGGAACACAAAATCTCGTCAAGAGCGCACATTGGCCATCAAAATGAAGCGTGCAGGATTTGATTCTATTGTGGCGAATGCAGTGGGTAGCAAGTATGTCCAAGAAATCCATGGCACAAAGGAAAACTTTGAGCAGCTCAAAACAAGTGGCGAGGTGCGTCTTCAATGGGATCCGGATTATGTACCAGCGTTGACACCTCAACGACTACAACGACGTGCCATCCAGCTGGGTTTACGTGGCGAAACATTGCGGCGCTATGCAACCGAGTGGGTCATTTCGATCGAAGACATCACGCCCTTTGTTGTGGAAATGCGGGAACGACTACGTAGAGACCCATCAGGGACAACATTATGGATGCCAATACAAAGAGTCTATGAATCATACAATAACGACGTAAATCATACCCCATCCTAAAAGGTGTAAAATAAAGAGGACACATCATCTCGTGTAACAACTTCATGCATCATCATCAGCCATTGCCATCCTCGGCGATTTCGGGTATTCACAAATTTAGGTTGCTTCCGTGAGATTTGGGTCCCTTTCTTCCTTTCTCTTTTCTTCACACTCTTGAATAACATTACATCATGCCGCTTTTGACCACTGATATGAATCTCAAAGGTGCTTTACAAAAAGCTAACCTCATTCCTGAAGGTAGTATACATCACCCGTTATGGTCCACACGTTATTAGGGGTACTGATAAAATGGATACTTCCTCTCAGTGATCAATGAAAGTTTCTCTCCTTCGACTCTGTTGCAAGTGACCTATCCAAATGATCGTGAAGTGACATTAGGCAATACTTTGACGACCGATGAAACATCCCAAGCTCCAGAGATCTTTTTTGTTCCTCCCGAACCAGAAGCATCGTATACGTTGGTCATGGTAAAAAAAAGAGAACGCGTTGCACCTTGGGAAGATTCGGCATATGTAAGCAGATTGTAACACAAAAAGTGAACCATAGACCGACCCTGATGCACCATCCACCACTGATCACCAATTTGGCCCATGGAGACATTGGATAGCCGTCAACATTTCAGGTATGGCACAATGAAACCTGTAATAATGGCATATAGTATTAATGCAACATTGCTTTGCAGGATCGAATGTTGCAGAGATCAAAGAACATCATACGCCTTACATTGGCCCAGGCCCAGGCCCCAACACTGGATTGCATAGATACCTTTTTCTCTTATACAAACAGCCATCAGCCAACCAAAACTTTCAATCCATGGCCCATGAGAACAAGCAAGACCGACGCTGCTTTGATCTTACCAAGTTTGTATCAGAGCATCAGCTTGAGCTTGTAGCAGCCAACTTCTTTTTATGTGCCAATTCTAGCAACTAAGAAGACCACCATGATAAGCCGTAATACATTTGAATTTGACACTGCTATACCCTTGTACGTCTAATGTTGAACATCGATACAAAATGTTACGTCTGAAGAAGACTTTAGTGTATAAAGTCATCATCATGGCATAATAAACGTCTATGATTCTCCATATGCAATGAATTCTACAACACGACCGGTGGATTGTATACGTTGCTACCACTACGAATACCGGCTATAAAGCGTAGTATAAATAGTTCTCCTGGGGTCATCAGAAACATATAGAAAAAAAGAAAATGGCATGACCCAAAGGCATGGCGGTGATTCATGCAGCCGATGCATAAAAGCAACGGGTGCACCCTTGTCATTCATTTTCATCATCTTTCTCTTTTTCGTAAACATGAGTGAACCTAACCAAAACATCAACCTTGACATGCACCCTCCAGCTCGTAAGTACAAATGCCATGATTCTTTTTGCATCGACTCACACACGCCATCACATTCAGAAAAGGTCGGCGGTATGCGTGTCAAGCAAGCCAACCACACCCCTTTGCCTACTGCCGAGTGAGTTATCTTATACATACAACAATGGATGAGTGCTCTAACGCATGCTTGTGTTTTTAGAGATCGTGATGAGCGTATGGAGGAAGCTGATATGAGTGAGGAGGACCAACAGCAAATGATCTCGATGGAGCGTGAACGCGAGAAGGCTTTTCGTGAGAAACAACGAGCGGAAAGCTATGGCCAAACCCCTACACTTAACATCCATGGCAAAGAACCAAACAATAGAATGGAACGTGGTGCAGGCTACAACCCAGCTTTCCAGCCTCGTTCAATGAACCATTAATGCATCAGCAAGCTCTTGCTATTCATTGTTGTAAATAAAGGTCATGCACCTCGGCGTTTAGGTGGCATGTGATATCGCTGCGTTTCGCACACGTATATTTCTCAACTTTACATGCATCGATAATGATCCTGTTAACGAGCTGTAGTGATGCTCTTGGCACACAAAGATGACGACAAACTTTAACGACATCATTGTTCCCACAATCTTAGGTTGGGCTATGTAGTAAATTTCGTGAGCCCACAACAGCACCTGTACATCCGCCGATTTCCTTATTTGATCTCATCCGTTTGAAACAAATCCATACGTCACGTCTTGTAGTAGGATTAATATAGCACACAAGTGAACGGGGCGAGATTACGTGCGTGTATGTGCGTGTGTGTGTGTGAATACAATAGCATGATTTAAGCTGACAGCCGCCTGAGAACTCGAAATGACACCCACAAGGAGATTAAACAATGGAAATATCCCGGTTGTACTCCTTGTTTAAGGCTGCATATTTTTGCATAACCTCCTCCCTCTATTTGATGTATACAGCAAATGTTGAACGTTTCAAAGGATGTCAAGAAGGGCAGAGTGTATACGTTGATGTGATGGTGCATCGATACAAGGTTGCAAATTGCAAACAGCAAACAAATTAAAGCGAGCTGTCAAAAAGATCGTATCACCATCATATATAACCTTAAGAAGAGCTATCTCTATATCCAGGAACCCATTGCGGCCTGTACCGATATCAGCATTATTTCTCTGGTACACACGCCGTGCAGATCAAGCATCCCTTTTTTCCCATCTTTCGTTCTTTCTTCCCTTGTACTTTTATTCTTCTTTGTCTCATATCATCCCATGTCAGACGACCACGACATCAAGACGACCGATAATGAAAAACCAAATCTTGATGTTACCGTACTCCATGAGGAGGTCGTATCCGAGGAAGATCAAAAAATCAAAAAAAGGGCGCTTCGGTAAGGAAGGAAGGGTACCTACGTGTGGTTCATTGAGACTTGGTGGAATGACCTTTCATTTCAACGTGTGTAGAAAGATTACTCTCCACGTGCTATTCCCAATGAGCGCATTGTATTTCATGAATTACCTTGATAGGTAAGGGCCACAGTGGACAACCTACAAAGCTCCATCCCTTTCTTACGTCGTTGACAACTTGCGTTTTTACAAAGGGGCATCATCGGCAACGCCAAATTGGGCGGCATCATTGAAGACCTGCATATGACATCTGAGCAATACAATTGGTGCCTCTCCATTTTTTATTTTGGATATGTATTTGCAGACATCCCATCCAACCTTATGATGCGACGATTCAATGGTGTATACTGGATTTCATTCCTGGCATTGTAAGTGGTTATTAATGTTGTGGGTAGGCTTTCACGCTGTTAATCACTGATTTCATTGTCAGCATGTGGGGTTCTCTTACTATGGTTGTTGCGGCAATAACCAACTATGCAGGTCTCATGGTACTACGACTTCTTCTGGGTACTTTTGAAGCTGGTAAGAGAGACGTGTGTATTGATCCATAGGCGCACAAGGTTAACTATATATGTTTTGATATAGGGTTCATGGCTGGTGCCCTGTAAGCGCTATATAGTAATCGTACCGCGAGATAGCACCTTCACTAATACTCGTTATCTATGCTGATATTAGATACTTTTTTGCAAAATGGTTTACAAGGCGAGAACTCGGCCAACGTTTAGGCTACTATTATTCGTTCTCGGCTTTGGGTGCTGCTGTCGGTGGATTGATTGCATATGGTATCAGCACGATACCAACACACACCTTGAATACTTGGCAATGGTAAGTATACAATAAAAGGAAGATGGGTAGTATTGAAACAAAGAGCCATCAAACACTAAGCAATTTTGTCAAGGTTGTTTTTGATTGAAGGTTGTCCAGCGATCCTTTTGGCTCTTTTTATCCTCTGGTTTGTTCCAAACACGCCCGAGTCCGCCAAATGCCTGACTACAGATGAGCGCAGAATGACTATTAAATATCTATTGGAAGGTATGAAGCACCTATACATGTATCATGGGCATAGGAAATGTTAACGACGTGAGTATGCAGATCACTCGTTTCAGGAGCAGGAATCTTTTTCATGGGGAACAGCCGTCTCTGTGCTAAGAGAGCCAAAGCTATACCTATTTACGTTCATGATGCTTGTTGGTCTCGTCCCATCTCACGGTACAAGTTTGGCGCTCCCATCTTTAGTAGACGGCATGGGCAACTGGGGCAAAGCTGAATCACAAGCATTGACTACTCCGCCTTACATTATTCAATTTATTACATCGATCATTTCAGGCTGGATCAGTCGTAAGTATGGATACAATAATCGATGGCACATGCTTGAATCTATAGCTAAGCGATAAATTTAGAGAGGTGGGTCCAACGTGGTTATCAGATGGTCCTCACTGATCTCTTTGGAGTTGCCGGTTTTCTTATGTTGGTTTTGGTACCACATCACCTGATTGCTGTACGATACTTTGCGGTATGCCTAGCTATGATAGGAACGGTAAGAGAATGATAACATTGGCATCAATGGATGCTTCCAACAGCGATATTTATTGTACTTGGCCCATTCATAGTCTGGTAATACGCCCGTCAAAGCTGCTTGGTATACTCATAGCTTGTAAGTTTTATTGCCTTGTGGTATGGTGTCATCCTCAACTACTTGCTCATGATGCTGCTCTTTTATAATAGTGCAGGTCTCTCTCGTCGTGCCGTTGCGGTTGCGATAGTTGAAATGGTTGGAGTAAGTGGATAATGATTCATCAATCAATGTTGCAATGAAGCTTATTAGGATTGGAATATGAAAGAATGTGGTAGGAGGTGTAATAGGAGGGCAGATCTATTATGATCCACCTAATTATACCCATGGCAACGCTATTGCTCTCGGCTGTCACTGCTTGCGAATTATTGGTGCCATTGGTATGCGTCTACTTTTAGCACGTGAAAACAAACGACGAGACAAGATGACTCCTGAAGAAAAGCAAAGAGAAATTGAAAAGTATGGTGGAGAGGCAATGGCAGGTGATAGACATCCAGATTACCGATATGTATTATAAAATGGGTATATTCCATCCTTGATTACGCCTGATGCTTCAATCCAACAAGGTGTACTCATATTGTAGCGACTTTTCTTTATTGTAACAAGGTCATAAATTACATGTAACTACCGAATTCAGGACTATGTTATGTACTTTGTCTATGTTAAAAGAGGACGCGTGGTGATCACAGGGATAGGTGCATTGTCTCGGATTGAGTCATTCTGGATCTATAACAATGTCCCGCTTTCAGCACACCTACCCGTGACTCGCGGCAACCAAGAAGCCTCGCGTCTCTCTCTCTCTCTTCCACTTACCCACTTATCCCGAAATATGCCACCCAAAAACAAACGGCAGGACGACGGCGAAGAGCCCTTCCAAGCAGTGATACTCACAGACAGCTACGATGACCGATTCCTTCCTATATCGCATGACATGCCACGTGTAAGCCTTCAGAACAGCTCAGCGTGAATCAGAAAAAGTTGACAAGTCTTGTTATCGTAGTGCTTAATGCCTCTTTGCAATGTGCCTCTGATTGAATACACGCTTGAAATTCTTGCATTGACCGATGTCGAAGAAGTCTTTGTTGTTTGCACCTCGCACATTGACAAGATCAAGGAGTATTTCGAGTAAGTCGGGAGGAGGAGCAGCCACGATGATACCTCGAGCCTATCCACGACTCACACAATGTTGTATATCAAAGGCAGTCAAGTTGGCTCCAATCCACCAGCCCTTTGAATATCCAGATTGTTCAAGCACCCGAAGTCATGTCTGTGGGCGATGCTCTTCGTGAGCTTGATTCTCGTCAGCTTATCACCAATGACTTTATCTTGACATTTGGTGATCTTGTCTCCAACATGAAACTCGACAAAGTGCTCGAGACCCATCGTGCTCGCAAAAAGACCGACAAGAATTCAATCATGACCATGGTCCTCAAGGAAGCAACTCGTACACACAGCAGCCGTGCCAAGGATGAGTCTAGCGTCTTTGTTCTCGATCCCAACAACAGCCAATGCTTGTTTTATGAACCCGTTGAAGAGTTTCCACGCAAAGGCCGTATCGAGATCTCACCCGAAATCTTTGAGAATCACACCCAGTTCGAGTTTCGCAATGATTTGGTTGATCCATTCTTGGATATTTGCTCCGTTGAGGTAAGTGGAGGAGGAGATGTATTACAATGGAATGGATCATTGACAGATGTTTATGCAAAAAGGTGCCCGCCCTTTTCACCGAAAACTTTGATTGGCAGCATCTGCGAAGAGATTTTGTGCATGGTATATTGACATCAGATATCCTTGGCAAGACCATCTATTCAGAGATCGTGTCCGATCCCTATGTTGCGCGCATTCAAAATGAAAAGTTATATGACACTGTCAGGTAAGTAGGGGCTATGGAGTATGGATTAGGGATTATTGGCATTGACAACCACCCGTAGTAATCACATGCTCAATCGCTGGACATTCCCCATTGTACCTGAAACCAACTTACATCATGGAGACGAGTATCAATACATTCGAGGAAACATTTACAAGGCATCAGATGTGGTTTTATCACGGTAATGGATGAGGATGGCTTATGTTTTGTGGCATGGGTGACTTATGGGATACTATGTAGATCATGCATCATTGATGAAAATGTACAAATCGGCTCTGGATCAATCATTGGTGAGAATGCTCGTATTGGCAACAGTATTATTGGACACAACTGCAACATTAGTGACAACGTCGTGCTCGAAAATGTATATGTTTGGGACAACGTGACCATCTCAGCCAATTCCAGTGTTTCTTGGTCCATTCTCGCCAACAATGTCACTGTTCTTGAAAACACCATCGTCGACCAAGGATGCTTGCTTTCTGTTGGTGTCACTATCGGCCCTGATGAAACGATTCCAAAGTACTCTCGATTGAGCTTGCACCCTCAACCCAAGTCGAGTATTTTCGCTGATGATAGTGATGAAGAGGAAGAGGATACAGGTAAAAGCTTTATGAATGGTACGCAACATGGGATGTCAAAAGCTGAATGACATGTTATAGAGCAAGGTCGGGTACTTAGCAGTGAAAGCCATCCTGATGTCTACTTTTGGACTGAACGCAGCAATGACGATGATGATGTGGATATCCGAAATATCAAGCTTGGTTCATTAGGTATGGAGCAACAGGTTTTATCATGATGTTGGTTGATAATGACCCTTTTTCTTTAGCGTTCCAAATGGGTGATCTCACGATTGGAAGCGATGATGAGAGCGAGAGCGCTTCTGAAGTGGGCGATATATCAGATGACGAATCGCTTGATGCTGGCAACTTGTCAATTAGTGCAGCATGGGATACACAAGATGCCCATAAGCAAGCCGAATTCAAGCGTGAAATTGCACAAACCATCGATCGATCACTACATGAAAACCACACCGTTGAAACAACTGCCTTGGAAATCACAGGTCTACGCATGTCACACAATGGCACTTATGATCAAGTACGCGAGGTGATGATTCCCATGCTCTTAGACTCGGCCGATATCTCCAAAAACGCTGCAGGCAATGTGCGAGCAATGCTTAAGAAATGGTCGTCTTTGATCACCAAGGTTACCCATGGTCGTGAGGATCAAGTGCATGTATTGCGTCTTTTCCAGGTATGTATGATTGCTTATTCCATTTGGCATCAACACCTCATGCGTGTACTCTATTAGAAACACTGCGCAGAGAATGAGCAATTGAATCGATTATTCCTTGGTATACTGCAAGTGCTGTATGACTTGGACGTGGTTGAGGAAGACTCTATTTTGAAATGGTATGCAACGGATGCATCAAAGTCCGGGTCAGCGGCCGAATTAGCCCTTCGGGAACGAGCCAGCAAGTTCATTAATTGGTTACAAGAAGCTGAAGAAGAATCATCTGAAGAAGAGGATAGCGATGAAGATTAGACATACTTTGTATATTCAACTTTAAAACAATATTAAGAAACGAGAAGTGCCGGGAAGTAATGAATAATGCAACGCATGATGGTTTAATAAGGATGAATGAAGGGGAGGGCGAATGGATATTGTAAAGAATCTAGTTGTTGACGGAATACTTGTAACTAGAGAAGAGAAAACAGCAGCATGTAAGCATACTTTGCAATCCTTAAAGGGAACATCCTAGTACTTACCCGCATTTCTTACAATTGTAAAATACGGTTTGACCTTCATCAGCAGAACGTAACTGCATGGTATGATATGCCATCTCGTCGTTGCCACATTGAGGACACTTTTCTTTGATCTTTTAAAGTGATACATTCGATGTGGTCAGTTCTCATGTCGTCGACTTGCCCCACCTCTCTTTTTCTACTTACAGTTGCCTCTTCTTTTTTGCCAGCTTGTGCACTTTGCTGTACCAAACTGCGTTTTGCCTTTAATGCCGATTGAAAAGCGTGTTCGGAAGATGTAGTGACCACCTTAGTCTGCTCGTAACCTGTCGAAACGTGGTGAGATCAATCGTAGCGATCGAGTCGAGATCTAGTACCTGCGGTCTGGTAGGCATAGCTACATTGATTGCAGAGTAAAATATCGTCGTCAGCACCGGGTACATCGAGCAAATTGCCACATTCAGGACAAAACAATAGTGAACCGATAACGTTGGTGTTGGTTGCCATGGTAGAGATAGAAAGAAAAAAATCTGCTGGGTTTGATCGTGAAATGGGAACGTCGCTCTTCCACCTTCCAAAGTTTCACCCCATTCATCAAGCGATTGCTCCTCCCTTTATTAGTCAATGGAATCTCTATAATAAAGTCCATTTGTATGTATCATATCAAACATGGCTCTTAAAACATAGTGCAAGTTTCAAAATGGCAATATGGATATCGCAGCACCATACTTTCAAGGGTAACGATCTTCTTTTTGGTTTTATCATGGAGAATAGCATTTCGCTCAAAGTCCACACTACTATTTTGATGGTGATGGTGATGGTTGTACTTGTATGCGATATGGATCGATAGTAATACTGATGGGTCTAATGACATTCATATTCAAGATATCCAATGTAAGATGCCGATGATCTACGACTACGATCATGGCTTTTGCCAGCTATTGTTTTCAAAATGAGTGGCCAATAACACGCATGAAATCCACATCTACAGCATGGATCTCGTTTGAAGCATGTCACCTGAATCGAACACCTGTCAATACCAGTAAAAGGGATATCAACTATGATCTTGTATGGGACAGCATTCACTCGTTCGGGGTTTGTGCATGCAACAGGTAATGGCTATGGAAGCATAAAGTATCTCGTAAGTACGTGCCTGGAAAAAGTCGAACTGACTTTTGATCCTCAGCGGTTCACCAAAGTGCTGCTTTCTCCAACTTCCCTTCCCATCTTTGAAGCGACGAGCAGATCTACCACCAATGACTTCCAAGTACACGAATATCTTGCCTGATATTGTAAGGCACGGCTACTGCACGCATGAGTGCTGCTTCTAATCCGAGTTTGTAAACAGGATGACCAGCCTGATGTCTATGAGACACCAGATGCCGATTCCACCAACCAGGTCACGTCTTTTGGCGACCAGGTATGTTATCTTGAATAGTACACTACACCCGAGACGGTGGCTCATAGATACGTCGATAGTCAAGTGACGAGGATGATAATAACGAGAGTGTTGTGCGTTCCCGTGTATCAGTCAAGGATGCTACTGCTCGTTTCAAGGATAGCGTAGTGGAATCTTCTGGTGTTGGTGTGTGTGTACACTGTTGCATGAATAACATGAAAAGCTGATTGATGCGGTTTAATAGACTTTTCGGATCGGTTGACACGAAGAAAAAAGGCCATGTATCGAAGCATCGTTCGACGACCTGCATCTCTTGACACCAACGAATATGAACTGTTGCCACGGGAACTTGAATTACAAGAGACACCAATGCAAAAGCTACGCCGTTTGATGTATGAAGTACAAGAATTGAATGAGCATGTTGAGAAATCCAAGGTAATAGGGTGACTTGTACCATCAACATGTGAAACTCAATGGCATGTTATTCAATCATAGGATGATGCTCCTAGCGATGTCAGCCAAACAGATCTATTGTCTCAAATATCGTATCTTCAGACCGACCTTGCTCGTATCAGTCAACGTTTGGATCAAGCAAGTGAACAAGATGGCGCCTCTACTGCCACTTATGGTAGTCGCATTGATGAAGCCAAGCAACTTATCAAGCAGCTGGAGGCTTACAAGAATACACCTCCTAAGGAGAATTCAGGAAACGACAATGACGATACTGTGCTTATTGACAAAACCGATAAAGGAGATGTAAGTGACATTGGAGATGATGAAGGAAGGATACATGGTTGACAATGATGTGTAGGTGGTTACATACGAGCTTTTTTATACCCCTGAAACGGTCAAGATGCAGAAGGAAAGTAAGGTGGCGGATATTGATGAACGCATCGCCAAGATTGAGTCACTCGTTGGATCGAGTTCAGGCAATGGGTTTGATGACCTGGTGAGTAAGCTTTATGGGAAATCGGCATGAAACGCTTACTTTGTCATTTTTTCAGCCTCCCAGTCTTGTCACTTCTTCTATGGTGGGATCGCTTTCCAAGCTTGAGCAACAAATCGCCATTCTTTCACAGCCGAGACATCTTGACACCATCAAAAGGAAGTTAGAGACTCTAGTTGGAACACTTGATCGGTTGAATGAGCTGAAATCAGGCCGCAAGGATGCATCACACTTATACAGCCGCCTTCCTGATACCACACCCGCTTCGGTGACGGCAACAGCAGCAGCAACAGCAAACAATGGTGACAATAAGGATGGCAATGGATTATCGAGTGATACGGAGGAAAAAGTAGGTTCAATCAATCGATGAGAAATCATTGGTTAACAACGTTGGATAGGTTAAGCAGCTATTCGATACAATGGAGAAGATCGATCCTTTGCTCAATCTCACACCAGCACTATTGACGCGACTAAAAGCACTACAAGGTTTACACACGGAGGCATCCACATTTGGTCGTTCGGTCAAAATGATCTCGGAAGAGCAGACACGCATAACGGATGAGCTCAAAAGTCTTAGCTCCGCATGTGAATTGGTAAGTAATCCAAAATGGCTTTCCGAAGAGATTGGTAATGAGGCATTAATCGGCTATGATACGTAGTTGAACAAGAGCTTGAAAGATAACGAGGATACCGTCAATGCAAATATCAAGGTGATTGATACTCGGATGACGGAATTGGTGCAGCGTGTTGGTGCTTTGAGTACGGATCCATAGATAGAGAGAATGATCGCTTTATTACAACCTATATGTTATCAAGCAGAATATACCTTTTGCCGTTGAATGTGAAGCTTTGATGATATTTTGGGATTGAGCATGTCATGAGCCTTAAAACAAAGAGCAATGAGCGAGGATATTATGATACCCCCTAATCGTATCTTGCAAATCGCATCTGATAATCCAAGTTAATGTGCTAAGCATAAAGTTCGGGGGAGATTATCGCGTTTTTCCTCCGAGTGATCGCTCTGTTGCAGCCGTGTTGATATGCAAATTTGCAAACAAAGATGCGATAGGCTTAATTGCCTATCGTATATGCTCTCGCTTTTGTCAACTTTAATCGCCCCGAGAGCCTAGTACATTATACTTTTGTTGCTATTTAAAATACGAGTTTGCTAGAAGCTGTATCTGCATGTGGCACCACGTTCTTTGCTGTCAAATGCATGACAAGGTTTATGATTTGGTTTTTTGTTCAGCAATTAAAACAACGCCGGAAACGTTCCGCGGCCGAAAGGTGTGAATCATTGTAGGCTTTAGACAACACAAAGTGTGCTTCCCATGTGCATCACACATTCACCTCATATGCTTACAATCATCGTCATTCGCTTTACCCAATCACAGGATAATCAGGGCTATACCACATTCGTCGATCCTGGTGCTTGTGTGTGTATGTGCGTGTGAGAGTAACCATTTCGACCGTGAGAGCGATATTATAGAGCAGGAAAAAGTGGCCGCACAGCCCCATGTGTGTAGCAGCTTGATTTAGTAAAGAGAGAGAGGGATGTGCCTTGTGTGTGCGGCTCCAACGAATGATGATTTGCAAAGACAGGATAACATTTACAGTGGAATGCAAAGCAAAATGGTTCCCCTGACCAAACATGTGCAACAATCACCGTGAAAACTACTCGGACTTTTTCTTATGGGAATGCTATTTTGATATCCAACAAAGCCAAAGCCAATCATGGTACGTCAACTGTGTGGTACACGGAAGTCTGTGAGGAAAGAAAAGAGGAAAGGATAAAGGTAGATAGCGACAACAGCAAAAGGCCACTCGTGTTACGTGAGCTGTTTTAAGGGGAAGCTCATCGGCTCGTTGCCTTTTCGCTCAAAAATGTCTGTGCCCCCAGCTTGTCTTTGCGAAAAAAAGAAAATCAGTGTACAGCTCGGGTTGTCTGCTTCCGATAGCCCAAATAGATTATGTTTTTTCAATACACGATATACCACAACAACAGCTATTGATATCCTTTATCATACAAAATGAGAGGTAAGGAATGGCATACCGTCATGAGAGAAGCAAATGGAGAGCGATAGCGCACGCACCTCTTTCTTGACGATCCATATAATTGGGATATTAATACAACATGGTGTTGGTAGCAAACGGATGTCGTTAGGATAAGCATGTGCTGCGAGCTCTCATTGGTGGTAAAATGCACCGCTGTGTATGCGTGCGTTTGTGGCTGCATCAAAGAGAAAGCAGAGAATGGCCTGATGCGATCCAGTATACGTTAGCTGCATAGGGAGTTGCATGACGTGCAGCTCATTTGTACACTTAACGGCTGGTTCGCAGCAAGTGTGTAGATACATACTTTGCAGTGAGAGTAAAAGATGCTTCTCAACGTGGAAGGCTCGTGCACCCCAACTGAGGATGATCATGGTTGTCAAATGGTGCTACCAGCTGTGTTACCTTGCCACTCAGGCACAACTCGGCTTCGGCCCGACTTGATTTATCACCCCTTGTGGTGGTGTCGTTGTACCATCCATAATTTCTTTTTGCTCCCCAAAGAGGTCCAAGCCCTCGCACGATTAAGGACGTGCATTCTGCATAAGAAATGGTCACAATTCTTGCAAAGAGCAATTTTGTCCAATACCCTTCTTTGGCGATACACATGGCATGCATTGTATGCAAATCATGCTGCTACAACCCATTTTTCCTTTGTACAATGATGTTTTGCTACATGTTGTAGCCTTGGAGATGTACTTTTATGTACATGTATGCAATGGCTTTTGCATGTAATATTAAAGAGGAAACGAAAACGTGGCCACAAACCAGGATCTGGCAGTGATCTATGGTTAATAACGTATGCGTTGTGTTTCGGGATGCTCCGGCTACACCAATGATTGCTCAAAAGTTCTTAAACTTTCGGTTACGTTCGGAAGTTCAAGAGCAAACGAAGATGCAAACAAAGAAATTGAACATTGAGATGTCGTGTGTAATGATCCAACGAGGCAGCCGGTATTCCCCAAAAAGGATATGGCCGACGATACGATAAAAAAATGTATCTTTTTGAGTAGCTAGAAGATTTGAATAAGGGGATTGATGTAAATGGTAGGTTGCCAGGTGCACGAGCGAAATGGCGTGTATGTGTATGTCTCTTTTTAATTGACCTGCATGGTGATGATGATGATCACGGTGGCAACAAAGCCTACACAATGACGGCAGTGCAGCATGTGTCAGTGGAGTCTGGACCAGGGGGTGGTTTGCAGGGTCGGTTAGTAAAGCGATGTGTGTGCACGGTATCATGTCCACTACAGAAACCTGTAAGCTGCTAATTCCGAGAGAAAATCACCCGTACTACCATGGCCCCGTGACCCACACCACAATTACACTTTTGATGCTCTTGACCTCGAATAAGGAAATCTTTGGAGCACGCATTATATAAAAGGATGTCGTTCCTGCTTTACTTCCTTCTCCCTCGTTACTCTTCTTAAGCAATTCCCACTCACTTTTTACTATCTTAACTCGCTCTCCTCCACTCATGACCCAACATTTTGGATACCAACCTTTTGCTTCTTCTCAAGCTTTACCTGCTTCGTATGATCCCACCGTCTACTATAGAGGTGGGGCTGCAGTGGAAACACAACAGCAGCTCAACTTCCAATACCCCGTCTCTGGTGTATATCAACAGCAACAACAACATCATGACACTATTCAACGCATGCATCAGCTACAGCAACAACATGCAATGTACCAGCAGCATGCCATGTACCACCAACCACACAGTAAGTAACCTTGGCTTACTCTCACACATATGCATGCACACATGCTTACCAATACAACCCATTCACAGTGATGACCTATCCTCAATATCCACTTGATGGGATGTCTCAATATAAGAGGTAAAGCATCTATCTCTATCAATGCTTATCATAGCACCATGTCTCATTCTTTCTTAAGCAGACTCCAAACCAAAGCTGAACGTCGAGCCGAACACAACGCTAATGAGCGTGCACGCCGTGAGAATCTAAACACCAAATTCCAACAACTTGCACACTCTTTGCCCAACTTGCAAAACGATCGTCGTCCATCTAAGGGTACCATTATTGAACGAACGCTTGACTTTGGTAAGTAAAAGTAACGCATAACCATCAAGCCATCATTACATGATCTAATTTGATAACCATAGTCAAGAACACGGTTCGCAAAGAAGAGGAATTTATGACTGAGCTTCGTAGATTACGCGAAGAGCACTGCGAGCTGATGCAACAATTGTATCCTGGTCGTCAACTAAACACGTCGTCCTTTGACTTTGATGAATTCTCTTCTTCCGAGGGCTCTTGCTCACCAGTAGAAGCCACTAGTCTTCGTTCAGCATCATGCCCCTCACTCGAATTGCCTTCTACTGCTTCATCCAGTAGCCCCAACGTGGCCTTCCAATTCTTTGACACGAACCCAAACGCTTCTACAAACACTGACACGGTCATCAACAACGATGTTATGCTTGGTCAAACAGCTGACGGATCACTTCGAAACCATTATGAAAGTGATGATGACAATAGCAGTGCCCATATTGATGATCTTGATTTTCCCACCGTTCCTTCTTCTTGTAAGTATTACTTGTTTGATCATTGTTGTATACCTGAATCATATGCTCATGCGTCCTTGAATAGGTACATACCCCATGATCCCCACGGTCAATGATTACATGACCAAGGCTGCTGCACCTGTTCCCTCTGAATTTGATTTGAAGTTTCAACAATAAGCGCAACACCCAACCCAATCCTTTTGTTTTACCATCATTCCGCCCATCCATTCACTTCCTGCAGTTACCGACAACAACCTATGCTTTTCCCTGTTTCAGCTGAACATCTTATGTATATACGCGTTGATCGCATCATTTCATTCGTATCCCCAACACATCTACACCTTCCACCATTATGTGTATACACCTTGGATACCCTTTTATCATCTTCCTTTGTTTTTACTTATGATACCTTTATTCTCTTCTTTCCATCTACAGTACTTTTTATTACTTTTATGACCAGCACACATGGGCAGGTCTCTTTGTGTAAAAATACCTTTTCATTCCTCCCCCTTCACCCTCCTTGTGTACTTAGCTTCCTTCTGTATACTTATCCTTTTGCATCATTCTCCATTACCAGTCATCCTACTCATTCATCCATCGTTGCAACGAAATAAATCAACCTGCTTCGTCCTTTTAGTTATCACGCTTTCTCAACAATTGATCACCGCGTTTATGTTATAGCTGCTACTATTACCTCTGCAAACCCCCTTTTTCGGAACAACCGGTCCGATCCCATGCAATCTTTAACCTGCCGGCGTGTCAACCAAGCTGTCATTTTTTGGCACATTGTGCAACTTGCTCGCTTCATTTTTCGCTTTTTTACCCCTAATCTCTTTCCTCATATGGCTGTTTGGCCGTTAAGCAAAAGAGAGAACAGGAGCAATTACATCGAAAGGTCGTTTGTTCGTGTCACATTGGCTAACGTTGCATGTGTGTTTTCTTGGAATGTCGCTTTAAGAGGAAATGGTAAGCAAGACGTTTAGTAGGATTAGCATGCGGATCTCACACTGCAAAAATAGTAATCACCTGGGAACAATCAAAATAATCAACACCTTGTTGCTTTTTCTCACACTGTAGAGGATAGACAATGACATGTACGCTTGCAAAAGAAGAGGATGTCGTAAAGAAAACAGCTGCTAACCGCATAAAGGGATCGAATGCTGCGACATCTAGAAACATAGAAAACTAAATCAGCAGCATGTGTTGCACAACCCACGCATTGGTCACCCACACACACATAATCGTACTCACACGCTTTATCAATTTGTGCACAGTGATGCAATGATCGCGACGATACATAGCACGGACTGGATCGTGCATCATCATCATCATCATCGCGTGTATGTCATCGCTATCGAGGTAGGTGTCAATGAGAATACAAGGCCACATGTATGAAGTTGTTTGGGATCTAACATGCTATGCCAAATGAGCCCTTCAATGTTGTTGTCGCGTAAAGTAATTATCAACGGAGCAGGTGGGATTTTGGACATCTTCCCCTGGATACATACACAAGCGAGACGTTGTTCTTCTCCGCTTGTTGCATACGTGTTTTCCCCTTTTCCTTTCCGGAGATCCGGATTATACTTGTTGGTTCTTTCCTTGAGCGTTTTCGGTAAACGCTCACGATATGGAAATTTGATCACTCACGGCTCTGTGTAAGTTTTGCGATGCTCCCTTCTTTCTACACTTACGGCTCCCTCGCTATTAGTAACGAATCATAATGTTAATTCCTGTGCTGGGAAGTATCAGGGGTGTTGAGAGGAGTATAGAGAAACTTGCATATCACCCCCACACGTACCATTTCTGGTTACCCTTGCCAAGGGTTATGTATGTATGTACCTTAGTTTTGGTCAATGCTCAAGAATGGACTAGGTCACAATTGCATGCAGTATACCCAAAACACAGGGACTAAATGTTTCGATTTTATGTATATGCTTTCAAGTGATAATACATCTAGCTATAGTGTTGCTTCTGTATGATGAGTGGTGTGGGTGGGTATGGTGGGTGGTGTGGTGTCCACCTTGTTTGAGTATTCAAGTTCCGGTAGCAACATTTGGTTCCTTTGTTTTCAGGCTTGTCAAGTACAAAAACATCCAAGGGCAACAGCACGCACACACGACCCTATCACAACATGCTGCTCTCTCAGTCCATAAGGCTCGTGACACGACAGCCATTGACGCGCCCTTTGCTGCTGAATCGACAACCCCATTGTCTCACTCACATTGCTCGGCATGCTACAGCCATCGATCCATCTCAACAAAAACAACAGCATCGCGGCACCAAATTCAAGCCCATTACAGCACCTACCATGGGTGAGATTCCCAAACTATACAAGGAATTGTCGAAAGCCAAGTTAGCATGTCTTGTTGCCCTGACGACCATGTGTGGGTTTGCCATGGCACCGGGACAGGCAGCTTTGTCAACTTTGTTATATACGACGGCAGGAACAACGCTATGTATTTCGTCAGCCAATGCATTCAACCAATGGATTGAGATACCTTACGATGCACAAATGTTACGAACACGGAATCGAGTATTGGGAAGGAGAGCATTATCATCTGTACATGCCTTTTCATTTGGCACGTTGACGGGTGCAGCAGGTGTTACTATGCTGAGTACAATGGTCAATCCTCTGACAGCCGCTTTGGGTGCAGCCAACATTTTCTTATACACATGCGTTTACACTCCAATGAAACGTGCTTCCATTGCCAATACATGGGTCGGTGCTGTAGTAGGCGCTATTCCTCCTATGATGGGTTGGACAGCAATGACAAATGGCCTTGAACCAGGTGCTTGGGTTCTTGGTGCTCTTCTCTACGCCTGGCAATTCCCACATTTCAATTCTCTCGCTTGGAATTTACGTGCAGACTATTCAAAAGCTGGTTATCGTATGATGTCGGTCACTGATCCAAAGCTCAACGCCCGTGTCTCGCTTCGATACTCCCTCGCCATGTTCCCAATTTGTATTGCCATGCCTTATCTCGATATGACATCTTGGCTTTTTGCAGCTGATTCATCCATCGTCAATGCGGGTCTCGCTTATCAAGCATACAAGTTTTGGAAAGATAGGTAGGTAGCATGGCATGTTTCAATTGATACGTCGTTATTCATGGGTACCCATAGCAACGAGAAAACTGCAAGGCAACTCTTCTTTGGAAGCTTGATCCATATCTCAGTACTGATGGCATTGATGATGGTACATAAGACTTATGATACAAGCATGTCACATCCATTGATGTTGGACGATGAGGAGGATGAGGAAGAATACGCTCTTGAGGAGGAACAAGGTGCATCATTGTAGATAGTCTTTTTCAACACACTCGCACTCCACACATATACACACTTTCATCATTGTTCACTCATAATCTCGCCCTTCTCCAGTTTATCTGCTATCAATTGTATCTAAACATCAATAAAATCCCTTCATATCATCGAATTCATGATTGAATATCTTTAACGTGCAACACCCTCCTTGTATCGATTCCTTCGCACAAGTAAGGAAGCATGATGACATTGGTGATACCGGTCTTGGTACGACACATGAAAGCGAAAAGTACCGTTCATCACTTCTAAAAACATCCACCACAGTGCCTTATTACATAGATAGATCATGTCACCAATAAACAGCAATGTTGATACCTTTCGCTGCCAACAAGCTTTATTACATCGTCTATGGTCCTTATTTTCCGGTTTACTATTCTCCCTTCTTGAGTGCTTGTGGATTAACATAGATTAGATAGATGGAATAAAGGTGGTTCCGTTATCACTCTCGTAAGAAGTATACGCCTTTTCTGATATAATCAAGAGTGGTTGACCTTAAGAGAAAGGTTGATCCTTCAAACTTGACCAATCGATACCGTATAATCTACTGAGGGCAAAAATTTGCCATGAGGTATGCCCGTGCACATCAACTTTATCTATTGCTTTATTCACGATCCTCATCCATCTGAATGTGATATGAAACCACTATTTCATACACGTATCTTGATACATCTTCATTATTGGATGTTGTTTACTTGCGCATCTTCCTAAAGGCAATCGTCATCAGCATCCATTTGTGCGACAACCTGTCAAGGACGTGCGTGTGTAACCACCACGTGCCATTTCACTCAGCTCTCCAGCTTTTCGTTAATGCAGCCCACACCATCCACTAGGAGAAAGCAACTCCATCACGCTTACAGCATTGGTAAAACATAAAGGTGTCTGTATCTCTAAACTTTACAATGAACCGTGGGGTCTTTAATCGAACAAAGCTGCTCGTCGGGGTCAAAGGGATCTTGTGTCAAAGTATGAAGCTGATCGTGGCCAATCCCAGATTTCGCAATGTCGCTACCAGCCAAACTGGATCTGGGGGTCGACCTCTTCGACGACGACGACCGAAAAATATTTTTTGGGCTAGTTGCGACATTGAACGAGAAACTTTCACACAAGGTGCTGTTGGTCAAGCCGAGCCCATTGCTCTATTCAAAAACCCACGTTTCATTGTAAAGTTTGGAGATACAGGCACCTTTATGTTTGTAAGCGTGACGCTATATGAAGAGTGGTCTTTGTTCATTGTCAAGTAGGTGGACCCTGGCAGAGCAAAAGATGCAGAGGGTCGTGTTGTGTAACACAGCTACGTTTGCATGAATGGAAGGGTCAATGTATAATTACTTTATGGATCATCTAGGAACAGGCATGTATTGCTAGCTAACGGCCACTTTTATCCAATCATCATTGTTGCGAGATCCACTGCATGGGAACGATGCCCCTGCTCTAGACATTCTTTTCCATGATTAAAGTAGGTTGATCCGAGCTGATTTGACTGAGCTGCGGTCAAAGAGAGATTACATCACTCTCGACATAAAGCACGCTCGATGTAGCTCAACCGATGTAATCTTGTGTGAGCGTAACTCAGTCAAATCAGCTCGGATCAACCTACTTTAATCATGGAAATGAATGTCTAGAGAAGGAGCATCGTCCACCTACAATAGAATGCACAAAAGTTGGGTCTCTGAAATTTCATTGGCCAACGCTCTCCCAACCTGGATCAGTGGATGTGTTCGCGCCAATAAAATGGATGAAAGAATGAGGCATCATCATTGTTGTCTAGATCCCCATATCAACCCACACGTCCGTTTTCTTTGTTTATCCTACATACACACACATACACGCAAATAAAATGTTGCGCATGAAATCACCTGCCTTTGCCATGTTTATCTATATCTCATCTCTCCCAATTCCCTCTGCATCACATACAAAAGAACTTGGATACCACTACATATCAATCCTCAAATGATGTATGCCGTAGCTTTTGTGTCATAAGGAAAAAGGAATGGTATACATGGGCTGGTTGCTACTGGATACCACTTAAAGACAACCCGTTCCAGAATTTCTCTACTCATACAAAGAACCAAGCAAAGACACCATGCGCATCACTTGCAGTCTAATGCTTGTGCACCCCATTCGCTTACCTACAACCACAAGCAATCAGTTGTTTGGAGACCAGTGGGATAAAGACGACTCAATTTTTCAATTTCATGGCGACGTCGTCAAGCACGGCACCGCCACCGACGCCACTGCGGACCATGACGGCGCATGTGCCGAGATAGAATATACGCGATACGTTGCCATAGCAACATTTATTGGCATGGAGATATGGGATATATCGTAAATCGGGTTATGGGAATACAGCATAGATCATGGGTACAAAGCGAATGATGGACATAGCAGCTATATATAAAACAAGCAAAACTATAGTATCTAAGTGTGTAAGGCGAGTCGTTGATTAATAAACCGAGGATACTAAAAGTTTCACGTTCAATGTCGCAACTAGCCCAAAAAATATTTTTTGGTCGTCGAAAAGAAATTCGAGAGGTCGACCCCCAGATCCAGTTTGGCTGGTAGCGACATTGCGAAATCTGGGATTGGCAAGCTTGAACGTGAAACTTGCACACAAGGTGCTGTTGGCCAAGCCGAGCCCATTGCTCTAATAAAAACCCCACGTTTCATTGTAAAGTTTAGAGATACAGGCAGCTTTATGTTTGTAAGCGTGATGCTATATGAGAAGTGGTCTTTGTTCATTGCCAAATAGCTAGACCTTGGAGAGCCAAAGATACAGAAGGACCTCTTTGCGTAACTCAGCTAAAAAGTCAGGACTTCAGGGACAATGCATGACAGGTACGCAACCCTCACTTTTATGTCATACATTGGCAGCTAGTAGCCACTTTTGTGCATTCCCAACTTTTGTGCATTCTATTGTAGGTGGACGATGCTCCTGCTCTAGACATTCATTTCCATGATTAAAGTAGGTTGATTCGAGCTGATTTGGTTGAGTTACGCTCACACAAGGTTTCATCGGTTGAGCTACATCGAGCGTGCTTTATGTCGAGAGTGATGTAATCTCTCTTTGACCGCAGCTCAGTCAAATCAGCTCGGATCAACCTACTTTAATCATGGAAATGAATGTCTGGAGCAGGGGTATCGTTCCCATGCAGTGGATCTCGCAACCATGATGATTGGATAAAAGTGGCCGTTAGCTAGCAATACATGCCTGTTCCTAGATGATCCATAAAGTAATTATACATTGACCCTTTCATTCATGCAAACGTAGCTGTGTTACACAACACGACCCTCTGCATCTTTTGCTCTGTCAGGGTCCACCTACTTGACAATGAACAAAGACCACTCTTCATATAGCATCACGCTTACAAACATAAAGGTGCCTGTATCTCCAAACTTTACAATGAAACGTGGGTTTTTGAATAGAGCAATGGGCTCGGCTTGGCCAACAGCACCTTGTGTGAAAGTTTCACGTTCAATGTCGCAACTAGCCCAAAAAATATTTTTTGGTCGTCGAAAAGAAATTCAAGAGGTCGACCCTCGGATCCAGTTTGGCTGGTAGCGACATTGCGAAATCTGGGATTGGCCACGATCAACGTGAAACTTGCACACAAGGTGCTGTTGGCCAAGCCGAGCCCGTTGCTCTATCAAAAACCCCATGTTTGATTGTAAAGACTAGATATACAAGTGCCTTTATGTTTTGCATATGCTGTAAGCGTGGTGGAGTTGCTTTCTCCTAGTGGATGGTGTCGGGAGCACTATAAGCAAGGTGATGAACTAAGTAAAATGGCACGAAAAAGTGGTTACACACACACCCTTGACAGGTTGCTGCATAAATGGGGTGTCGTTGATTGTTTTTGGCAGTGTTGGCTGTTTATGCACGAGCATCCAACGATGAAGAAGATAACCCATTATGACAATGAGAAGGATAATGGATCTACAAAGGGATACTACCTTTTTGTATGGTTGGTAAGGGGATCACAGGATGGTGGTTGTACAAAAGGAGTCAAGCTGCATTGATGTGCACGGACCTAATCGACACCAATCCCGCCCAGAGTAAAAACATGGATAGCTTGATTACGAGAACTATGTTTAGTTGATATCTCGAATAGTGGCTATCTTTATTTATCAGCGTGTATAAGCTATTGTTGAGGTATATCATCACAACATTAACTGTAACAGGCGGGGTGGCGTGTAGTGCACAAATTGAGAACAACGAAAGGGAAGACAAAGAACCCCTTCTTCTCCACTTCCACTTCACAAAGCAAGGTAAGCTTGTCTCCATATACAAACTACAACACATTAACAGCTAGCACTCCTTTCTATGTACAGCGTCAATTGGGTGAACAGGTGGTCAATGGCGACGAGCACGATCTACCCCATGAGTCAAGCCTCCATTGCAATACAACATGTACGTTCAATCGCTGCATTACTTTATTATCCAAGCTGGACATTGTGGTACTAAGGTTACATGTAGGTTGCTGTTTTCTCGTTTGTACAATATCCAAAGGGGTATCGTGTGTCGTTCGTATTCTTTCCATGGTTGTCATGAAGGAGAGGTCCCAGCACATTGCTAGTTTGGGTATGCCAACATGGAAAACGTATGCTATCCTTGTTAACTTACATTGCATTTGTTGTAGCGTGAATACGTTGGATTATGGTACCTGTGCAGCAACAAGGCATTGAGCTCAAAGAAGGAATGCTGGGCATACGTTTCACTGGTACGCTTAGGATTGGGTCTACAAAGCAAGACCTGATAATTAACGAGCCTTACAATAGAACAGCAGCAGCACAATATGGATGGGATGGAGGTGCAATCATTTGAAGAAGGATGCTATTGAGGAATACCCAAGGTAAAAATGTTCATGCTTGGATTTGTCACATTCAAGTGAACTTACGGAAGGAACAGAGTGGTAGGCTCTCGCTCGGCTATGTTATATTATCAACAACACACCAAGGATGTCATTGTGCTGTACTGTCCTGGGGAGGCGACCATGTTGTCATAGTGGAAATCGGTGTCATCTCGATCTAAATCGTATGGCGTACTATCAAGTATAGGCTCCATCATTGCCAGGATATACTTTCCTCGTGTTGGTAACTCTATTGGCAACATGTGGGATCAACGGCTTTTGGTGTCGAAGTTGGCTTGTGAAGGGCTTATGACAATGGGCCATTGTTAAATCGGGTGTATGCACGTTCCATCCAGGAGTGAGCTAGAGGACAGTACTGGTACCTGGAAATTCGTTTGCATGCATCTTTATCGTCACATGTTATTTCTGACGGCGACATTTCTCATGGCATGTTCCATTCACGGTACGTACTACTTATCTTTCCAATGCCTCTTGAATAACTCCTGCTGAAATGTGTGGTACTTAGATGACCTACTACAAGCTACCTGTGCCTATTGTCAAGGCTTACTTCATCGCCAAGTATCGTTCCGGTGCTATGTTTGTCGATGCGTGTCTTTTCTTGGTGGATCATCTTGCGGCGGGCAACGTGTCTTTTATTCCATTATCTTATTATGGTTGTCGTTATTGTTAGTATTCGTCCCTTCGTTTGGAAGAAAAGTTACCAATGTACTAATAATAAATTACAGGCTAGATTATTGCAATGATCTATTTGTCCTTGGTGTTTGAGGTTTAAAGGATGCAGCTATCATTGCGTTGCTAAGTATCGGCCAAATCGTTTGATGGCAGCTATCAGCGCAAGTCTCGTATGGATGAGTCGTATCAGCAACAACAGCAACCTCCATAATTTTGGTGCCAGCAAGCTTTTATCCCACCATGGCGATCATGTTATCAGCAACTCGTTTGATGGATATCTGCAAACTCATATCTCTTGCTCGTGGATCACCTGTATAAGCAGCAACAAGCAACAGCGTACAACATCTCTTTGTGTGGGATCATGCTTATTCGATTTCGATACGACTTTGGATAGGAAATACCGCCACTTTATTTGAACCGATTCCCATTGCTATCTATTCTGCTCCTATGATGCCATTGCTCGTTATTGTTTGAGGATCCAACAAAAGGCAACTGGAGTGTGTCACGTGGATGCATATTGTTGAGGAGTACAAAGTGCCACATGTCTTGCTTTGGCAGCTGCTGCATTTTCCAACCTTTATCCCTTTACAAATGAGTGGCTCTTTGCATTCGGTAAGCGTAGTGTACCATTCTCCCTGACAAGTATAGTAACAGTACCCTTCATTCAGTTTAGCCAATCCGAGCTACGATTGTTGACGGCTTCTGGCGACGATCGTGTGATTGTGAATACACCAGAGGTTCCTCCTGAATCGGCATCCACGTATCCAAAGTTGGTGGGCAGCAATTGGGATTGCTATATTACGACAAACAGTATTGTGCTGGGACGTAGCCCTGGATCAGATACGACGCTACAACGGCAAACGCATAGCAACAAGGTGGATATCGACTTTGGACCTGATCGACGTGATATTTCGCGACGGCATGCCGAGATACGGTTTCACAGGGACAAATGGATATTGCGTATCTATGGTAGAAATGGTGCCAAAGTCAACCATGTGCTGCGTAAACCCAAATCACCACCCGTGACCTTGTCGAATGGCTCACTTATTGAAATCGTCGATCATGCATTTGTCTTTATCTTGCCCATGAAACCATCAACACCTACAGCCAACAACAACAGCATCAATCACGCTATGAGCGGGAGTATCAGCAGTAGTGGCAGCCATACACCCCAAGATCATGGTAGCAGCAGGCAAGGTGGTGACCACGAAGGCCCTATCGTGTTACGAGAATTTGATCAGGATGGTCGACTTGAAACAATGATTGCAGAAATGCTTCGTATAAGCACGAATCGTGATACCGAGACCGTTGTTAACAGCGTGTTGGAAAAGAATCCAAATCATGACAAGGTAAAAAGGAAAGGGATGAGCTATAGAAAGATACTTATCATTTATTATTCTTATTATAGTCTGCTATTCTTCATGCTCTTGTTTTGAGTGATAAGTTTCAGTTGGTGGACAATCAATGGTCACTGGTGGTTCGAGAGCCTGCTGTGGATAATGAAGCCTATGCAATTCAGGGGCCATCTTTTGGGACAAGCATTATGGATATATATACGACATGGTTGGATGCTCGGGAATTAGCGAATTCTAGAGTGGATGCAGCAACACCAGCGTCATCATCGACTATATCTGCAAGTACGAGTAGACGATCTCATGGTGCACCTCGTGAAGGGATAAAGAGGCAAAGATCCGAATTAGGTTAGTGGTCGATCATTTTATGTGCTATATCTATTTTCAGCCAAGCGAGACAATTGACATTAGCCAGTAGTATTTGTAGATCCTTGGAAGGATGTGCGGACGATGGATTTGTTGCCAGTGAGCAGTAGGCGATGATGGAAAAACATATATGCTTTGTGTCACCTTGTTATGAGTTTTAAAATAAAAATCGAGCCTAGAAAGATCGACTTGCAAACGCCTAGCCTCATCTCGGTTTTCTCTCTTCTCTTCACATCACATCATGTCTGAATCTGTTATTCTCGTTACTGGTGGCTCTGGTCTTGTTGGCAAGGCTATCGAATGGGTTATTGAAAACGACAAGTCTGAACGTTATGGCAAGCGCCCTGGCGAAAAGTGGATCTTTTTGACATCCAAGGACGGCGATCTCAGGTAAGCTACCATGGCCACCGATCGCGACGGGATGAAGGTTTATGTTGACATGTTTATTTGGTTTATAGAAAGGCTGAGGATACTAAGGCTATCTTTGAAAAGTACAAGCCTACTCACGTCATCCATCTTGCTGCTATGGTGGGTGGTCTCTTCAAGAACATGAAGTACAAGCTCGACTTTTTGCGTGAAAACATGCTTATCAACGATAACGTTCTCGAGACATCCAAGCAATACAACGTAAGTAATCGTAACAGGAAGGGGGGGTAATATCATGTAACTGAAGCTAAACTGGGTTTGGAACAACTAGGTCAAGAAGGTCGTGTCTTGTTTGTCGACTTGCATTTTCCCCGATAAGACCACTTATCCTATCGATGAAACCATGGTCCACAATGGCCCTCCTCACGAATCTAACTTTGGCTATGCTTATGGCAAGCGTATGATTGATGTTCAAAACCGGTATGATTTTGGTCGAAGGGGGATGAAGAAAGGATGATGACGAGATCATGACTAATCCATGACCTTTTACTATTCAGTGCTTATCATGACCAATATGGCTGCAACTTCACTTCAGTCATTCCTACCAACGTCTTTGGTCCCCATGATAACTATTCGCTCGAGGACTCTCACGTCTTGCCTGGTTTGACCCACAAGTGCTACTTGGCTCAAAGTAAGTATTGGTATTTATCAAATGTAGCATGATTGCATAGGCTAAATGCCTCTTTTTGTTTGCAGAGAATGGCACTCCCTTCGTTGTTAGTGGCACTGGTAAGCCCCTTCGTCAATTCATCTATTCTCGTGATCTTGCCAAGCTCTTCATTTGGACTTTGCGTGAATACCAAGAAATTGATCCCATCATCTTGTCTGGTAAGTTGATTGTATTCTCTCCTATGAAAGCTGTAACTGATCTTATTATCTACGGGGGTTGTTCAGTTGGTGAGAAGGATGAGGTTTCTATCAAGGATGTTGCTGACGCCATTGTCAAGGCACTCAAGTTCGAGGGTGATTACTCGGTATGTGTTCCTATAAATCATAGATCAGCATGAAAATCATTGTAACTTATATACGCTATTTTATAGTTCGATACCTCTCGTGCCGATGGCCAATACAAGAAGACTGCCAGCAACGAGAAGCTCATGAAGTACATTCCTGATTTCGAGTTTACTCCTTTCGAGCAAGGTGAGTGTGAAGATCAAACCTGTGTGTGAGAGAGGGAGAATGGGATCAATAACAAAGATGATTATAGCTGTGCAAGAATCCGTTGACTGGTTTGTTGCCAACTATGACACTTGCCGCAAGTAAAGCAGGAAAAGAAAAAGCCACAAGACAATACCCTCCTTCGAAGCACTTTGACCTTTTGTGGGATGAGAGCAGACGTACTTGTAAAATGAAAAGGATTAGCTATAGCCTTTTGTCATTGCAATAAAAGCAAAATCATCAACATAAAGAACATGTGCCAAGCAGTATGCAATGTAACACAATGAGGCCCTTACTCTTTTCCAATTATTCGGAGTGGGGAGAGCAAGATGAAAAAGTGGTATGGGCTATTTAGGTACATACGTAGATGATAAGGCAATAGTATTCTTTGGCTAATACAGATCAAGTGGAGTAGATGGGTACCAATAAAGTGGATAAGCGTATCAAGCGACTTTGTATTAAGCTACTACTACCACAAACAATCCGGGAACATTCGATCAGCAACACCCACGCGCGTGGTGATATGTACTACCTCGGACTAGCCAATCCTCGTGCTTGACGCACCACAGAAAATTGGTTGTCGACAAGTAGATTACTATCCTTTCGTTTTGTGTGTTGCACACCTTTTTTTATTGTGTGCTTGTGTACTCCAGTGCTCTCTCTTTTTATCCCCTTTTATACTCTCTTTATACTCTTCCCTCTTGCATTCCCATCCTCCTTGTCATCTAGCCCTCATCAACGAGCGCGCCTTTCCTTTATCTGATTACTATTCCCCGCCAAGGCACGCCAATCGCCAACATTTCGACCCCCATCGTTCATCATTAGCCCGAAACGCCCCATTGCCGTAATGTCGTTGTTCTCAAAACTCACCAAGAACAATGACAAGTCGATATACCCATGGTCACAGCGCAAGTTAGGAGGAGGCAATAGTGCTTTCCCGAGATTTGGCCATGCTACCACTGCACTACCATCCGATCAACTCGTTTTATATGGTGGCATGCAACCTAATGGACCTGCGAAAAAAGACCTGTACCTTGTTGATGCAAGTACGTAGGAATGATTTGATTCATTATGACCAAGCGACTAATTATGCTGCAGATAATGTGTCGATCAGCTCGTTTAATGCCTCTGGAGATGTGCCACCGCCTCGATGCTTCCCTACTCTTGTATCCATTCGAAACTTTGCATTACGTGAGTAAACTCGCATATGGAATTTAATTTGTCATTGTCTTATGCAAGATTGGATTTTAGTTTATGGTGGCGAACCTGTCCTTGCCGATGACAAGTGGGATCCTCACGTGTATATCTTAAATATAGGTAACAAGCGAAATGGGCTGAGATTGAGACATATTAATTGACATGCAAATAGCAAACAAACAATGGAATCGTATCCGAATGGAAGGACATTTACCAGTGGAACGATCAAGACATTCAGCGTCAATAGCAGATGGCGTCATGTATGTTTGGGGCGGTCAACGTGCAGGACGATACCTCAATGATATGATTGCATTCAATACCACTACATGTAAGTCCCATTATCATTAATAGTATTATCGTCAATGGTCCTAACAAGGGGGTCTTAGATCCTTCAAATCCGCATTGGGAATTCATCAAGCCAAACAATGAAGGACCTTCCGCTAGAGCTGGGCATGTCTCTGTTGTGTTTGACAACAAGCTCTACATGTAAGTAATCGGGGCAATACTTTTTTGGACAGGTTACACAGAGGGAATGAGCTCATCTGACACGGGTAAATGCAGCTTTGGAGGCACGGATGGTGACCATTTGTATAATGATGTTTGGGCCTTTGATCTACAATCTCGATTATGGATGCAAGTTCCTGCTGTTGGCTATATCCCAATCCCTCGTACCGATTTCTCAGCTTCACTCGTTGATGGTGTCATGTACATATTTGGTGGTCGTGGTCCTGATGGCCAAGATTTGGGAGATCTTTGTGCTTTTAGAATCAAAAGTAAGTGTAATCTACCAATGACGGATGGCATTTTAACGTTGATTTTTGATAGGTCAACGATGGTACATGTTCCAAAACATGGGTCCCGCTCCTTCAGCAAGATATGGCTTATCTATTTCTTCCGTTAAGGAGAGACTTTATGTTCTTGGTGGTGATAATGGCAATGGCAAGCTCGAAGATGGTTCAATGGCTTATATCCTTGATTGCTGTAAGTTGGGGGAAGCTCCATTGTCAAGATTAGGCTAATGCTAATTAAATCTAAAGCCAAAATCAGATATCCACCTGAAACGGCAGCTCAACAACCACCCGCTCCCCAACCACATCCATCACAACCACCGCAACCATCGCAACCGCAACAACCTCAACAACAACAACACTATCCATCTACCCAATCACAGCAATCTAATGCCTCCCCTTCTTCGACATCCTTTCAATCCATGTCCGAATCCGAAGCATCGATACAACGAGGACCACCACCACCACCTCTTGTTCAAAATTCACAAAGCACGCCGATACGATCACCTCCTCCTATGCATCAATCCATCCCTCCTTCACCATCACAACAACAACAACAACAACAACAACAGCCTACACAATACAATGGATCTGCAAATGGTAGCATAAATGGATCACCTGCAATGCATGAATTGGAACCTCCTCAATTGATTGAACCACAGCCATCCATGTCAGCACCTATGCCAGCTGCTGCTGGTGGTGGTGGAGATCGTGTTGCACCACAACCCAAACCTCAAGATACACCACAGGTAAAGATACAATCATTTTAGTATGTTGGTATATCGTTGTATTCATCTTATTATGATAGCCCTCCAAGCCTCGTCATGCATCAGTAGTTCCAGAAGCAGCCCGACGACGAACAAGGACAACATCACCAATGCCATTTACTGAAGTTGATACCAACATGGAGATACGACACCATGGACCCATGTCACCTGCATCCATAAGCTCTAATGAAAATGACAAAGGAGGTTCGCTACGGAGTTTCACTGATGATGAACGTCCAACACGTCCTACGATTCCTCGTAATACAATGAACGGCATCGCTCCTCCACCACGACCATCACGTGAAGGCGTCAATCTTAACAGCTCGTATCGTCATACGATGGCTGATCACGTGATTGATGATCGACCCAAATCACAAATGCCTCGTTCTACGGATACCCCTCCTCGTGTTGCTTCACCTATGGCTAATGGGCGTCATCATCAACATGATACTCAGGATACATCAAGTATGGATCGTACAGCATCTCCTATTCCTCGACAACAAGAACATTCTTCTATCCCTAATGGCATTGACAACAATGGTGCACCCTTGACACCTCCACCACGACCTAAATCCTCTGCACCTGTACCAGATCCGATACAAGAAGAGAAGGCAGCCTTGGTGCGTGAATTACGTTCTCGTGAATTGATAGTGAACGAGATGCGTAAAAAAGAGCAATGGTGGCGTACAGAAGTATCCATTGCACGTAAACTTCGTGCAGCACAAGGTGAACGATTCGATGATGATCTTGATGAAGAACGACTCTTGATGGACTTTGATGGCGAACCCGACAAATTCAAGTTGTTTGATCAATTGGTGCATGTTAAGGCTGAGCTACGACGTGTAAAGCAATCGATCATGCATCAGGCACAACCCATGTCACAAAAGGTGACACAAGCTGATCGGATGCGTGTGGCTGCATTACAAGAAGCTGCTTACTTTAAGGCCAAATATGAATCGTTAAAGAGTCGACAACCACTTGACCCATCCCTTGAAGCGGATCGTGTTGATGAGCTTGAAAAGCGATTAGCAGCTGCACTTTCTGAGAATGAAGCCAACAGTCGATTACTTCAACAATTACAACAACGTGCTCAACATGATCATTCTTCGAGACTTGCTGCTGAGGAACGTGCCAAGGATGCTCATGAACGTGCACAAGAAGCTCAAGCTGCACATCAACGTGCTCTTGAGGAGCTTGCTAATGTCCATGATCGTGCTATCCAAGCTGAAGCGCAAACCCGTCAAGGCACTGTCAAGATTGCCGAACTTACTCAACAACTTGCAAACGCTCTCGCTACGACGCAGGACGTCTCTGAGGCACATATTTCGGTTTCTCGTCTTGAAGCTGCTAATCTCAAGGCACGTAATGAAGTGGCTGCTTTGAAACAAAAACTTGCAGAGAGCATGGATGACATGGCTCGTTTGAGGACCATCCTAAGTGAACGTGATGAAACACTCAAAGAGACCACTCGTGAACTTGAAGATGCCGAAATCCAATTAGCCATGATGCGTGATGCTATGCATCGTATTGAAAACAGTGCTCCATCTCCTCCTCGTGGATTTTAAATTGCATACATACAACACACAAACACACTCTCTCTCCTCAATCCATCATTAGAATATCACCCTCTCCAAAAGAACAATCCAACCAACAACATGCAAAAATATCATATAGGAATGCAAATAACATATACATGACACACTCTTTTTTTTATCCTTCTCGCCATTGATGTTGGCATGCATCATTACAACATTTGTAAAATATAGACATGGGTTCGTCAGCTGATCGAATCTGGATTTGCATAAAGAAAGCACGCTCATGTTCACACTTGGGGCACGTTACTAGAAAACAGAGAACATTAGTGTTCCTATCCACATCATTGTCTACTATCGTTTACTTACTCTCAGTAGAGTCAACATTCTTCCAAGCATCTGCACCACCGAGAACGTCGTCCACCTCTTTACGTTGAAGCTCCTTTCGAGTAGTATGCTATTCAATGGCTAATGTTAGCTCCACGATCAAGGAACTCGACTGGGGGAGGGGGAGATCATAGCTTACCCGTTGTTTGATCTTGTAAGTATAAGGACATGTCTGACAGAAAAAGTCCTGGCCATCCTCATTCTCAATGAGAAGCATATTAGAACATATCGGGCAAAACAGCATTTCGACGACGACAACGACGGCTTGTCTCTTTGTGTGTGTGTGTGTGTGTGTGTTGATGGTCCAAGACAAGAAAATTCCAGAGGATGCTTTAGCGGAGGCAAGATTAATGCTCGCTGGCTGCTGGGTATTCGACATCTCCCATTGATGATATAGTAGCACCATCCATACAACACATACAAGACCCTCTAGAGAAGTCTAAGGCTTGTTTTTATTGATTGATAAAGGGCAACGACTATAAAGCTGGTACTTGTAATGCGTGTGTATTCATTGTTGAGCTAAATAACCTGGATCAAGTCTTCATTATGATATTCCATGGTTGACATGCTACTTAGCCTATGCATGATGTTGGTCGTTGTGGCGATGAAATGTTTCCTTATGTTCCAAAAGAGTTTGTTGAACCCCTTCCATCAAGAAATGGCAGTGCTGTTGTCATGCAAAAATCACTCAGTTCGCGACTTTGGGAGATTCCAGTGAATTTCTTCCTCCTCGTTGCCTACGCTATGAATGCTGTCAAAGAACAACTGCCTTGCCTTTCGTCAACGTATACACCAGCAATACCCACGAAATGCATCCATACGCAAGTCGACATTGATCGATTCATCAAGACCAAAGCCTTCTCTCGCTTGCTCACCTTTGTCATTCTTCTCAATGCGAGCGTTACGCAGAAACCAAACTCGTATCCATGCCACGTTTCTCAGGTGAGTGGGTGTATGGGTAATCTCCATTGGTAGTGCATCAGGCTGAATAGAAGGTCTTCTTTTATAGCAAACACAAAGGGTGCTTGACATGTTGGATACGCTGGATAGTTGGCTGGCTGAATTCCCACCTCTCGATAACCCACAACGTTTTGGTAACAAGGCGTTTCGTCAATGGCTCAGCAAAGTGGAGAGCAACGTGGATACAATCATGCAGACAGCGTTACCATCATCGATGCATGCAGCTATTCCCGAGTTGAGCGTCTATTTGACAGGATCATTTGGCAACGGTACACGTATCGATTATGGATCGGGCCACGAGCTTAATTTTCTCGCATGGTTGGGTGGCATCGCTATGCTGGGTGGATTCACAGAGCAGGATTATGAAGCCATTGTACTCAAGATCTTTGTCCAATACTTGGAGCTTGCACGCAAGATTCAGAGAACATACACATTGGAACCTGCAGGTAGCCACGGCGTGTGGGGTTTGGATGATCATCAATTCTTGCCATACATCTGGGGTAGTGCACAAATGATTGGTAAGTGGTTGCCATCCCAAAGGTAAACTTCATTCAAGAAGTATTCACTACTTGTTGACAAAAGGTCATCCTCGGTTGAAGCCCAAATCCATCTTGAACAAAGATACAATCGAAGCCATGGCTAATGAAAACATGTATTTCCGCTGCATCCAATACATCCATCAGGTAATGAATGTAGTAGGGCGTGTCTTGATATCATGATTCATTGCTAATATCTCTTTGTAGGTGAAACGCGGGCCATTCCATGAACATTCACCCATGCTATTCGACATCTCGGCTGTATTAACATGGAACAAAGTCAACACTGGTATGGTCAAAATGTATATTGCAGAGGTCTTGAAAAAGGTACCTGTGGTTCAGCACTTTTTGTTCGGCCATTTGTTCCCCTTTGAGCCCTTAGACAATCAATGATGATGATAACAACACCACACTTTCATTATATCGCTACTCCTTTTGTATCACCCTTGTACATTCATTGCTCTATATTCCTTTGTAATACTGTAAACAAAATTTATTTGGGTCTAGATAAAAAGAATCTTCCTTTGACAATGATGCCTGTAATCAATGCTTGGTACCATTACCTTATCCGCTGTTGAGCCCTCCCAGCATGCACTTTACACACCGGATCTCTTTCCTCCATCATGTCTCTTTAAATTCTGCCTATTTCAAAAGAGCAAGCGTTGGTGTGTATCATGAATGGTCCTTTTGTAATTCTGAGCATTTGAGCTGAGGCATGTGCTAACTAAAGATGACTGGAGAATCGATCCACATGAAGAGAGCTGGTAAGCTATCTATATACTCCTATATTTTGGCCCCCTCCCCTTTCAAAGAATGGTGGTATAGACAAGACGAATTTATTGATATGCTGGCTATGTGGGCGGGTATGCCGCTTTATCACGTGGGGGGATGATCTCGAAAATGGGTTGTAGTGTGGAACCCACAACCTTCTTCATGTTCTCCCTTCTTTGTAATGTCAATATCCACAGATGCTTTAAGGTCATTTCACTTGCGTGTTCTATTCCCACATATCCTTTCGCTATCGAAGACTGATCCACGCCGACTCAATGCACCTCCACGAATTACACGTTCCAAGCCTATCGATTCCGAGCTATATACCTACATTGCACTTCTTGTCCGAGATTTCATACACCCATGGTACCGAGTTGTGACCAATGACCAAGACTTTGTGGCCGAGCTTGTCCGTATCCTTATTGTTGTTATTCGAGAGCTCGAGACACGATTTTGTGAGCAGGTAAGTATCCCAAAGGGGGGTGGGATTCATGCGAGGTGTTGATCATGTATATCATTAGGTGGATTGGACAGAGCTTATCATGATCAGTGCTCCCAACTTGTTATCGATCCATTATCAAGACTATCGACAAGCCAAGATGCGACTTCATATGAGCCATGCCGGCAATGCAGTATCGCTTGAAGCCCTCTTTCATGGTACACAGCCGCATTTCGCATTACGATCCGAGGAACAGGAAATTGAATACCTTCGTGCTTTGACCGATGCCATCCTGCAAACAGTATTGGATCCTGCAGATTACAACAGTGATTGTGTACGCCATCTTGTACGAGAACTAGTGGCCAACTTGGTCCTTGGTAATATTGTCGAGCTCTTGGCCGATCCATACGTTATTCATATGATTATATGCAAGGTATGAATGGCATGGAACTTTTTGTGTTGTTTTTATATACTGATTTATGCCTTAGCTATTAGAATCATATGATCCATTGGTGGATGAACTCGAAGCAACCGGACAATTCACTTCACCCGAGGATTTGATGTTGGTGGATGAAGCACCTGATGTTACGGATGGACCTGAACAAAAGCAAGAACGTTTAGCTTCAGCATTACAAGAAGCACAGGCAACAGACATGTCGAATGAACAACAACTTTCTACATCATCGCCACCACCACCACCTCTACAATCCACAACACTGGAAAAAGAAGCTGAGAGTTTACCGAGTCATATGCAACGACTACAAGAAAAAAGACGACAACAAGGCGACGATTTGGTTGATGCAGGACGAGATGAATTGGATGGAGCAAAAGCACATGAACGACGCCATTTTTCATTTATCTATATCACACTACAAGTAATGCTGGCACCCATTCAAACCATGTGGTTGTACTTGACCGCCATTTTGACAAGCTCTCAAGAACGATATCAACAAGTCGCTCAGCATACCAAACGCACACGTCATGTTCGACTTTTGGAGCCATGGATGCATTTTCTACGTATCGCGTTTTTGGTGGATGATCGACCCGTATTACAATGGACGTGGTCAATGGTTGGGATGTTTTTATGGCCACTGGTGCGTGTACTAGGTGGAGGATTGTTGGTGGATAAGTAAGTATTGGTAACCAATATTGGATAAGCATCATTTTGATACGAGCTTTACGTCTTTAGATTTTTGGAGCAAACCATCATGCACTTTTTGGGTGAAGATCAGTTGGTGTATTACTTGCAGCTGGGGCGCAACTTGCTTTGGCCAGATGGGCAATTTATTCGTAAAGGCGAACCAGTGACAGCACATGAAAAGGAACGAATGAGGATACGAGCTGAAAGGTTACTTACAGTTTGCTTTCCTGGTAAGCAAAGATGCTCTTTTTTTATTATTGAAGCTTACGATGGGAAATAGGAATCATGGGCAAGGTCGTCTTTGAAGCTGCAAATCTGGATGAACTACAATCACATATCCATGATGCCATTGAGCCATTACAGAACAAGTATATCAACAAGCACCTCATGTTTCTTTTGGTGGATCTCGTAGCATCCAAAGCGATACCCAGTCTAGTAGACGATCAATGTAAATAAAAGAACTCTCGTATAATTAGCTGTTTAATGATCAACACAAATATTTATTCATACTATCCAAATTGAGAAACTACTCTTAAGAAAAGGCGCTCTTGTTCTTTTCAAGCCATTGCTCAATGGTTTCAGGCTCACGACCCAACAACAATGGTAAAGCAGGACTAACATCTTCAAAGCCCTTGAACATGCCAGCAGCAATAGTAAGGGCAACACCATGTGGCGCTCCAACATGTTCGACAATATAATTGTATCGATCCGAAACTGGTAGCCGCTTGTAGCTAATTGGACGTCCGAGGACCTTGGAAAATACAGCTGCACGTTCCTTGGGTGTGATGGATTCACCAGACATTTCATACACGATGTCACCATGCTTTTCAATGGGATCCTTGAGGCAAATGACAGCGAGGCGGGCGATATCGCTTGTGGAAATCCATGATTGGAATTCATCAGGATCCACCGTATCATAAATGACACCATCTGATTTAATCGTAAGAGCATCTTGCCATGCTTGATTGGCCATGAAACGTGCAGGTCGCAAAGCTACATAGGTACCACGATCCTCCATAGCGATGATGGCATCCTCTGCAAGCGAATGACCAGCGCCAATGGTAGTACGACGGCCACCAGCTGAGACAGTAAGAGAAGAGACATCCACAATTTGCTTGACCCCCGCTGCATAAGCACGGGCCGCAATGGCTTTCTTGATTCGAGGCATTTTGATAAGATCGGCAACCAAAAGGAAAAGGCGGGTATGTCCACCAATGGATTTTTCAAAGGGAGCCAAGTCGTCGTAATCGCCTTGAACCAAAGTCAATAGATCGTGCTGCTTCACCTTGGCAGGATTGCGCACATAGGCTGTGACATGGACACCACTGTCAAGAAGAGCTTGTGTTACTTCAGCACCAATGTTGCCGGTAGCACCAAGAACATAGACTTTTTCGGACATGGATACAAAGAAATAAAAAGAAGAGTGGAGAATAATAAGGAGGAGAGAGATTCAATAAACAATGAATGTTGCTTTTAAGATGATGATGAAATCGCCAGTTTTTATACCATTTCATGTGGGAGCTTATGCATGCCCATGCATTTAACGACTTAACCAAAGAATCCCTTCATGCAAAAAGATTACGTGTGCGATTGCCCAAATCATCAAAAATGGCAAGTGCGGGCCACGTCAAACGGACTAAATTTTAAAGCCACAACGGGGAGGTGTCGCCGCTCCTTACTATCTGATTCATCCATGTGTCATCATTGAGTTGTTGTTTCATTGGATAGGTTTCAGATTTAATAAAGTAATTCTATTGTGTTCAAGTACATGTGCTAATTACAAGACCTTGTGGGCTCGTTGGTATATCTCTTGCTGGACTTCACGTTGCAACAAGTCAATTGTCGGCGAACGCTCAGCAAAGTGAACTGTTGGGCTAAATCACAAAAAAAAGGGAAAATGCATCGCGTGAGCACAATCATGCATGGAACATCCACTTCTCCATATCACCATATATACCTTCCATCCTTGAAATACACCGTTTCTATGGGCAATAAGAGCCTTGAAGTGCTGGTGATGAAGCATCCTTCCCACTTGTTATTTCGTGCATCGGAAGCTTGTGGAAATGTCCATTCGATTGGTATTTGGTGTTTCTCACAGACTTTCATGACAATCTTCATCACCGTGCCCAACAGGATATGTTCAAGAGGTGCGCATACAACAACAGGTTGGCCATCATCACGTGTTTTGACAATGAAAAAGTTGGATGACATGCCCTCGTATAGGTTGCCGCTGTCATCGGATAACACAACTTCATTCACATCTTCGCCCTTTGTATCATTCATGGTGGCTCGTTCCCTGCATGAATCGATGTAAGTAGGATGCATGGATATGCAATAACTTTAATATTACTCACTGCACCCATTTGGAATCCTTGACAACCGGATTGTCTCTTGTTTTTGATTGCACCACCACTTTGATACGATGATTGGGAGGACGTGTTAACGTTGAAAATTGAGCAGCAAAGCAAGGACGCCGTTTCTTATGCATAATCAGCAAGTGTGTGCGGATCTTATGAACAATGAAACTCACCTCATATGAATAGGCCACCATAACCATGACCTTGATTTCATTGGCTCCATCAGGTTTAAAAGCAGTTAATCCAGCCTTCAACAATGGGAGTAATCTTTCTTGCAAGCTATCAACATGGCGGTATGGCTCCATAGCTCGAGTGACCTCTTCTGGTTCCCCTTGCTGGCCATCAGGCACAAATTTCAATAGTGAGAGTGAATTGGTGATACGCTTGATATGCGAATCGAGCTCGACTATTGCAGTCCTGTTGACAGTACGCATCCCGGTATAAGCACCTATATTTGTATTGAATAAAAATGATACAGAGGAACGAGTAGAGTAGGTAGAATGGGCAATGCTCACTCACCTCTTGGGTACGATAAGACAAATGCATTTGAATTGGGATCGACTTGACGACTTTCATATTGTGGATCAGCGCTCGGTGGATTGAGTTGCTCAATGACAAGGGAGGCCATGGGACGAATTGAAGAGAGGGTGTTGTTGCGGAGGAGGTGTGGAAGAGCAGTAAAGGGAAAAGAGCAATGGGGCCGTATTGTTTGTGTCCTGGAGACCTGGCGTAACATGTCGACAGAAACACAAGGCTGTGCAGCTGTTGTGAGTCGGAGAGGAGGAGTACAATGTGATCCATGGTAAAGACCATGTGGAACACACACCACCAGAGAAACATGGAAAAAGATCAATTGGCTCGCATCATTGTATCCAGGACATTATGACAAGGAGAAGGGAAGGTTCGAAATAGCCGCTATATTGTAAACCATGCATTCAATCGTCATCCTCAGCAATCATTTTATCATATTCCCGGTCAAAGAAAGGATGTTGTAACGCCTCCTCTGCAGTGATACGTTTGCTAGGATCAAGAGCAAGCACCATGTGGATAAGATCAATAAACAATCGGCGATGCTCGCTCGTTTGTGGAATAATCATGGCCTGCAACAAAAGGTCGTGTCAACATAGAAGGTAAGATGAATCAATTACTACATACTTACATCCAAAGCTTCAACTTGATTATGCAGCTGAGTAGCGTGTACACGTCCATCGTCATCAAAAAATTGTTGTGATTGGGAGCTTGATATAGGAGGCGTCAATTTAAAGCAAATGTGGAATTGTTTGTAGCGTAGTACATCATCATACCTCGCCTTTTGTATAATGCTTTTTGGAAAGTGACCAAGGACTTTTTCCATCATAGCAAGATGCTCTCCATCATCATTTTTGGTATCAAATAACGCGTTGCCAGTGAACATCTCCATGGCGACGCAGCCGATTGACCAAATATCACAAGGATACGACCACCCAACGCCTAGTATCACCTCGGGGGCACGATAGTGACGAGTGGATACAGTCGCTGCATGAAATTCATTCTCGAATGTCGCTGATCCAAAATCAACAAGCTGGACATCGCTGCTATGTGGGATGTATCGTACAAACGCCTATCAACAATGAGTGAGCTTAAATTCACGATGCTTCTTATTACAGCATTTACCTGCTTGTCAGCACCTTTATCCTTAATCATGGTGAAGCGCTCCAATTGCGATGTTGCATCGACTAGCATCACGTTTTCTGGTTTTATGTCGGTGTGAACAAGCTTTAACTTGTGGAGATCTGTAGCATGAAATGAGTAAATAAACAACCCCAAATGTTCTTCCAGGATGAGTCTTACATGCAGCACCTTGCAGCAATTGATGAGCTATGCTCCTCACGTGCTTCAATTTGAAGGGCAAGAACTTGTTCATCTTTAAGAAATCGAAGACGGACTTGGCGAGTAGATCAAAAACCATACAAATGTGTTGATCATGGAAGAAATGTGCACGTATTTCAGCGCATTTGCTGCAATAGATAGGATTAAGATTAAGTCTTGTGGCGATAAGGATTTTGACGTCGATGGTCAAACTTACTTGTCATTGGCACATTTGGTCTCCTGAAGCTTTTCCAGTACTCTCAACTCAATTTTGCCCGATTCTCGATACTTTGGTGCGCTTCGAATGACTTTGACAGCACATTGTTTATCCAAAAGAAGATCATGACATTTGAACACTTGACCGAACGTTCCTCTGCCAATCTTTGAAAGCGTGATATCTACAACAACAAGAAGGTTACAATCAAATTCATCATCACCACCATCCATTCCATGATTCCCAACTTGCAGCGTTCACCAAGGACATGGTTTTCTTGAAAAATCAAATGACCATCAGCACCATCCAAAGAAGGCTGCTATACACAACGTGGTTGGTACATTCCAAAAAGATCAAGGGGTAGTATCAGGGGATGGATAGATGCCTGCCTTGCGATATGTGGGCACTTGATAATATCATGTAAGTAGGCGTATCTATGTGTGTCATGTCCTTTAAAATCAACGTACTTCCTGTTCTTGCTCTCTTATGAGGCGTGGTGGGGTGTACGAATAGCGGTGTTGGTGAAGCGACACGCTTGCTGGACGTTGTGTGTGGGGAAGGTTTTACACCGACGCGTATTGTTGAGTTTGGTTGTGCAGCAGGTTGCTGTGGTTGCGATGTTGGTGAAGGTGCAGTCAATGACATGACGTTGTGAATGGAGCCAAGATCAGTGTATGTATAGAATAGGAGACAAGAAATAGTAGTAAAGGATGATTATAGTGTCAAAAGCGAAAGAGAAGGGTTGCTTCAGATATGGAAATCATGCGTATATTTGTAACATGTTATCATTCATATCAATAAGTATTACAGTGAAAAGAAAATACATGAATAGTAGCTGTTGGTATATGTATAAAAGATCCGTGTTCTATAGGCGACCTTGTAAAACGCCTTCGATGCAGCTGTTAATGTAATCTTTGCGCGTTGCCATAGAAACACCAAATACTCGTTGCAGTTCTTCACGCACTTGTTTCTTGGTCACTCTGGTAAGATCAGAGGTCGCGAGAATGCGCTTGACTTGAGACAAAACCTCCTCGTTGGTTGGACGATCTGTGCCACCTTGCATGCCATCCAATGAGCTACCATCCATTGCTGCATCAGGTACCATGGTTGCTGAAGAATGCATGTGCATAAACTGAGGTCGTTGTTGTTGTTGCCATTGATGATCTTGGATATGGGAAAAGGAGTTCATTGATCCATGTGATGGTTGCTGTTGTACGTTGCCAGTAGACACAGGTGCAGGATATCCTATAGGCATGATGGGGATTGATGCAGATGACGGCATCATGATACTAGCACCTTCCGTAGTATAAAATCCAGTGGTGGAAGGCACAGCCGAAAGTGGAGGATAGCCCATACTCAAATTGTCGCGACTATTGTTGTTTAAGAGCGTTGTTGCTGGTGGTCTTACTCGGCTATGGTGTGTGTAGCTGCTTCTACTATTGCTGCTGCTGCCCTGAGACATACCATCGCTCCAATAATCCTCAGCCAAGAGCATCTTTTCGTATTTTGACCATGTCATTGTAGGGATTGACTTTGGATCAAACTCTTCTTCTTCGCCCACTGCTATCTTTTTGCCTTTCTCTCCAACAACGATACGTGTGTTGCCCCATGAAAAGTCGTCAAAGTGCCAATATGAATACAGCGGAATGTAGAACCAAAACACTGGGATGGCGAAGATCGACACCAACATCCACATGATATACTCCCAACGCCGTTTCACAATAAACAACAACGCTTGCAGTCCATACGTTCCGCCCAAAACAATGATGGTCAATATCGGGATCGTGTCCTTCATGGTCGCCAACTTGTAGATCAAATAACCGAGATACCCCACCATAGCAGGCATGACCAGCGTCGAGATCAAATCCATCAATACCACAAATCTCATTGAGAAACAGCAAAAACCACATAGTCGAGGTAAGAAAACGAGTTCGCCAAGATTGTGAATAGTCGAATTAATCCATCGTCGTCGTTGAGAAACAAGCACACTCCACTGATCGGGTGCATTGGTTTTGCATTGAGCGTGCGATACGAATTTGGTCTTGTAGCTTGGGAAATGCTTCAACAGCAATGTCGTCAAATAGCGATCCTCTCCAAGATACAGCAGGTTCTTCATATGCAGCGTGTCGACCTTGTTGACATGGTAATCATTGATGATATCATTGCTGCAAAAAAGGGCTCTTCTTCCATCGATACTCCGGATCCGATACATTGTGAAGCATCCAGGCAAGCATGTAACAGTGGAGAAGAGTGATTCAAAGGCTTTGATCATGTGATGTGAAATAAAGTATTCATAGACCTAATAATCAATTGAGTGAGTGATTAACTTTTAATTTAAAGCAAATATGCATTTACCTGTATCATGCTGATCCAGCTAGCATTGCGATTGTTCAATTCGGTTTCTCCGCACAGACCAATAATCCTGGAATCATGCGACATTGAAGATACCATAAACGAAAGGCTATCAGGCATCACTTCGGTATCCGCATCCACCATCAGCACGTATTCATAGAGGTGAGGACTAACGCCGATAACATTCTTCATTTGGTGATACATCTCAAGCTGTAGAGGTGACATGGGCGAGTCATGGTGCACACAGTTGAGAAACTCCATCAAAATGAGCTGTGAATCACGCTTGCCACGGTTGCCAGGTTTTTGTCGCTCTGTTGGCTTGCCACATTTGACGACTACCAAGTAGGGTACCACATGGCCTGTTGTTTCATACAGCCCAGAATAGATCTTCCCCATGTTGTGCTGCTTTTGACCTTCGCCAACCGAAAAGAAGGGAAGTGGCTCTGGATCCACATGCGAGTCAACACCAAGGATATCAAGCACGATGCGTGGAGTAGGTCTATCATTGCCACTGCCAACAATCATCCCATCGCAAATGATAAAAAGCAGCTTCCTCTTATCATCGTATCGAAGCGTGGCCAAAGAATTGATCGTCTTTCGTAATGACTCATCATCCTCGGTATAGCATGTCACTTGAGTGATAACAAACTTATCCAATTCCTCAGGTACACGTTTGCTGCCAATGCGGAAAGCTGCCACAAACTTGAATACAATAACAGCGCACAAGAGGCACGTGACAATGAGCAAGAGGTACGTTGAAAATTGACACCTGGCAGAATTTCTTGTATCCAACATGCCAACGAAAAAGAGGTTGCGTAGACACACCAATTGTCGTTGCTTGACAGCTGCAGGGAGCGGAAGATCAGCCCAATCCTTCGTAATATCGCCACCGGATTTTTGTCGAAACAATGCCACAACAGATGGATGCATGAAATTCAGGTCGATATCAGCTGGCGGTTGTTGATCAGGTGGTGCTGCTGCATATCGGCCACCCATATCGTACATTGTCAAATCGTAAATATGGTTATCAATGTAAGCCCATTTTCGTGTCGTTTTGATCCCATTTTGAGTCGTTTCAGAGCTTGCTTGATCATTGACGGCTTTTGGCTCGTATCCCATATGACCCAACTTGAAATTCTTTCGTAGCATCATCATTTGCTGGTAGTACCAATCAGGCTGATAGAATCCAGAGGAATATCGGAAATCATGATACTGGGCATTGTCATCCGTCAAATTCACCTGGTAATTCAACGATACGTAAGGAGATACTTCGCCAGTGACCCCATCGCAAAGAGCTGACACTTGCATAGGGAAGAGATCGCTAACATCTTGGCCACCATATTCAAGCACCGTATCCATGGGGATGATGTTGCTAGGATAATGATGAGGGGCAAAGCCGGTCAAATCAAACACCTCTCCACGAATCGCCACATAGGCTTTGTCCTTTTGGCTATTGCTTGCCAACTCATCTTCTGAATAAACAGCTTGATGGGGACATACAAGCTCGCCGAAAAAGACCAGAAACCAAATAATCACCGCACACATGAGAGCAATCAACATACACAGCGTCACTTTTTCACGCCATGCGATACGCACATCCTTGCGCTTCATGGCACCGCACCATACGAGACATTTGGATGGGATCCATCCGGTACAAATAGCCACGAAAAATAACCATCGTCTTCTTGTAGCTGACTGCTTGGATTCATCTTCATCCGTCTCATCGAGATTGTCAGGCTCCATGTTGCGTTGTTGATTATGTAACATCATATCATCATAGGTATAGCTGTCAGATCCATACACCGAGTTGTCATTGTTATTGTCGCTGCTTGGGTGTTGAACATAAACTTCGTCATCAGAATAAGAGGATCCAGAAGGGTGGTGGTGCTCGCTACTACGTAAAGGATGCTGTTGTGGTGCCTCGGATATCTCATCTTGTTGAGGTGGTGGTGCATGCTGTGTTTGTTGTTTGTTTGCTCCTTGCTCTCTCTTTTCCGATTCCCGTAACTGATCCTCAAACATCCGCCATGCATCGAACGATAAAAAGATCTACCATCGATTCTATATCAGTATCATGCTTCATTATGCAATACATTATTACGTACCTTTGAATCACCAACGATAGCATCCAAATGTGATAATTTGTAATCCTGTGCAAGATTTTCCAATTGTGATCGAGGAGAACCATGATGCAAAAGCCCTAATGGCTGTAGCGGTCGATCGTAACGTTCAAGGAATTCATGATGCGTATAACAAATTGTATGCTGTGTAACTGATGTGCGAGTAATGGATGCCATGCCGAACATTTTGATTTGCTCAATGACGCATGAGGTATCGAAAATGGCCTGCTGCTGTTTTGTGTTGGGTTGGATACAATAAACGGCCCACAAATTAGCTTCCTTGAGTGAGTCAATCATTTCATCAAACGATGCATACAGTTGGCTTATGCTAGTAGTCGCAGCGTTGTTGTTGTTGTTGTTGTGATCATCCTTATTCTGCTTCTTTTTCAATTGTTGTTGTCGCTGGCTTTGACGACGTGATGGCATACGATTGATGTGTTGTTGCGCTGATACAATGGCATCTGGATTCCTTGGATGTGTTTGAATATTGAGCATATCCTTTTGCCACAGCTCCATAATAAATGCGTTCCATGATGGCTGCATCCCGACACCACCCAAGAAAAGTGAAACGAAATCGACGGATATTTGATTCCGATTAGCCACCAAAAAGCCATTGGGGTCATACACTACTTGATGGACATTGAAGTGTTGGATCGCAAATTGACGTTGCTGACTGCCTGGTGCATTATGGATGGAGAAGTTGTCATGGTTGCCATTGTATTTGATGAGTGAATCCACCATATCTGTATCCGAGATGTCCTTCTTTTTCTTTTTCTCAGTCATGCTTTCGATTACAGCGCACACGCCACGTGATGGTCGCTCCAACAGGTCCGTCAGTTTGTCAATGCTTGTGAGAGGTGCCACACGTGTAACAAGATGATCAATGCCTTGGTTGTCGTACCATTGTTGCTGATGTGTAAGCAGGTGATCCATTGTAAACTTGCGTATACGCTCATTAGCCACATTGACAAGGAATGAATAAAAGTCGTTGCTAGGTGATTGTTGCTGCAAGCCTGGAAAATCGAGCACGCTGATGAATGCACGAAAGCTGTCCCCATCATCATCATCGACACAAAGTTTGGCATTGATCCTTTCCACCATCCATGTAAACAAGAGCGCGTAGAGTGTCTTTGCAAGTTCATCACGCTGAGTCGAAGCTTGATCGGCATTCAATATCAATGTTGTCAAATCTTTGCGTATCATCGTCGTCTTGAACACCAATACATTCTCAAGGGCTCGTGAATCCACTCCAAGAAAGTCGGCAATGAGATTGAGCTGATCAACATCCTTGACGTAGGCAGCATCCTGATTATTGGTAGGATCCAAGAATGTCAAATCACCAAGATGCAAAATGGCAGCCAATAATTGCATGATGCGAGACACTTGTTCACGGCGAAACCCAGCTTGTTTGAGTGACGACTTTAGCTGCTTTAATGAATCGGGTGTTGTCTCTATGCCCTTTGTTGTGCTCGCCAGGTAACGAAACTGGTGGTCTTGTTGTAATTGGAGGGCATTGCGTTCTTCTGGTGAACAACCCGCCACAAGCTGATAAAAGACCGCAAAGTTGTGTTCATTGGTCTTCGATAATCGTTCCTTATCAAACAAGTGATGGATCATCTTTGCTCCCGCCATACGACCACGATCATTGAATTGGAGCTCTGCATAATATCCAAATCGCGATGCATCATTGTTTTGTAAAGTGGTGGCGTTGCCAAATGTATCAAGTACACGTTGTGCATGGAGAAACTGCGTCTGAATTTTGCTTTCCCTCTTATAGCTCCCAAGTCGCACCAGTTGACGGGTAACCATGTTCCGAGCATATGTCTTCCCAGAACCCACCACTCCACTGTAGAGAACAATGTGAGAAATGCGCCATGAGCCTATAATTACTCTCCCAATATTCACATGTGCTTACCATAAAGTCACAACTTGATCAATCCCTGTTCGTCGCATATGGAAATAGACTCGATTTACAAGCTCATAAATGTGTGGTGGTCGCTGCATCATCATCTTGTCGTCTTGTTGTCGACTCGCTGTGTCTTTGTATTGAGCAACATAATCCAATCCCATCTGATGCTCTTCGTCCATTGACATTGTGCGTGGCTCTTTCAACATCACCAGCTGTTTCGATCCCATCCACGTAAACTGCTGCCGTTGTTCATATCTCGTCTTGAGACATCCACAGATATCGCTCTCATTGGGTGCAGCAGTAGTCAATGTTGCAAGGTTGGATATGTTGGAGGCATCACATCGCTTTTTTTGTTTCCCCATGCCGAATTGGATAGCTGTAAACAAACGAGTGTAAGAAGAAGAAAGAGGAAAAGAAAGAAAAGAAGTGTGTATTTTTGATGCAAGGACCCAATTTGGTATCAAGGTGACCATCTACACACACACACACGCACACACGCACACACACAAACATACACATACACAGAGCCCGCCATCAGGGAGAATTATTTTTAGCCCTTCACCCCATCCTACACACAGACTTCAGGAAACACACCTACCCATCGTTATCAGCAGCCTTAAGGCGAGTAATAATGGGTCGTACAAGAAACTACAGGTCATGTTGTTATTTAAAAACTCCTTTAGTAGCCCCCACAAGTAGAACCCATGTATACTTACATACACACATACGTCTTCATTCGCTTCATTCAACAGGTCCACGCCCATCGGATCATTTGGTATTCATTATCATATGTCGTCGTTGTTGCTGATAAACAATGAATCCGTGCTACAAAGAATTTCATGCAGATCAGCCTGCTGTCCCTGAAAGAAGCAATTAGCACCATATACACACACCTTTCCATATCAGTTTTAACCGCCTTATCACTTCTTTCCCATGCGCATCCCTCGAGAAGACCTTGACAATACAATGCCTATTCGTGTCAGCAACATTGAAAATGGTCAAACAGTGCACCAAGTAAACATATCGCGTAATAGTAGTAATACATTCAACATACCAACAGTTGCCATAGAGATTGTTGCTCGTCAACGGTCGCACTAGCAAGAGCAATCAGTTCGAAAGGTGCATGACCGTGTCCTCATCCGATTACCCTACCACATTCTGGCCATGTGTCGATACCCACTTTAAGGTCCTTGTTCATCTCGTTCCAGGAAGGAATACGGTGACATTGGCTCTTGAAGACGATCCATCGAGCGCGACCCAGTTGATTGTCAACTACATTCCTTTGTTGCAGAATCCACCTCTTCATTTGTGCATATTCATTGCAAGAGACTCGCCATGCAAGTTTGATGTGCCACCGGAGAAGCGAGGACAAGATACGTTGGATGTAGCGGTGGAGAAGATGCGAGTGGCAGGATATATGTGGCAGGCATTTTGTGCTGAACAAATGCAAAGAAATGGCCTTGGGTGGCGTACCTTTCGACTGGATGAAGCCTGGTTACCAGATACGCTCTCGTTTCAAGATGGCAAACGACAACGACACACTGCTCAAGTGCACATTGTCAGGAGCAAGTACAGCGTGGCAGAGATCCGTGATCCTCGACGAGCACAACAAAACCCAAATAGGAACGACAATGTACCCAGTCTTCATGCCATGTTTATGGAAGATATTCAACGCCATTCGTTATTCAAGCATCCTTGTATCGTAGCAGGTCTCATTTTGGATACACATTGGGATGGCAAGCTGGTCTTGGGTCATGCTGCATTAGGTGGTGGATCAGGTGAACATAGTCTAGGCATATTTGGATCCCATTCGCTCCATAGTTGGCCAAGAAACCTCGAGGAGATCCCACTTTGCATGATGGATAATACACCCACCGATACAAGATATGTGGCCAATGACGCAAATGAATCGGGAGAATGGTGGAGGGCACTTAACATTGGTATGTGTCATTTTATCGATATGATGATATACTTTTATCTAATTAATCATCTCTTCAGGTATGGGAGCCATGGTAAGAAGTAATGCTTGATAAACATTGATAAATCGCATAACACGTACTTGTTTTCTAGTTGCATGAAGCAGGACACGCTCTTTGGCTTACACATACGCCACATGGTAAGGATGAAGGATAACATAAAGAAGACATTATACTGATACGGTTGCTATCATCAGGAATCATGAGCCGAGGGTACAACAATTGGAATCGTACATTTATGGCCAAAGAGCCACCTGGTGGTTTTGCTATTGATCCATCCAATGAAGGAGGTTCCAAATGGTAAGTAAAAAGGGTAAATCAATGTGATCAAAAAGAAGGATACTAAAAAGATGCATGTACTATGCTACAGGCATCGTCTCGATATTGCACGGCTTCGTTACAATCCAGCATTCCGATTACCATCGGATCGACCTCAAGGGCCTGAATCGGATGATGGTAGTGCACCACTCATTATGCCACTCAATCAGCACACTTTGCACGTATCAGCGCCCAAATGTGGTTTAGCCGTGATCGAGCTCAATGTCAATGATCGATATCGCACACACCTTGAGTTTCTTGACACGCCATCTTGTGAATTATCTCTCAATGTTCATCATCTTAAGCAACAAGCTGGATGCAGTGGAAATGAACGATTGACGATGCAAGCAGTGGCTGCCAACCTTCGATCTTCTGATTGCATTGATATTGATCAATTTATGCGTGAACATGTGGTTCATTTTCCAGCCGAGTTTCCTTCCGTTCCAGTTCTCAAGAGTGATGGCTACGGGCATGGTGGATTGGGTGCCTCGCTAAAATCCTCTGTGCTATTCCCACCCCATCAACGAAAAAGAGGCAGGATCACATGTATTCGTGTTCATCATGGGTCATTCTTGGATGGACTTGTATTTCGATGGGATGATGGCACTGAAGATGTACTTGGTAAACGTGGTGGTGGATCTACCGACTTTCCCCTTTATCCCGATGAAATGGTGGTAGGATTCAATATTCGTAGCGGTGCATGGGTGGATGGTATACAGCTCTTGACTAGCAAAGGTCGAACAAGTCCATGGTTTGGTGGACGAGGTGGATCACTTTATTTTGTACAGCCTCCTGTTGGATATAGACTTGCAGGCATGTATAGTACAGCAGGTCAATGGATGGATAGCATAGGCATTTATTATGTTCACCAATAAACAATGATTAGCTATTACTGTAAATGATATCAACAAATGAGGGATGGTGATGGTCTAAGAGGAGCCGTGAGCGGCGCGTGAGGATACTTCAGGCACGAAATTACCGACGCGTGAATCTAAAAATCTCGCGTTATCTCTCTTTTTCGTATCGACGACCACACACACCGCACCTTTCTTTCTCGTCATTAACCCTTCACTCACACACACCCACATTCCTTGCACATGTCCGATCGGCGAGAATTTGGCAGTGGAGCTTCGTCTTTCAAAAAGGGTCGCCAACCTCGATTAGGGTCAACACGAGCCAACAGCTCTGCACAACGCTTCAACTTACCCAATGGCGTCGACAATGCACCCACCAATCTTGATCAGAAGTTCGACGACATTCGTCGACTCGATGAGCTTGAGTCTCGCTTTGGATTCGAACGTTACAAAGAAGGACCTGAGCGTCTTGGTTGGCTTATTAATATGCATGCGGTAAGAAGGCACAATGGAAGCGATCTGGAAGCGATTGCATACTAATACTTGCAGTAACAAAAGACGGTTGTACGCGACTCTGAATGGCCTGGTGGACGAGCCGGTGTCAATTACTATTTCCTTGATGAAGATGGCCAAACTTTCAAAGTGACACTTGTACACAGCCCATACTTTTATATTGGATGCAAGGTATGTATATGTCTAATGCTAGTAATATCAATACATTGACATTTCCCTATAGCCAGGCACCGAACAAGAAGTGGAAGAATACCTGCGGCGTCGATTTGATAATACAATTGAACGTGTCGCGCGTGTAAGGAGAGAGGATTTGAAGCAGGTAAACAATTCTGCTGGTTGTTTGGGTGTCAATGCAGGATGTGCTCATTGTTTCCTTTGTGTAGCCAAACCATCTCATCGGCAGGAAAAGAACATTGCTGCAGCTCTTTTTCAGAAACGTATCCGATTTACTTGCCGTAAGACGAATCTTGTTGCCAGCTGCACAAAAGAATCGACAAAAGATTGATGCCATGGATACATACGCAGAGGTTGTCAAGTAAGTCTTTACACGTGGAGGCATTACAAAGTAGCTCATACATGTTGTTGTAGTGAAACAAATCACATTTCATATGAGACGAGCTCCTCAACGCTAGCATCCATGTCATCACGCAAGAACCCGAATGAAGCCATTGACAATATTATCGACATTCGAGAATATGATGTACCCTATTACGTTCGAGTTGCCATCGATCTAGGTAATTGGCTTAATCATGTGGACGATCTTAGGAGGATCACACTTACATTGGGATTGATTGTATTAGATATTCGAGTTGGTCTATGGTACAACGCAAAGGCACTTCCAGACGAAACGGTTATAGTGACTCGGAGGCATGACCTGGTGCATCGTCCTGATCCTGTTGTTCTTGCCTTTGATATTGAGACAACCAAATTGCCACTCAAGTTTCCCGATTCATCGATTGATTCCATTGTGATGATTTCATACATGATTGATGGTCGTGTAAGTGACAAATAAGGAAATTGGGGTCATGGGTTCTAACAACAACTTTACATCTAGGGCTATCTCATCACAAACCGAGACATTGTTAGTCAAGATATTGAGGATTTCGATTATACACCCAAGCCTGAGTACGAGGGACCTTTTACCATTTTTAATGAAGCCAATGAGGTATATACTTGAATGCGTTTACCGGATAAAAAAATGAAATGTTAATATTCATTGTTCTTTTAGTACGACTTGCTGATGCGATTCTTTGAACACATTCAAGAAGCCCGACCTACCATCTTTGTTACTTATAACGGTGACTTTTTCGATTGGCCCTTTGTCGAAGCTCGTGCCAAGGCACATGGTATTGACATGTATGATGCAATTGGTGTCTACAAGGATGAAGAGGATGAATACAAGTGCAAGCACGCATCTCACATGGACGCATTTCGATGGGTGAAGCGTGATTCATATCTGCCGCAGGGTAGTCAAGGTCTCAAAGCAGTGACGACAGCCAAGCTAGGCTATAATCCTATTGAATTGGATCCCGAAGATATGACAAGGTAAAACAAAGGACAATGTGCCTAGCAACTCAGTTTCTCATTATTCCCATTTGCAGATTTGCCTCTGAACAGCCACAAACGCTTGCTCAGTACTCTGTTTCCGATGCCGTGGCTACGTACTATCTCTACATGAAATACGTGCATCCTTTCATCTTTTCGCTATGCAACATCCTGCCATTGGTACCTGATGAAGTCCTTCGTAAAGGCACCGGTACACTCTGTGAGCTGCTTTTGATGGTAAGTGTGGAAATTCATTAAATCCGTAACCCCTGAAACACTAATCTTTATATAGGTCGAGGCATACAAAGCCAATGTCATTATACCCAACAAGCACGTTGAAGAATCCAACAAGTTCTTTGAAGGCCATTTACTGGAGAGTGAGACATACGTTGGTGGCCACGTAGAAGCTCTGGAAGCTGGTGTCTTCAGAAGCGACTTAGATACCCACTTTAAGGTTGATCCTGCTGCCGCACAACAGGTAAATTATTCTTATTTTCATTGTCTAACGGACATCTCCGCTAACAAAGCATATGCAATAGCTGATTGATCAATTGGATGATGCCTTGAAGTTCACATTACAAGTGGAGGAGAAGCAAAAGTTGGAGGATATTGTGGATTATGAAGAGGTGAAGGAAGAGATCAAGAAGCAGCTGGAAGCTATTCGAGACAATCCTATTCGACATGAAGGCCCACTTATTTATCATTTGGACGTGGCAGCCATGTATCCGAATATTATTCTCACCAACCGTTTGCAGCCTGATGCAATGATTGAGGAATCCATGTGTGCAACTTGTGAGTTCAATACACCCGACAAGACATGCGATCGTCGAATGACTTGGTCATGGCGTGGTGAATACTTCCCTGCCAAGCGCAACGAATACAACATGATCCGTAACCAGCTGAGCATTGAGACATTCCCTGGAAAGACTGAACATGCCCCACCACGACCTTGGCATGCATTATCTGAAGCAGAGCAGAATACACTTCTTCACAAACGCTTGACCGACTACTGCAAAAAGGTTTACAAAAAGGTGCGGGAGACAAAGACCACCGAGCGTGAATCGATCATTTGTCAGCGTGAAAATCCATTTTATATTGGCACCGTTCGCGCCTTTCGTGATCGTCGTTATGAATACAAGGGACTGCACAAGAAATGGAAACAGAATTTGGATAAGGCTGTTGGCGACGGTGTTGTCACAAAGATTGATGAAGCCAAAAAGATGATTGTGCTCTACGACTCATTGCAATTGGCGCACAAGTGTATTCTCAACTCGTTTTATGGCTATGTCATGCGTAAGGGTGCACGATGGCATTCATTGGAAATGGCTGGTATTGTGTGCTTGACCGGTGCTCGTATTATTCAAATGGCACGACAACTTGTTGAGCGACTTGGTCGACCACTTGAATTGGATACGGATGGTATTTGGTGTATCCTTCCAAAGAGCTTCCCCGAGACATTTGCATTCAAAACGAAGAGCGGCAAAAAAGTCAAGATCGATTATCCATGTACCATGTTGAATCACCTTGTGCATGCCAAATTCACCAATCACCAATATCAAACACTTGTTGATCAAGAGCGACTCGAATATTCAGTGCATAGCGAGAACAGTATCTTCTTTGAGATTGATGGTCCCTATCGTGCGATGATCCTGCCAGCATCAACATTTGAGGATAAGCTCTTGAAGAAGCGTTATGCCGTTTTCAACGATGATGGCTCATTGGCAGAACTCAAAGGTTTCGAAGTCAAACGTCGTGGTGAACTCAAGCTCATTAAGATTTTCCAATCACAAATCTTCAAAGTGTTTTTGGATGGTGGTACGCTTGAGGAGTGTTATGCATCGGTTGCCAAGGTGGCGGATCAATGGCTCGATATTTTATACAGCAAAGCGGTCGATTTGCATGACGAGGAACTCTTCGACTTGATTTCAGAAAATCGCAGCATGTCAAAGACCCTTTCAGATTATGGTTCTCAAAAATCAACAGCCATTTGTACTGCACGACGTCTTGCTGAGTTCTTGGGTGATCAAATGGTCAAAGACAAAGGCCTTGCTTGTCAATTTATTATTTCAGCCCAACCTTACAATCTTCCTGTTTCTGAACGTGCCGTACCTGTTGCCATCTTTTCAGCCGAGCCTAGTGTCAAGAAGCATTATCTTCGAAAATGGCTACGTGACAACTCGCTTGAAAGCTTTGACATTCGTGATATCCTTGATTGGCCCTATTACCTTGAACGATTTGGCTCTGTTATCCAAAAATTGATCACGATTCCTGCTGCCATGCAAAAAGTGCATAATCCTGTGCCACGTGTTCGCCACCCCGATTGGTTGTACAAACGTGTGGCAGCCACAGACGACAAGTTTAAGCAACATCGCATCACCGATATGTTCAAGCCAGCTGAAAAGCCACAATTGCCATCACCTGAAGCTGATGCGGATGATAATGGGGACATTGAGATGCAGGATATTGAGGAACTTGATATTGCTACACCAAGGAACTCACAAGGTGGAGCCACACCTCGCGTTGCACGTGTGTTGAAACGTAAAGTGGGTGATCAAACGACCATCATGGCAGAGGAAGAGTTACCAGAAGAAGATCGACCTGAGAATATGCCTGATATGCACAATGATTACCATGCTTGGCTTGAATTTCAGAAGCGTAAATGGAAAAGACAACGCCTTTTACGAGCGAAGCGAAGAGAAACTCAAACAGCGGCACCACGTGCCAGTGGACTTGGTGGCTATTTCAGACGACAAACTGGATCTTTGGTTTCAAGCACCTGGGAGATCTTGCAGATTGTTGAAACGGATCGTCCAGGTCATTTTAAGATGTGGGTCTCTATTCAGGATCGTCTCTTTGCCTTGAAGCTCGTGGTTCCTCGAATCTTTTATATCAACAGCCGAATTGAGGATGCTGAGGATATTACGGGTGTATCATGTCAAATGGCCAAATGTGTGCGTACCTTACCTCGATCACATCCATGCATCAACTTGTATGAAACGATTATGGACGAGGAGACTTATCAATCGGAGCGGAGAAAGATGGTCAACATGTTCAATGACAGAAGAACGGAAGGTGTATACGAGACACAGGTGCCGCTTGGAGTCCGTGCGCTCTTGTTATTGGGTACACAATGCCGTGTTGGGCAAGACAAGGTTGCTAGTAGTCGACTGGAGGATGAATTTGATGTATTGGATTTGGTCCCTCAACTCAACAAGACCAGCCAATACATTACCCAAGCCAACCATTACAAGTATATTTATTTGCATCATGCACAAAGCAAAGATCGCCATTTCTTTACACTCGTTGGTGCGGATCTTCCAGTTTCACGATGTTTTGTTGTGGGTGTGGAAGCCAACAGCCAGCAAATGCCCAATATCAAACGCATCTACAGCGAAATGTACCACGAGAGCATTGGCCGAGAAGGAAACAGTGACACTGTTGAATATCGAGAATCTATGGAATTCGATACAACGTTTCACCATTCTGAAAGAGACGCACTTCGCAAACTCAATAAGGTGCTTACAAGATATCATGACAACAAGCGTGTACCTGCCGTCCTTGTGATTCGGTCCCCACGTGTTGTCAGCTATCTCGGCCAGTATGCACGTATCATCAACGAGTTTCCATACTTGACTCTGCCAGCTGAAGGAAAAGAAAATGCATTACAAGCATTGAGTTGGCTGCAACCAGCAAGTCGCCATGCCATTCGACAATATCTTGATCTTGGATCTGTGATTGACCAAAAGATTGCTCATGCTCGTTATGCGAACATTCCCTTCTGCAACATCCCCAATGATCCACTTCCTTTCATTGCCGATATCCTGTTTTCACGAAAGATGATCAAGAATGACATGGTACTTTGGTGGACATCAAATGAACGACCTGATCTTGGTGGCCGTGAGAGCGATGAAAACATGTCATTGATCAGTGATCTTGAGAATCCAGAGATATGCAATCCATCCTTTTATCATACCGTGTGTGTGGATATCAACATCGTGCGTTTGTGTCTCAACACGATCTTGGAGGCTCCCGTCATTAATGAACTCGAAGGCACATCAGGTGTTCTTGGATTTGACAACGTGATGCACAGCTTGGATGAATACAACCAAGGATTGATCAATACTGTGTCTGCATTTGGCGATGGAAATGTATCAGGCAAGACATTTGCATTGCTACGATCTCTGGTACAGCAATGGTTCCAAGAAGCATTGGTGCAAAATAACGCTGTTGGAGAGGCGATCCTGGATGCTGTCCATCGTTGGTTGCGAAGTAGTCGATCCAACATGTACGACCCATGCTTGTATGGTCTTATTCACGGCATGATGAAGAAGGTGTATATGCAATTGGTTGCTGAAATCAAGCGTATGGGTGCCACAATCGTATATGCCAGCTATCATCGCATTGTAGTGGCTACAGCCAAAGACACTATGGATACAGCTGTCGCCTATACGGATTACATGGTGCGATCGATTCATTCCAAACAGCTCTTTGAAGTACTTGATCTCCGCATTAGCAACCATTGGAATCTATTGGCGTGGATGGATGAGGTCAATTATGCTGGTATCCTTAGCAACCCAGATGACTTGGATACGCTGCCCACCTTGGTGACCGAATGGAATATTCAAGACTACCTTCCAATGGCTGTTCAAGAGAAGTTTCGGGATACAGTGATTCGTTTCTTGTCCAAAGCAAGTACTCTTAAAAAGATGTATCCACGTGATGTACGTCGACAAGCCATGGAGATTGACGGCGAAGAAAACCAAACTCAAGAAGAACATGTCGACGAGCGTTTACAACAGCTACGATTATACATACGTGAAAAAGTCATGACCAATTTATTGTCATGGATCAACAGCATGCTACATCGGCAAGATACGAGTGATGAGTTCCAGTTTCCACAGCTTTCAGGATCATATTTGAAGCTCTCCAATCCTGTGCTAGAATGTGTGAAGAGTATATGCGCCGTCCTTGCATTGGATCCAAACCTCGAGAATGAAGTTCGCGTGCTCAAGCGTAATGCATTACAATCCATTGGCGGTTTGAGCGACTTTAGCCCCGAAGCACGTTTCCAGAACCCGTGTCAATATGTCAAGCTGCATGAAATCATTTGCACAAGTTGCAATTACGTCGCCGATCTTGATGTATGCCGTGATAAAAACTTGGTTCCCATGAATGGCCAGCCACAGCCATGGTGTTGTCACTCATGCAAAACGGAGTACGACAAGTGCATGATTGAGCAAAACATGACATACCAAGTTGAACGGTGGTTGGTTGCTTATCAGCTGCAAGATGTACAATGCCCACGTTGCCGGACCATCAAGAAGGAAAACATGTTGCGCCAATGTGATAAATGCGGATGTGATTATTTGCCTTTACAAAGCAAAGCTGAATTGGAGCGCAAACTCAAAGTATTCCAAAACATCGCAAAGGAACAACATTTCGCTTATCTTTCGGAAGTCATCCGGTGGACCCTCTCACACTTGTAAATAATTTGATTCATCATTGCATATTTATCATTTCGTTCGTCAAATACAAAAATGTTCTCTCATAACGTTTTCTCGACGTGTGCTTGTTGCTGTTTACCTAATAACAATCTTCATTTATGATTACGGCGACATCTTGTAAAGGTTACGTGATATTGGAAAGTCTCATTTTGTAATGAGCACAAGGTGGTAGGTCATTAAGGGCAAATTACAGGGTGGCCACTCTACCCGTCTCAAAGCTATTGTATACGTCTCATCTGCCGATCCATGTACCTTCTTTGGCATGACCTACTTTGCAGCAGTACTCACATTCATTTGTTTAATTGCTGTGATTCAACGTCATCACGTGTCAATAACACCTCGCTTTGGTCCTTTATACTACGTCTATTGCTTCCAAGCACCCCATGATGTATAGAAATCATGATCATCAATGAGCGTGATAGATGCTAGGTTGCACAATCGGTTCTAGTCATCCTTCCTTTTAGAAGGTTGCACTGGTTTTTCTCGTTTTGGTATTGTGAGTGGAATACTCAAGTAGCCAACAACAACAACGTATTCAATTGAATGCTAAGCTTGTTGCTTCCCAGCTCAGCAGCGTTGCGGAGCGGTTTCCAATGGAGCAAGTATCGTCATTGGTGACCTTCCAATACATGACGTATTACTTGCTACGCCGTATGCCCTGCTGTGTCTCGTATTGACGAGCCCAAATGAAAAAAAAAACAAGAGGTTAGCCAGGTACATGTGTTTCTATGCAAGGAAGAGGAAGAAGGAAGATGTCCAATGGCACACTGCACTGCTGATTTGTTTCAGCGTGGTGCTCTTGCATGTTTATTGAATAGCAATATGCCACATCATTCTTGGAAGATTATTATCTCAAAACTCTTTTTATGATAAAGTTGGCTATATTCATTTTGACAGGCTATTGTCGCCATCATGTTCCATATATTGAAAATGGAAAGTTCTCGGATAGGAGCCGAATTTGGATACATGGTGGGTGTGGCGATATACAAGATAGGAGCATGAAACGTTGGGACACAAGGGCAATTTAGTACCACAACATGTGCGCCATACTGCGGGCTGAGACCCCCTTTTATTCCCTTCTGCATCATACACAAAGAACACCTCTTTCTTTTTACTATCTAATATGGTTTTTACTATACCCCAAGTTGTTGCAAGTGGAAGTTGGGCACTAAGCGAAGCTCTCGGTATATGGGCTGCATTAACGGCTGGTGCAAAGAGCGGTGCTGTTGGCGAACTACCGTTCTCAGATCTTTTACTTGGCATGAGCCGTGACCAGGCAACGAATGGCGAATCGGGCGAGAATGTCTTTTTTGGTGTCGAATCACGGTGGTCTCAAATGATGCTAAAATCGTTCCAGGCACGTCGACTCAAGTTTTCTTACTTTTTACTTCAACCGGATAATCCATTTCGATGCGGCTGCTTTGGTTGCAGATCGGTTTTGAAACCCAACACCCATATCGAACCCAACATGTTTTTCGGTATGATCCCCAATGATGCGATGGAAGGCGATAGCAAAGAAGTCATTGTGCATAAACCCGATTGTATTTTACAACTTCGCATTGATCGTCGAGCAACCGAGTTTCTTCCAAAGGGCATGTACGACAAAATACACAAATTGAGCAATGGAGATGCACTCAAGTTATGTCTCAGCATCATCAGCAGCATGAGTGATGTATTATGTGAATGCAAACAAGCCAACTATTGGGATAAACGCATCATTGTACGGATACAGAAATTGATTGAAACCATCAGCAACCAAGTCATCAGTAACCAAGAAACGCCCCGCCTCAAAGAGACCATCACAAAATCAGATTTCATGCTGAACAAAAACATTCAAGCACTATTGGATGGGTGTGATGGCGAGGTGTATTACACAGAAGGCGACCTGGATAATGTGAATGTGATGAATGAAGTCATGGATCGTATCAGCTCACGCGTACCCGGCATGCTCGAACGATTGGAACTCACCACTTTCAAAGTCGGCAATGACACCTATTCTATCCCAGATCTCGAACGCGCATTCATTATTTGTTTCGGCATCTTACGGGCTATGCTCATGTCAAACCACATCTACAATGGCAAAGGCTTGGTTGCTATGGGTTACAATATCAATGTGGCCCATGAGCTTGTACAAGATGTGTCACAAACACCAGCACATGATACTTCCTATTCCTCGAGATTGGTCATTGAGAGCTCTACCAAACGACGCCTGATTGATACATACATCGATGATAGCCACGTGTTTTTCGGTTTACTCTTGGACTTTTTCTTATCATCATCCATCATGTTACTCAGTGGTATCGGCCCTATTCTCAGCATGTACGCCGCTCGGCTGTTGACAGCACCTTATCGTGAAAGCACCATGCGCATGGGCACTAGCATGTCTTGGGCTGTATCTCGTGCGATGCTTTATAATACAGGTGAAGCAAGAGATGATTGGATGGCATGCATTTTGCCACACAAAGAGAAAGGATGGGATCGCATGACTTGGTTCAATACTCTCAACATACTCTCCTCGTTCGGCCCGATCTTACTATGGATTTTCCATCATCCACCAACTTCAACGATCAGCAGCATGGGTTGGCTTATTATCAGTTCAAGTATGGCGCTTGGTATCGTTTGGTTGCAATCCGTCAAATCCATGGAAAGACAAAAGTTTTTGGAAAAGTCAAAAGCAGAACAAGAAATGATATTGAGCAACAAGGGCGTATTCAACGTGGCTCATGTTTGTGCAGCTTCGGTATTATTCCCATTGGTACTCTTCAGCATGAATAACAATTGGGTATGGCTCTATTTGCTCGAGGCCATTTATACTCTTCAATGGCTATTTGGAGAAATGACTAGTGAATGGATACATAAGAGTACAGCTCTGTTTATGTTGGGTATGTTGAGTGCAGTACGCTTATGCGATCTCTCCTGATTTCATTATGAATAAAAACAAAATGCTATATGATAATGCAATGCATCATTTCCCTTGTTGGTGTGCGTGTGTGTATGTATGTGGCACCTCTTACACATCTAAACTTCCGCATTCTCCTTCCCCCCCTCCCTTCCTCCCTCCCTCCCTTCTTTGTGACATGGCACCGACAACTTTCACTCCAGCAGATAAACTACAACCTGTCTCAGATGGCAATGCAAATGACGACTGCGATTGGCAGAAATGGCTCAAAGAAGTAGAAGGTGCCGAATCGCTCATGGATCAGATTGAGGCTAGGACAGATTCTCTTCAAGTCAAAGTCGATGCACTTCTCGATGAAATAGCAGCACCACCACCACTAGCAAATGAGGAAACAAACGACGCTCAATCATCAACAAAAGACTGTAATGATAAGCAACCCTCCAAAGACAATGAATAGCATGCATTCCATATTCCCCTTTTTTGCCAACATGATATTGATTTATACATTACATGATCCTTTATCTACATGAGAATGAATGATATGGTCTATCTATATATACATGCATGGGAGAGAGAGGAAGAGATGCAAATGGATGAGGATGATGAGGATGAGGATGGCTTATTAAGGATGTTGTTTGGGTCGTTGTGATAAGAACACTTGACGAACAAGCGAGCCAAGGTCTGTAGCATTAGCACATTGCAGACGCCCAGCCATAATACGTTGTTTGAGATGCTATAATGATGGATGAATGTATGAGTACATACATGTAAGAATGGAAATAAGCATGTTTTACCATTAACGCAGATTTGGCACCAGGTCGTTTATCTGCATCAGGATCCAACATCCAGCTAATAAGCTCCACCATGACTCTTGAAGGCATAGCAAAATTAAAGTGGGGTTGTTGGCCATATAAGATCTCTGCAAAGATCTCTCGGTTGCCATCCAAATAGTAAAGCGGAGGTACTCTATCCATCATTTCAATCATGGTAATGGCCATAGACCAAACATCCACACTCTCCGTATACGGCGTCTCGGAAACCACCTCGGGTGCCATCCACTATGCAAAGTGTTTCAGTATCGTAAGGATAACACCGGACATGGTGGCAAAAAGAGTTTATGTTTATCATGTTGTTGCCTACCTTGGCTGTACCCAGTCTTGCGGAATTGGTCTTTGTCGTGGGTGTGGCTAGACCGAAATCAGCTGTATGCAACAGATGCATGTAAGCAATAATACTCTCTGCTGCGCGTGTGTATGTATACATGATGATGGACCATCTTAAAATCCTACACATTTCACTTACCGAGTTTCACTTGTCCTTTGTGATTCAAGAGGATGTTTTCACATTTTACATCACGATGCATGTAATGTTGACTATGAAGATAGACCAATCCTTCAAGGCACTATAATGATAATGTTACAATGTGCTGTACTAAACCTCTCGTTGCGCAAATAAATGTGCCTCGCCAAAACTTACTTCGTGTGCTACGCGTACAGCATAGCTTTCAGGTAACCCCACGCTCATGTTGTAGAGTAAACCAAACACAGAACATGTCATGAGCTCCATAGCCATCCACAAATAGTCACCCCACATACACGCCTCGGTCAGAGACACCAAATTGGGATGCGACATGCACCCCATGATGCGAAGCTCCCGCAGGATGTATGTATGGTGGTGTGTGTCATGGTCTTCAATGTAGCACCGTTTGATCGCCACTTGGCCTGTTCTCCCGGTACGTCGACTACTAGCACTAATCACAGCTCCATTGGCTCTTTTAAAAAAGTATTAATGACACTAACAACGCATCTTGTTGCTATTAGCTTACCCACTACCAATACGCTCTCTGCCAATGTAAATGTCTTTGGGATTGATCTCCATGAATTTGCTGTGAGGCAACACCTTTCGCACTTTGCCAACAAAGACAGCATGCGGTTTCTCAACCTTCTCTAAAGGTGGCAGTGGAAAGATATCAGGCGATCGGATCACCGTGATCCACCGTCGCTTAATATATTTTAGTATATAGTAGTAGTATAGGAGATAGGGGAGGTTGAGAGGAAAGGGATGATGTATGTGTGAGCAATCTCATCCGCTGCAAGATAGAAATGACTTTAGGGATTATCATGGTGATTTATTATTTTACCTTTGGGGAAGAAGTATTTGAGTCCTTTTTGCTCTCTGACGGCTTGCTCGATCGATGTAAGTGTGCCTTGAGTGTATTTTGTGTCGCCAGAAATTTTTCATGGCAGGCTTTGATAATGTCAGGGATCTCGCATGCAATGCCAGGTGCTCTCCATGGCTAGTAGTAGTTGCATAGAAGTTTCAGATTGTGCCGCTAATTGATCATTTATATATGTACATATAACACTCACGTGGTTCTCTTCTATTAATTTGTGAGGATGTCGTTGCTTTTTGAGACTAGAGCTTGTGGGACGAGCAGCGGCAAAAGGACATGGTGTAGTAGGTGTTGTGCATGTGGTGGAAGTACGTGATGAACGACGTGTGCGACTTGTAGGTGATTTGGAAAAGCCGTTGCTGGTAGAAAGCACAGAAGTATGTGCTGTGGATGATGAGCGATGTGTCCAATTGATGCTCATGTTTGTCTTGTCGCTATGTATTGTTCCTCCTTGTGGCGAGGTTTTTCCACGTATAGCACTATACATTGGAGAAGCAAAAAAAAAAAAGAAGGCGGATAGAAAAAAAAGAGAGCTGTCGTCCTTGCAGCTAGGTGGGGGGTTTTTTATAAAGGCAATCAGCACTTGACCCTGCAGCTTAGTCAAAACAGTCGCGGAGAGAAAGAGAGGGCGCGATATGGCCAGTACCATCACACACACACAATACACACACGCCCATATATAATGTCCTATCAACACATACAACAAAGGTTGATTGATTGATTGTATGCTTCACATGGAAGTTTATCTTTACGCCCTTTCAAACAACTATTGCTGCTGTAATGTTACACAATGCTTGCATGAGCTGTCAATGATACATATGCTTAAGCAAATCATCGTCCAAAAGTGTCTCGGATGATGAAGGGTCATCGCATTCGTCACATGAGCAATTCGGAGACTACATGTTAGCTGTGATTTATACATGCACTTGATTTGTGTTTGTCCGCTTGATGTATGGGATTGCTGCAAAATTGTATTATATGGATATGGATGTGGGGTAAAAGGGGCGAAGGGACATTCCAGCAGACAATGAATTCCATTAAAGCATCTCCCATTATATTTGGCATGAATCCTCCTCCTCCTCCTTTCTCATAACATCATGCTGGCGTCTTTCGTGTATTCAGTAAAAGTGGGTAGCCTCTCCGCTCTCTTTTACTCAGATTGGATTTCTTTTATTATCATCATCATCGATACAGCGAACAATACTTTTTAAAGATAGCCTTGACCTCGGGGGATCGTTCACCAATAGGCATAGTTGCCAATGCTGTTGGGATGTTTTCTGGTTGCTCGATCCACTTGTAGGTTGGTATTTCATGTCCTGCAAGTGCCTCCTCCAGCTTCTCTAATGATCCTGCATTCTTGGTCTATTGTGGATGGGGCGTATCAGTAATGAAATATTGCATGGTCAGGCACCAGGGGCAAGCATTACCTCCAAAACCACCTTGTGCATATTCTTGGTATCATTCAAGTAAGCAATAGTGTTGGCATGGTCCCGTGTCGTGTGAAGTACTGCCGTCGATACGTGACATGCTTGAGCCATGACACTGCTCACAAGCTCAATGACTCAAATGTTGCTTTCAACGATCGATCCGATCCTACCTGCCGATGTTCCAGTTTAGCGTCTATTTGTTGTTTAAGTAAATAAACTAGCTGAAGCACCTTTTACAAAGGAGAGAAACGTACCTTGGAAAGATCTTTGCGGACGATAATAAACATAGTGAGTGGTTCCATAATGATGATAACGTTATGTGGCGCGTGGTATGGCAGTAGCAAAGAAAAGCAAATTGGGTAGCAACAGCCGTTGCTACTTAACGCCCGCAGTTGCTAAATTTGGTCGTCAATAGAAATCGACCCCATCCAATTGAGGATTGTCAAGAGCAGGTAGTCGTCACGTTCTCGTCGTTTATATACTTTGTGTGCAAAAGGCAACCGGATTGGATCCTGGCAGCAATCCACTTGTGAAGGTGGATAATGCTCGACGACGGCTATTGCTACTACCATTATGATCAAGCCTATGTATCACGAAAAAAGTGAAACACGTTGTATAAAGCAACGTGTTGTACAAAGATGACAGCCTCAGACAACGCTGCTTAGCCATGACTCATCCCTTGATGAAAGGCAACCACAGACGAAGGTATATAGTCATTTATGATAAAGTACATGATGGAGGATCGGAAGGAAATCGGGATCCAAGCGTGTCATGCAAGCTCCTCCTCCCTTTTCTCGTTGCGTCATTTATCATCTCACATTTCAAAGAACAAACTAACATTAGCTTTATTGTCTTTTGGTTTAGCTACTTTGAGCAGGCACATTGTTCGGGAGGTTGGGCGCTTTCACCCGAAGAACAAGAACATGCATTTCCACACTTGCAGTTATCACTTTAAAGGAACCCGTGAGTCGAAGCTATTGATTCAAAATCATCACCATTGACTTACGTGCTTGTTGTGCAGGCACAGCTTAGGGATGTGGCACCACACTTGCAGGCTTCAGCAGTGCATTGACATTGATCTTGCTCGCACTTGCATCCAGATCCACAGCATGAAGGATTTCCCATATTGACGATCACAAGAACGAAAGAAAAGTGAAAGAAAGAGGGAGAATAAAAGGTAATAGCATTCTCTCCCACTCCTTATTTACTCCTCCTAGCGTTCATGACGTTTCAGGTTTATACTCTGTTTGATAGAGTTGGTTCTTGAACCATTGTATAAACCTGCTTGGGTATAACATCTCCGATGGTTGATGGTGGTGATGATGATGATGGCACAAACCTGTTACAAAACCATTTACCCTTATAAAGAGCACGTTATCGGGTACACCACGGTGTTGTGTTTACAACCTGTGCACACATGTGGAGTGAAAAGTGATGATTGCAAATACGGTGTGCCAAGATAGGGTCTTGTGATCGCTTCAAGGGCACAAAAGAAAAGAAGAAAAGAGGAGCGGGAATATGATGTGAGATATGCCGACATGCCATGTTTGCTAGATCAAAGGGAAATTGTCTAGACTACCCAAATGTGCATAGTGAGCTATTCATATCGTGTGTGCGTGTGTGCTTTATGTGTGAGTGCACTTGATCTCCTTCCCACGAAATCCCTGACCATGGATGGTTGCCATGCAAGCAAGAAAAGGCGGTTTGTGAGAGGCAGGTGTCTTTGTTGCACAATAAGATCCTGATATGGAATGTGTTCAAAATGCGTTGTATCCTTGGAAGCTGTGGTGTGTTTTATTCTTTCTTCTTTCTCTTTTTTTTATACTACATTATCCTTTCCTTTCCTCTGTGTCTTGGTTTCCACAAGCTGCATAAAGACGAGCTGATTTCTTTCTAGGCGTGATGGATAAATCAGACAGCAGCCAAACAACAGCTTCATCCGCTACTTCCACTTTACCAACAACCCTCGCAACCGACGACGAGCAACAACAGCTAAAAAAGGATGGCGAACGTCGACCTTCCCCTGGTGGCGGTAATTGTCTAGGTGGTCGCCCAAAACTTACCACCATTCACAGTTCAGACGCATCGCGATTCATGACGCTCGAGCGATTGCAACAAAATATGACTCTAAAACCACCCAAACATCATCCGACTACAGCCAGCGGTGTCACAGGCAACAGTGGTGGTGATGGCAATAACAATAACAATGGCGGCAGTGGTGTCCATAGCAACAGTAATAATAACAACACAACACAAGAGCGACAATTGACGATTGAGACGGCCGTATTTCCCGAACAACAACCTATCTTTCACCACGAGAAGAAGCGCTCTCAGGTATGAAGGACGAAACAAATTAGGCCAAATGTTGTAAATCCCAGGCAGTGGGTAATCTTTTTTTTTTTTGTTATACTTACACCTTGTGCATATTCCAACTAGGCAAGTGACACCTTAAAGTCCGGCAGTGATTCCACGCTACACCGTTCACCAAGAAGAACCAAGAAGCGCAACAAGCCATTCACAAAGCCGGCAGAGATCTTTGCTCAAAACTTGAGCGACGCCGTTTTACATGCTAATATCGGTAAGTTGCATGCATAGGGAAGAGGAATCAGGAACATGGCAGGATCAAGTACATCGTAGCTAAAATCTTGATTGACATTTTTTACTCCATCATGTAGATTCGGATGAAGAAGAGAGCTTTGTGTATCGTGACTACCGATCAACTTCGCTGTATCCCACGCTACCCTCCCAATGGATCGACCATTACTCAAAAAGAGATACAACTGATTACTCGTCGACTGCTACAGAAACGAAACCACGTCGTCCCGTACTTCGTTCCGCTGTATCTGAATTACCCGCTACTGCTATGTTACGTTCAACATTTCCCGCTCCTACACGCAAACACAGCTGGTATCCTGCTAGCGACGCTGACGATACAGCTTTGTTGCCACGTTATTCTACTTCCAAACGAAAACGTCGTTCATCTCCTCGAACATCAAAAAGGTATCTCTCCCCCCCCCCATTTGATACGTGTCATTCATCCTGCTGATTGAAAAAGATCGTTCCTTCCTAGTACTATCACCCTTTGGGCAATATTTGGCGTAACGACATCATTGATAACGTTATGGATACTAATCATCTGGATGGCAAGTCCTCTTGCAGCAGTACAAGTCATGGAGCTTTCGAATGTGCTGGGATCCACAAAGGAACTCTTTTTCGACCTGCATGTGCGAGCAAGGTTTGTATTTGGACAATCAATGCAAATAAGCAGTAGATGTTTATGACTGAGATTCGTTTTCTTTCTTTTCAGAAACACCAATCTTTGGTCCATCCAGATATCACATGCCTCCTTTAGTGTTTTTGCTTCAAGCCATTACGTACCAATATCCCAAGCAGCGATAAACAATACATCATCTAATCAAGGTGATACACTCCCGATTCCTTTCTTTTGCTCGTGATGATGACGATGATGATGCATTGCTTACACCAAATTGTGCTTGCTTTTAGCTCTAACAGCAGCACCGGTTGAGTTCCTTGGTACCATCTACAGGTTTGATGAACCACTCGTCTTTGCGTCATCCCAGTTGACATCACCCACTGTCACCACGGCTACAAGTCAAATCCAAATCAAAGACCCAGGCAAAACCAAAGGCGATAGCAGTGGCAACGAGCGATGGTAATAAGCTACAAGATGTAATATACTTTACTTCTTCCTTGTTAACGTCCAACAACATTTCTTAGGTCCCTTCTTATCAGGTATCCTTATGAATTAACGGTGCGAGGTGTTCTCAAATATCATGTGATTCCCTTTCTCCCATTCACGCAGATGCATTCAGCCCGTGTATGTCAAGTCTCTCGCATTGATCCTGCCACTGGAGATATCCACAGCAACCCTGAAATTGAAAGATCCATATGTGATGACCCCTCTCCCATTGAAACTATCTATTAGAATACACCAAATACACATCCACACCCTCGCTTTTTCTCTCTTACCCTCCCTTTTTTTGTATACCCCCATCATCACATAGCTGTAACCATTCATTCTCTTCCATCCCATCCATTCATCATTTCTTCGAAATACAATTGTGTATATGTTTAAACCTTCTTCTTCTTATACTGTGATCCAAATATTTCACTTTCACCATCACCATCTATAGCACGAGACGCTCGCTTCTTCCTCTCATCCTCATGGGCCTTTCGTGATCTATATTGTGTATTGATTGGGCGTCAGCTCTTCTTATTATCCATCCAGCCATACTATTATACTCACTTTTCTTTTTCAGAAATCTCGTTTCGGATCTCAGGGTATGTTGGCAGCAACGATGGATCTTGTGCTATACTTTGTGTTAATACTTGTAACAAAAAGGGGGGAGGAGGATCTTTCTTTTAACTTACCCCGTGGTGATTCACTGAAATAAGGATGTGCTAGAGCTCGTTTCACCGTCAACCGCGTCTTGGGATTGTATGTGAGTAGTTCCGCTAATAAGGAGGTCGTGTTTTCGCTGTATCTCGGGAACATCAATTTGATATTGTTGTAACTGAAAAGGAATAATGAGCGACCAAGATGAGGTATTAGGAGGATATCCGCTTACTCTTGTTTTGGCCAATTGAACGTATCCGCCAATGGTAAACTTGTATAGCCTGGCCAAATGTTTTCATTGGGAGTGCCCAGCAAGTTGACAATCAAGTTGAGCTGTGATTGCTCCGTGCTACCAGGTAATAATGGACGATGCTGCATCAATTCACCGAGAATACATCCTGCGGACCTAAAAACACCTTCATCAGGATATGACATGCCAAAAGCTATCCTAGTCAACTTACCATAGATCAACTGCCGTAGTGTATATAGATCCTCCTAGCAACAACTCGGGTGACCGATACCATAGAGTGACAACATTGGGTGTCATTGGCCTTGAGGATAATCCCACCGTACGTGCAAGGCCGAAATCAGCTAAGTGACGGCATGTTGAATAAGCATATCACACGGCCATCTAAGATCCATGCATACCAATCTTGAGTAATCCGGTTGAAGTGAGCAATAAATTGGACATCTTCAAATCTCTATATAAAGGTGTTACTCACTGCTCGGCTCGTAATTCCTGTTGTCGATCGCTTACCTGTGAATGATTGAGTGATTATGACAATGCTCGAGACCGCGAAGTAATTGCAACATCAGGCATTTGACTATTGATATGAGTGTTATGAGCAATCCAAGTAAATAGGATCCATATCCACAAACCTTCAGATGGTGTATACGGAGTGGGCACCATATCCAAGAGCGTTCCAAGATCCTATATGTGCACACAAGAAGGAGGTCTTAGTACTATGATACCATTGAATCGATATCGTCCCAAGTCACCCACCTGCTCACAATACTCCATGACCAAGAATATGGATTCAAGCTTTGGCCCAACTGCCACATCGGTGACATTGACTATGTTTTGGTGCGACATGCGTTTCAGGATACTGATCTCCCGTAAGCTCGATATGGGCATGCCATCCGTTTCTCGCTCCATGCGAATCTTTTTCAAGGCTACGATTTGCTTTGTTTTCCTGTCCCGCACTCTACTGCAACGCGAGTGTTAGCATTGTCGTCCAATGGGGAGGCAAAAAGACAAAAAGTGAGATACGCACTAGACAACGCCATAGGTGCCTTCGCCAACGCGATTCAATTTCTGAAAGTCATCAACATCCCGGCAAGCACCATAGAAAGGGAGGTCCTTGTATATCACTGGTTTGTTCCTGACTGTCAAGAGTTTTGATTGTCGATTGGTGTCTTTGTCTGTCATTTGAAAGAAGTTGTTGGATACTCTAGTCAAGGGAAATGCACTCCATTTCAGTACCCAAATCCATATGAGAATCTCCGACGCTTTTGGCATGATGGATAGGATCACCATTTATTGATTACAAGCACTCTGCAAATAAACCCCCACATACACAACGACGACCTATACTACGATTCCATAGTGCTCTTAAGCAAGGATCATTGGCTGTTAAATGGGGGTGACCATGTGTAGGGATAGAATACTGATGGCATCGGACACACGTCCATAAATGCTTCGTGAAGGGTGGAATGCGCCGCTTTTGAATCACATCAATGATATCGCTTGAATCACGCTCGAGATATATAGCAGGCTGCCCACATTTCTCCGCAAACTCTCTAGTGATGACGCGTAAACGATCAACCTTGTCACTCGGCAGCTTCGATCCAAGTAGCAATGCCCACCGATCTTGTACTCCTGATACATCACCTTCTTGTCAATACATACAATAGAGAGAAGGTATCCGTTATCGATGCTTACCAAGATCCTCGGCTTTAATCGCTGTCAAAAATGCTAGTACATCTTTCAAGGCAACTGGTTCACTTGATAGTACATTCTTTGCGTATCGTAGTAGCAGCGGAAGGGATTCTGGTACATTTGGTAATTCGAATGACGCTGAATTCGTATACTGCACAAACTCGTTCACCATAACCAATAACTTGCTTAATGCATCCCTCGATTCTTCGTGAAGTAACAATACAGCATGACATGGTCGAGCTGAGATATCGCCTAATTCTAAAATAGTCATGTGAGCTTACCTGGTACATCTCGCATAATGAAAAAGTCTTACTTGAATCTTTGGGTCGTCTACAATTGAAGAGCATATTCCATTTCCTCAATGTCCACCGCATGAAATCCAATGTCCAATTCGTCAACGACATGAGCGACCATAAGCTGTCTATATCCATAAATGTGAGTCGTCTGATCCGAATTTAAGACCATCACCCCACTTGCCTGTGTCAAACTCTAATGTTGCTTTGCCATCCACGATCGTACTTGAATCTTGAAAGTATACGCATGTCAAAATACCATCCTATGCATAACGCTTCTTTTCCTACTTACCCAACACCTTGGTTATATCAGCATAATCCGATTTGCAGCTTCCAATAAAGCATTCAAGCACAATGGGAAGTTGAATTGCTTTGCAGAGATTCGTATATTGTACTTTGGTGGTCGATAACCTCCTGATAACGATCATCGTCTTTAGTATCCACACACCAAATGATAGGTATCATATCGGCGAACCTACCGGAATACACCTAGTGACAATCCATATGCGCGTCCCCGCTGTGGTAAACTCCATTCAAGTGATCCTGATGATTTGCTGGTGTTTTCTGTAGTTGGTGACACGAGGAGTGGTTCGGATTGATCCTGGTGGCAGTAAGCGTGGTATGATTTTATCACATCCAAGACAAGACTTTCAATAGCACCTAATCAATAGTGGTGAGAAAACCATTGCAACAAAAAGTTCACTTAACTTACCATCGTGGCCGGATATAGCGTTGACACGAATAAGTTCCGATATCAGGTCCAGGTCATCGGTCTCATTCAATAGGCTAAGCTTTAACAATTTGCTGATTGTCGATAAAGTCTCTGTAAGAAATAATTAGCAAGGGATCATTGCCAAATGTGATATCACATATTCATCGTACCCGATTCATTAAGATCATTACGTATATCGGTAGCCCGTATCACACCAAGCTTGTTTGATGACAAGATACAAAAGATATGCGTTTCGTTGGGTGATAATGCCAAGCCTGCAACAGGATCTGGATCACCGTTTGTATATGTGCGCGGCCCACCTGCTTGCCAAAATGTCGGTCCAATAGATGATTCGCAAGAACCTCGACCACGTAAAAGACCAAAGTCGCCATCGTCTCGATACTCAATATGAATGCTTCCATCTGATAAGCCCACGACGAGTGCACCATGGCGAGTGTGTGTCATGCTTGATATGAAACGATCCGACACTGATACGCCATCAACAAAATTGAGATCCTATTGCTATCATTGAGTTCCCTTTATACCTTCTAATCATTATTTTGCTTACCAGGTAATTTGATGTCATTGCAGTCCCACTGAAGCTATCTCGTGCGATGGCATCTCCTGATATTTGTATTTCCTTTTGTTGTAATGCCCATTTCCCAATGAAGCTGCTGTAATTGCCATCTTTTTTGACATTGTTAGCGATAAATGTACTCAAGGATCATTGATTGAGATTACCATTTTCGGCACCAAATGCAATTGTCAATTGTACGTTGTCCTTTTGATTTGATAGTTGAAGATGTGAAACTGCAATTGAGCTTGATTTGGCCAAGTCGCCCAAAGATGATGCCAAGCTAGGTTGCGTTAAGCGTAAGGCTGCTAATGGCTGACAAAATATGCCTGTGGATGGATCTTAGTGAGTTGTCCCTTGTGCACACCCAATCCCACGTGATACTGTACCTCCTTCATTCATCCGACCAGGAAAGCGTATAGAAAGCCGGTATGTTTGTACACTCTTAGGACTAGTGTTGGCTCGATGGGTGGCAAGGTAAATGTTACCATCTAAGAGCAATCCAATTAACAACGACTCAATAAGCATATGAACGATCCAATCTTACCTTGACCAATGATCATAGAAGCATGGGATATCCTGTACCAATTATCCGAACTAGCCAAGTTCATACCAAAGCAACCGACATCAGCACGACCTGCTCCCATACGCCCCGTGTTTGGTAACGTTGTTGAAAAAGATGAAAAGATCTTGCCACCTCTTTGATAATGAACGCTGACTTGTCCATGTACGGTTACGACCACAAAGGCGAAATATCCATATGGATTCCGTGGACCCACCATAGGCATACGAACAAACTTTTGCTGATCATGCGATAATTGATACTACAAAGTCAAAACATAAACAATGAGAATGATGATAATACAATGACACCAATATGGACAATCAACTCACCACCCGGTCTGTGTTGAGCCACAGTATCCCAGCGGGCGGTTGCTGTAAATTGACGCTGTATGCAAGTGTCCACTGGTCTGAAGAGGTCTATGATAGCGTCAGTTCATGCTATTATCCATGACAACGCTCTCTACTATAAACACATACACCAAGCTCCCATAGTGCGATTTTGCCATTCTCGTCAGCCGACGCGAGTGTGGTGCCTCGTTGATTCCAAACAAGATGGGTTATCAAGCATTGATCGTGGAACTGTTCTGCAAGGCGAATCGGCGACTTGTTCAATAGAGTGGTGCTTTTGCTGACGAGATCAAGCGCGTAATGGTCACCGGTGAATGCATGTAAAGCTGGTGTTGCTGGTTTTGGAGGAGTAGTAACGACGACGCTCTGGATGGATGAGGACAATTGGTGAGGAGCCTGGCGGTGGATCAGATTGGACAAGAGACATGATGGCGGGTATCGTGCAGAAGCATAAGAAGGGGTTGTTGTTGTTGTTGTTGTGCTGTCGAGGCGTCGTCGTTTTTTGGGTGCAAGTTCAACCATATGGAACAAAGAACACACTGCTCGTTTGATTTCAATTACAGGCGACTTTAACCGTTCCACTCGTTACTTGTGACTGAAATACACCAATGCCAAAATGATTCTAATGTTTATTTATCTATCTTACTCTTATCCTTTACTTGTTCTTTATCCTTTAGTTGCTTCTCACTCTCTTTTGGACTACTTGGCACCTTTAATCGCTTCTCAAGTTCCTCTGCAAGGGCTTCGACTTCTTGATCTGGTTCTTCAGTGGGTGATGGTTCCTCCTCCTCTTCTTCTTCTTCTTCCTTGTATGCCTCCCATTGTGCTTTTAGCTTTGCATTACCCTTTGTATATAATCTCTCTAGATCCTCCTATACACAATCACTACCATCAGATCCATATCCATCATCATATCATCATACGCACCTTCCATCCCAATAAACTAGCTAGTTCTTCAACTCCAACATCGCAATCACCCAAATGGGCAACATCCCGCTTGTGATACTTCCATCGAAAATCAAAACCACTCTTTGATGTATGATACTATAATGCTATTATTAGCAGTAGTTGACATATATACCAAGATGTCTACTTACTACACCTGCAAGTTCTTTGTTAATCAATAATCGAGGGGTATCATCACGTGCATTGTCAATGAGAGATGCAAAGGGTTGTACTTGAAGACTTGTTCCAATAATGATAAGTAAATCGGCTTCATCGAAATCCTATTTGAAATAAAGGTAAGCCTATTTTGACATGGAAAATCATTATCGTATACTTGCATCGAGTAAATCAAAGAATCTGGAAGGCAAATTCTCGCCAAAAAAGGTGATATCCGGCTTGATAAGACCATCACACTCCTCGCAACGTGCCACCACTCCTTCTGCCACCTTTTTGCGAAGCATCTCTGTATCAGCCTTCACATTGCATTCAATACATGACGCTGTTGCAAAGCTCCCATGCGCCTCAACGATCAGATCCTCATCCAATCCTGCCAGTCGTTCAAGCGTATCGATGTTTTGTGTAAAGTTGCGTAACAACAATCCCTTCTCGTGGAGTAAACGAATAAAGTAATGCGTCTTGGTAGGATAGAACTTTCCAGGATAGATCTCTTTGGCTAATGCATAAAACGGCTCTGGTTTTTCCTATCACTCATGTCAGCTAAATTTCTTACATCGCATCATCACTCGTTTTACTCACTGGAAAGTACTCGATATCAAATATGGCTTCGGGGTAAGGAAGGTCGAACTTTTGAAGGTTGTCATAGAGACCAGTGCCTTTGGTTCGGAAGTCAGGGATACCAGCAGCTGTCGAAATGCCTGCTCCACTCATTACAATGATCTTTTTCGCTAGCTCCCTTTATGAGTATACCTTCAATTCCAAAGCTCATAATAAACGACTTACCTGATCCACTCTTAATGTAGTCAGCAATGGCTTGTAATGTCTTCCCATTCAACTTTGAAACGCTTGCTTTTTTGCTTCCCATATCGAACAACTAGATCGCGCGCAAGAAAAGGACGGCAACATTTGCAGGATCCCGTCGCTTTCCAAACCTGTGACTTTACTGTGTAACCATCCCTGATGTACTTTACATTGCAGACGTTGATCGCACCATTGATGAAAAGACCATAATCCGACATAAATGTCCAATGCTATGATGGAGCAGTCTTTATTTTCAACACAAGAAGTGTGGATGGAGGGATCGCATAGATGCACTGGCAATCGAGAAATGGATTATAGTGAATGCAGTTATCTTAAACGTGTCAACGATCATGAGCAAATGCCCTTTATTTTGGAGCTGCCTTTTCTTTTGATACCAATGACTAAATACGATTTCAACCCAAGAACAGGTCCGTTGAATGGTACTACAATTTGCTCCAATGGGACATACATCGATTTGGGTAATACTCTCCTTCGGACGTGCATTGAGCAAAGGTGAATGGATGGATAGAGATGACTTTTGGTGCGTGATGGAGAATCATATCCATGGCATGTCAAAACATCAAGTTGGATGCTCATGATTGACTGGTCACACAAATGATGATGATAGAAGCTGCCATGGGATCGGTTGTAAAGTAGGGATATTGGATGCACCATTCGTTTAAGGTGGTAGCATAAAGCATCAAGGTCAAATTGGCAATTGAGACATAAGAACAAGGCTCTTTTCCACACGGTGTATATGTACCCACATCCTCCCATATCATGTACCAAAACAATATCCATATCCACACGAATCCGTATGTATTAAAGCAAGTTGCTACAGTAAATAAAGCTGCTTCTATACAATGGCTATCTGCTGTCCACGTAAAAAAGGCTGCAAAGCAGGTTGCTGCAAGTGACTTGGAACAATGGAGCAGCGATCTTGCTAGTAGCAATTGCTGTGATGAATGCTGTTACGTTTGATTGTGGTAGAGGAGCGTGCAAGAGCGTGTGTTGTGTCAAGAGACTCGTGTGTTGTAGTGGGGTGTACACGCGATGGATTTGCTCATTCAGTCAAAGGCTCTCGGGTCAAGACATTCGTAGCAATGACATGATGGGTTGAAGCAGGACAATCGTTCACAGGTGATAGTTGTACTTGAATGAGGCAACAGTTGAGAATGGGAGGAAGAGACAATGAGCTGGAAGTGGAAGAGCTGCAAATTAAAATAGGCTGAACTGAAGTTGAATGCCATTTCTTTGTTTGAGCGTAACTCAACCAAATCCCCTCGGATCAAGAAAGTTGAAGGATGGGCATGCTGGGCTGGAACAGGACAATCGTTCACATGCATTGGGTCGGGAAACAAAGGTGAATGGGAGGAATGGGCTATCAAGTGGCAGTTTACAAATAACTTTTGCAAAATGATTTTTGTGAAATTGGATGATGTTTTGTGTTTGAGCGTAACTCAACCAAATCCTCTCGGATCAAGAAAGTTGAATGATGGACATGATGGCCTGGAGCAGAACAATCGTTCACATGCATTGTTTTGGGCAACAAAGGTGAATGGGAGGGATGGGTTATTAGCCGGCAGTTTATGAATAATGTAAAGAATCATGCATTGCCCTTTCGAGTTGCATGATAAGCTGGGTTACACAAACACGCACCTCTGCATCTTCGGCTCTGTCAGGGTCGAGTTACTTCACAATGAACAAAGACCACCTATCATATAGCATCACGCTTACATCATATTTAAAACATAAAGGCACTTGCATCTCTAAACTTCACAATCAAACGTGGGGTTTTTAATAGAGCAATAGGCTCGGCTTGACCAACAGCACCTTGTGTGTAAGTTTCAAGTTGATCGTGGCCAATCCCAGATTTCGCAATGTCGCTACCAGCCAAACTGGATCCGGGGGGTCGACCTCTTCGACGACGACGATCAAAAAAAATATTTTTTGGGCTAGTTGCGACATTGAACGTGAAACTTTCACACAAGGTGCTGTTGGCCAAGCTGAGCCCATTGCTCTCATAAAAACCCCACGTTTCATTGTAAAGTTTGGAGATACAGGCACCTTTATGTTTGTAAGCGTGATGCTATATGAAGAGTGGTCTTTGTTCATTGTCAAGTAGGTGGACCCTGGCAGCGCAAAAGATGCAGAGGGTCGTGTTGTGTAACACAGCTACGTTTGCATGAATGGAAGGGTCAATGTATAATTACTTTATGGATCATCTAGGAACAGGCATGTATTGCCAGCTAACGGCCACTTTTATCCAATTATCATTGTTGCGAGATCCACTGCATGGGAACGATGCCCCTGCTCTAGACATTCATTTCCATGATTAAAGTAGGTTGATCCGAGCTGATTTGACTGAGCTGCGGTCAAAGAGAGATTACATCACTCTGGACATAGAGCACGCTCGATGTAGCTCAACCGATGTAATCTTGTGTGAGCGTAACTCAACCAAATCAGCTCGGATCAACCTACTTTAATCATGGAAATGAATGTCTAGAGCAGGAGCATCGTCCACCTACAATAGAATGCACAAAAGTTGGGAATGCACAAAAGTGGCTATTAGCTGCCAATGTATGACATAAAAGTGAGGGTTGCGTACCTGTCATGCATTGTCCCTGAAGTCCTGACTTTTTAGCTGAGTTACCCAAAGAGGTCCCTCTGCATCTTTTGCTCTGCCAGGGTCTAGCTACTTGGCAATGAACAAAGACCACTTCTCATATAGCATCACGCTTACAAACATAAAGGTGCCTGTATCTCCGAACTTTACAATGAAACGTGGGGTTTTTATGAGAGCAATGTGCTCGGCTTGGCCAACAGCACCTTGTGTGAAAGTTTCATGATCAAGCTTGCCTATCCCAGATTTCGCAATGTCGCTACCAGCCAAACTGGATCCAGGGGTCGACCTCTTCGTTATATGGAGGCTTGTTTAGCCTCGGTTTTTATTGGGAGTATGTCTGAGAGTGATACCCCAAAGACGTTACAAGAATGAAGAAATGTTATAGGAAGGAAAGGAGATGACTTTAGACTTATGTTGGATCATTGTTCCCCTTTGACAGGGAACTCACCAAGGAAAGAGTAGTTGGTGTGGACGAAGACAAAGATTTACCTTGATCTTTCAAAGTGTGACAAAGACGTTCAAGTTCAGGAATCGATAAGGAGGCAATAATGGTCTTAGCGTGGTCGGACATAGGATAACGCTTTTCAACATGCTGTACCATGGCGTCTCGATCAGGGGAAGGAGGCTGAGGTTTGAGATCAATTTGGTCATCGGGGATAAAGTCACTAATAATGGCATCATTGTGGCTTTCAAAAGGCGAAGGATCAACGCTGAGCATGGAGATATCTGAATTTGAGCTATTGACTGAATACGATGAAGGCGATGATGATGTAGGAGGGTGATAAGTGTCAGGTGTAGGCTTGACTTGACGGTCGGTACATTGGGCTGCTCGGTGACCTGGTTGGCCACAGGTCCAACAAAGACGGCTACGGCTAGGATGGCGGGGACAAGCAGAGGTCGCATGACCAGCTGTGTGACAACGAAGGCAGTGTAGCGGCATTTCAGCCCAAGTGGCGTGGAACGAATCATCTGATGTAAGCCAAGGGATAGTGTGGGAAAGCTGCTTGTACTTGTAGTTGGCTGGGATTTTCAAGGTAGCGTAACCTCGTCCCATGAAGAGGTTTGATGCGTGATCACGGAAGATGCCATAGTCACTAAGGCTACCATAAGGTGCCAGGGATTTGCGAAGACCAAGTCTTAATTTGTCTAGTGTAGTGAATGGAAGATCGGAGAGTTGAAGATGCACTAAACGGGTATCAGCGGAAATGGGCTTTGAGGCAAGAATACATTCACCATCATCAAAGGTGATGCCTGTTACAGATGTCTCTTCACACTGCTTGGATGTGGGAAGGAAGAGCTCAACAATGCGGCGTGATTGATCAGAATGAAGACGTACACCACAATTGTCTGGATAGCATTCGTTGATATAGCAAAGTAGAGCAGCGCGGTTTTCGGGGCGAGACGTGAAGTCGAAGAACATGCTAGGACAAGAAGCTGGGGACCCACCAACCTTCCATACTCTGGAACGGATGGTATTGTCAGTATCTTTTGATATCAGAGACTCCTTTATAGGAGGATGAGCACGCGTAGCATGAGCATAAGATGGGTGACGTTGTTGACTGTTTTGGGTGCCTGATGCCTTATCAGGCGATTTGATAAAATTCGCGGAAGACATGGGTCGACCTCTTCGACGACGACGACCAAAAAATATTTTTTGGGCTGTTTGCGACATTGAACGCGTAACTTTCACACAAGGTGCTGTTGGCCAAGCCGAGCCCATTGCTCTATTCAAAACACCACACTTCATTGTAAAGTTTAGAGATACAGGCGTCTTTATGTTTTACCTATGTTGTAAGCGTGATGGAGTTGCTTTTTCCTAGTGGATGGTGCTCGGCTGCATTAACGGAAAGATGAAGAGCTGAGTGAAACGGCACGTGGTGGTTACACAGACACGTCCTTGACAGGTTCCTGCACAAATGGATGATGCTGATGATTGCCTTTTGTGAAGGTACGTAAGTAAACAGCATCCAATAATGAAGGTGTGTCAAGGTATGCATCACATTTGCATTAGAAGAGAGTCAAGCTGCATAAACCAATTTGTATATGTAAAAAGATACGTATACATATTGAATGAGTCACACATCCTGAAACTCAATGGAGAGATCTCTTCACTTTTTCTCTTCTCAAGCTCATCCCACTTCCCACTCCTCCTTATTGTATCACAAAAGGCATATACTTCTTGCATGAACGATACATAAGCGAACCACCTTTATTATTCCATCTTCCAAGCTACATCATGTAATCCACAAGCTAGCAAAGTCCAAGTACGTAATAAACAATGCTTTATTTCATTCTAGCTGCATTGCCGCCACCCTTGTCTTCGTCTTCCATCATCATTCGTATTGGTACTCGTACTTGTCTACAGTCATCAATCTGCTGGTCACCAATATCCAAAACACGCAAGTAGAAAAGAATGGGATCTCGCAGGCTTCCTTTTGAATCTCGTTGTCGTTGTCATTGTCATTGCTGTGGCTGTGGTAATCATCGTAATCGTCATTGCTGTGGATGTGGTAATCATCGTAATGGTCGTCTCTATTAAGTAAAAACACGCAAGTTAGGCAATCTAGTATCAGAATGATGACGATTTGGTATACCGCTAGGCGATCCTCTCTAAGGAAGAAAGCAAATCAGAAGGAATTCACAAACCAAATCACCACCATACGAGCAACGTCGGGCGATCCCTTGTTCTTGAGAAAGCACTGCACGAATCACACAAGGCCAGTTCGATCCATGGCAAGGAAGGACTCACTTACGTAGAGTCCAGGCTCATAATTGTTCTCATTCATCCTCTCCAAAGAAAGAATGATCCCCAATCCTTCCAATCATTTCCCGCCTCATGAAAAGAAATCCTCAAGGGAAAGAACGAGCCTGTCACGAGAAGAGCGTGTTGGTTCGCACTGATGTCAACACATCCACGGCCAGGGCGACTACAAGCTGTTGCAAATCCCCTTTTACCTCAACACGGTGACCATGCTCTTCCAACAACCCATCGTCATCGACCCATCAACTCAACGCAGGCCTGTAGAGCCCTGGACGCGTTCCAAGAAGCCATTCCAGCACACTTGGCTAGTGCAGAGCGACGCAGCGGCCACTTGATGCAGGCTGGGAGTCGAACCCAAAGAGATGAAGATGCCCCAAGTTGCAATGCCTGACCAAAAACCTATTCAATTCATTATTAGCACACATACACAATAAACACCCTTTTTCATTGTTTGTTTCATTGCACTTGCCTTTTCCATATACACAAAGACCCGTTGTTGTTGGTTACTGGAAACCCAAAAACCATGGTGTAGTGTTCTTGAGTCGAAGCAAAACGTCAAACGAGCCAACGTCTTGGAACCAAACTTGCTCTCTATACCAGCTAACACGTCAATGGAACCAATTCGGCTGCAACATTGGGCTCTGAATGTACCTGTTGACACCAAGCGTAGAGCGGGAATAGCTACGAACAAAAGGAAGCAACGATATCACCATGGCTACCACTCTCATTCCTCAACACTTGGACACACACACTCCCTGCCTATGCATGTTCAGAACTATATTAACACCTCACAATCAACAAGAGCGCCCTTTTATAATACATTACCTTGATGGGAATGTTGCGAATGGGGGTATAAAAGGAGAGGAGGGCCAAAAGAGTAGACAAGCGTTGTGTCTCAAGTCGTGGAGCTGCGGGCCCCAAATTTAATTTCCATGGCGACAAGTCAAATTCTTACACTGGGAGCCAAGTTGAATCCCCCACTACGAGTACATTGCGCCCATTCACTCAACCCACGCACCCAACACACCCATCATCATCCTCATAATAGAAAATAGGTGTATGTAAATAAAAGGAATGCTCCTCACATATGGCCAAATGGAGTGTGTGATTTTACAATTTACATGATCCAACACCAACACCAACAACAGTAACCATCATGGCCTTACTACCAGGTCCTCAAGCAGCAGCCTTCTTTACTAAAGCCATTCCAAAGAATCTTTTTTTTCTACATAGCATGCTCGACATTGCCCTTCACTTTGCATACATGTATCCATCCTGACGACCCTCGGCAGCAGTAAGAAAAACAGCGGATAGTAAAGTGCACAATGCAACATGTTGGTATGGTTAATATTGCAGAAATGGTCAGCGCAACCAAAAGGATCTTTGTAATGAGCCAAATCGGTGACGTCGATGGCCATTGTCTGCTGCTGTCAACAACAACCCAAATAATATCAACGTCATGGACGTGGCTCATTACAAAGATGCTTATGGTTGCGCTGACCATTCCTACAATATTAGCCATACCATGTTTTGACGTATTAGTAGGAGTGATTTCCTTGCCGGTGGGAGTGTGATGATTGGTACATCATGTATGCAAAATGTTAAGGGCACTTCCAGCGTACCAATAAAAAGGATGTTTCGGTAGCACGCTGAAAGAAGGCTCATGCTTGGGTACTTGGTAGAATGTCAATGGTTGCTGGATCATCGTATCTCATGTTCTCATCCATGTAACATGCAAAGTAAGAAGTGACACCCTTACCTTTGCTATAGGTGAGAACCATTCTTTTTATTGACGTACGTATATTCTCTATCATAACAATTATAAGCCTAACAAGATTCTGGTAACTATGTTTTCGTGTATCATCGGCAATGCAAGAAGAATAGGTAGCTGCAGCGTTCAACCTTTGAAGATGATTCGATGTGGTACTTACAAGAGGATTCATGTGTATATATCTATTCTTTGATGGTTGCCAGGTCACCTTGCTTACAAGAGTCCAGCAATGACTTGACTATAGATAAAGCGAGAGTAATGCTTGGAGTTTATGTACATACATGGACGAAAAATACATAGATCATATATACGAGATGAGCTATCAAATGGGAAACATTCTCGCCATCACCTTGTATCATTGTTTTAATATGCACTCTCCCTTACTGATTGAAACAAATGTCGGGGTATTATGCGCTGGCGCAGCAATATTCCTTTTGACAACATCAACTTCTTGTACTCAGCAGGCGCAGCTCATGCGTAGCAGGCGCAGCAGTACTTCGCCACAACATCATAGATAGCCATCCCATATAAATATCCCCACCACACAATATGAATAAACATCATCTCTTTACGTTACAAATACTTCTTTATTATCATACGTCGTTGCTATTGGCTACGGTCACATCCGCCAAAAAGAAAGCTCGACACAAAGAAAAAAAAACGACAATGTTTAATCAACAAAGTAAATGTCACGTGACCCATGATAAGAGAAAAACAAAAGATCGAATCGAATGATCCTATTTTTGGATCAATCGATCAGAAGATGATGTGGAATGGAGAAGCCGCGCATCGATCGCGGTACCTCTCGCATGCTAAGCGAGCGCTCTACCATTTGAGCTACATCCCCAAGCTGTTATTTTTGGGTCCGCTTGGTGACTGATCAATCACATGTTTTCCTAATATGGAACTGATGGGGTCTATGATGTCATTTCGATATGAAAAAACTGACACGTGTGGTACTTGGTCTTGTTGTAATGGTTGTTGGGAAGAGAAAGGAAACAGATGGAAACAATAATGATGATCCGAATGATTGAGAAACGCGAGGAAACTCAATCAAAACGACAACGAAAAGAGAAGAGAGACCTCCAATAAAGAACCAAGAGAGAGAGAGAGAAAAGGGGAAAACGTAAAAGAAGAAAAGAACTCGACAAAAACCTCCTCGTTTATTGAATAGATACTTTGCATATATATATACTCGATGTATGGAAATGACAGGAATGCTTATACTATGGTTCTAGAAAATGATGGAATCGACAATAAAAGAAGCAAAGACGTGTTTACCATAAGTGACAGGAATGATAAGGAACATAATGGAAAATGAATCAAAAGGGAAAGAAAGGAACGACATGTAAATGAAGGATGGGCCGGATGAAGGTGAAGGGCTCGCTCAAATCATGTGACTTAAATCATGTGATCTTGGTTGTCGCTTCAGGATCCTGGGTCACATGATCCAAGTTGGGTCTTCATGCTGCACACGTGATTTCACCTTCCTTGTTAAGGAATCGAGGCCGACAAAACCGCACACGAACGTGTCAATTCCCCCACCCAGGCCGAGTCTTCCACCGAAAGATAGCTTAAAACGAATCATCATCACCTCTTTCCAACCAAGCTTGAAATTGTTGTTCGGCTTGTTTGACTTGAACATCAGGAATAAGGTGACGACGGCTCACAAAAGGACGAAGGTTATCTCCATGTACTGCACCTTTTAACCTTCGAGAATTTGGTCCTTCAAGCATATAGGTGCCATTCTTAAATTCTTGCACTACAATCAACGGGCCCAACCAACGATCGGCAAATTTGCTTGGTGGATGTCTATCACGCATCAGGACTTGTTCACCAACACGAAAACGACGTCTGTTACGGACTTGCGCATCATATCTTTTCTTGTCTTGTTCCTTGCGATGTTGAGCATTCTCACAAGCTTGCTGTCGTAGTTGATCCGTTAACAATTTAATCACCTTGGCTCTTGCAGCTAATTCGTCAGCAATTTCTCCTTCAACATAATCTTGACGTGGAGCTGGCCATACAGCGGGAGTACGTAGCTCATAGCCAAAAAGCAACATGGCAGGAGAAAAACGAGTAGCTTCATTTGGGGTAGTACGTATGGCTAACAAAGCAGGCTTGACGAATTGTTCCCAATCTTGCATACTATCTTGATCCCTTGCCAATTTGGCTATGGTCTGCACAATGGTCTGATTCATCCTTTCGCACATGCCATTGGTCTGAGGACGATAAGCCGTAGTAGTGATATGTCGACAACCCAATGACTTGAGGAAAGCATGAACGTATGCTGACTTGAAGTTGCTACCACGATCCGTCAATAGATATCTAGGCACGCCATACATTGACACCAGCTCATCGAAAAGAAAGTCAGCAGTGGTCCCTTCAGTGATATCAGTGACCACCCGAGCTATAGGCCATCGAGTTAAATAGTCGATTGCTACCAAGAGATACTTGTCGGGCTTGCCATCCATCTTGATTGGACCAACGGCATCACAACCAACCATGAAGAAGGGATGTGATGGTGTTGGTATTGGTCTAGCTTGCTCGTGACGTTTAGCTTGTATCCTTGCTCTGAATTGACATGACTCACACGATTGCACGATGGTCCGTACCCTTTCAAAGAGGCAGGGTCCAGTGTAAGCCATTCGTAGTTTTCTCCAAGTATTGTTGATGCCAACGTGTCCTTCTTCATGAACGGTCTTGATAACCTCATCAGCGTTGCCTTCATGAAGAAGCTCTAAGCTTGGTTCATCATCTTCTCCTTTGGCGTATAAGCGCCCTCGATACGCTTGATACTTGTTGGCATGGAAACGAATACGCTTTTTGGTCTTCTCATCTGCGTCGGTGGGATAAGTCTTCCTGGTGATGTAGTAATACAAAGATAGATAGAATGGGTAATCCATAGTGTCAATGAGGAGAGGGGTAATAGTGAGAGGAAAAGGGAACACAATAGAAAAGGGTAAGGAAAAACGGATGGAAGTGATAGGAAACACAAGGAAACTTGAGGAAGTATAGGGATAGCAACACGAAAAACGATACAATAGAATGGAAAGGGATAGGAAACTCATGGAAACTCAAAACCAAGTAATGAGTCACCAAGGTCACCAAAAGAAGATACCAAGCAAAGAAAATCGAAGGATGGAAAGAAACAAAGAGATCAAAGGAAAGGGGTACTCGTCTCAACGAGTATACAACAAGGAAGCAAACTGTAGGGATATGCAATCCCCAAAGGAAAGGATAAGAAAACTCAAAAACCAAAAGTGAAGTAAAAGCGAAAGAGAGAGTCCTTGTTACTTTATTGAATGCGAATCATACTTATACATCCTGTCACATACAAAGCATCGAAAAAATTCTTAAGCATAAAGTTGTCATGTCATAAATGATAAGGAATGGAGGAAGAAAACGAAAAGGTTGAATAAATGATTGTATCATCTTAGTCCTTGACCAAAAGACGAGAAAGGGAATCCGCAGGATTGGATACACCAGGGCGGTATTGTACTGTAAAATCATAATCGAAAAGAGCTGCAGCCCAACGCTGCACCTTGGCTGAGGGATTGGGGTTGTTGAAGATAAATGTCAATGCATTGTGATCCGTGCGAATGGTAAAACGCCGACCAGCCAAATAATAACGGAACTTGTGAACTCCCCAAACGACAGCTAAGGCCTCGGCATGTGTAGTAGCATACCGCTTCTCAGGTCCACGTAAGGTCCTTGATGCATATGCCACAACACGTTCCATGGATGGGTCATCTTGAGGATGTTGTGAAAGGATGGCTCCTATGCCAACACCAGATGCATCGGTCGTTAAAATGGTCTCTTGAGACATATCAGGGAAAGCCAAAATGGGTGCTTGCGTCAGAGAATTCTTGAGAGCAACGAACGCCTCTTCTTGTTTTTCACCCCATTCGAAAGCTTGTGCCTTCCGCAACAATCTTGTCAAAGGTTCAGCCACCGTTGCATAGTCGCGAATGAAGCGACGAAAGAAACCAGCAGTACCCAAAAATGACCTCACTTCACTTGCATTCACCGGTCTTGTCATTTGCAACGCCTTTTCCACGTTCTTGCTACATGGCTTGATTCCTTGCTCGCAGACTTCATGCCCAAGATAAGTCACCGAACGTTTAAAGAAGGAGCACTTCTCACGCCTTAAACGTAGATTCGCCGAGTTACACACTTGAAAGATTGTCTTGAGGTGTTCAAGGTGTTCTTCCATTGACCGGCTGAAAACGATAAGATCGTCAACGAACACAAACACGAATTGCCCAATGTATGGAGCCATGAGTTCGCACATCATACGTTGGTATGTGTACACAGCTGTTTGCAGACCAAAAGGCATGACCTTGAATGCATAAACACCATACTTGCAGATGAAGCTTGTATACTCAATCGACTCCTCGGACATAGGGACTTGCCAATATCCAGAGGCAGCATCCAAGGTTGAGAACCAAGAAGCACCATTGAGCGAATCTAAAAGGTCATCGATATGAGGTAGTGGATATGATTCAGGGGTTGTCAATCGATTTACCCGGCGATAATCAATGACCATCCTTAGGGATCCATTCTTCTTCTTGATGAAAAAGAGGGGCGACGACCAACGACCACTTGCAGGGCGAATCAAATCCAACTCCAACATCTTCTTCAACTCATCCTTGAGGTATTGATCTTCTTCATAAGTCAAACGATAAGGCTTGGATCTCACTGGTTGGTCTTTTTCCAGATTGATGTGATGCTCCGTAATCGACACTCGACCCAATCCACTCGTTTCGAAGAAGCAATGATCATACTCTCTCAGCAACTGGATGAGCTCAGGCAATTCTTCTTCTTGTTCACCTCCTTGACTGGATCTTGACAACACCTCTTCTTGATAACCACGCAGCATGTCCTGATCTTGAGGATCACCATCAGCACCAGTGGAATCACCTTGAGCTGCCACCATCACAGCTAAAGCGGATACACCATCTTCTTCAGGGTCTTGCGGCTGATGACATTGCAACTCAACACAACCTTGACCATGACCTGTGGGGATGACAAGAGTGGATTGATCGGCTCTGAAGTATATTCCATAAGCTCTGAACCATGTCATTCCCAACAAGCACATGTCTCGATCGGTGTTTTCTTGGATACACATATGCTCTGGTCGTAATTTTCCAGCAACACGCACCGGCACCGAAACAGTGATATCACAAGGCCTATTGGAATCATCATCCATGGTCGAAACAGGTATCTTGTCACCAATCGTTTGCAACTTGAGCTTCTTGACTAATGACTTGCTGATGATAGATACACTCGCTCCAGAGTCAAAAACGGCTGACACCACTTGACCATTGATGATAATAGGACCACGCAAGGGACAACTGGTACGCATCCTTTGGAAGTTGTAAGGATAATCATACACTGTGTCGTCTGACCAATAGCCATCTTCACCCTCTTCAGAGTTCTCATCAGAAGGGTTGCCTTCGACCGACAAATCATCCGAAGAAACAGACAACCATGAATCATCGGACTCATTGTCATCAACATAATGAGCTTCAGCGTATTCGGCCAAATCCACAGCATTCACTCCTTGAGTCACCGGTCTTGCTTGATTGCTTCCCTTCTTGGTTGACTTTGGTTTTCGACCATAAAGGTAACGTAGACCATCTCTCACATCTTGATAGGCCTTCTTGTCTAAAGCCAACCAATCTGCCATAGATAGTCCAGAGTCAAGGGCTTGCAATCTTTCCCAAATATCCTTTTTCTTGATGTTCACCGGCAATCTTCTTGGAGGGCGACGTAATCTCTTGGTTTTGACCTTGCTTGATGAATGATTTTGGTCTACATCCATCTTTTCGGCACCAAGAGAAACACCACCTTCTTGCGGGCCACTCGATTTCTTGACACGACCTTCTTCACGAACGCCTGAGACTTCCGACCTTGTTCTTTTGCTACCTTCAACGACTGCTAGCACTTGAGGACACTCCACCAAATTGATATCAGCTTGCTCATCTTGAGGTTTGGAGGATGGATTATGGGCGCCAATGTCCTCCTTCATTGACGCCCCTTGTCTTTTCCCTGGTTGTCTTCACTCTTCAATTGAGGACATTTGGTCTTGGTATGCCCTTCCTTGCCGCAATGGTAACACTTGAAAACAGGTGCACGATTTGCGTTTTCGACCAAATGGACCTTGAGAGCCTTGAAACCTTCCACCAATTCCGACAATTGAGAGCTGATGGAATCTTCGGGAACCAGAGAAGGAGCGTGATCAATACGACCACTCAATGATGATTGAGACGATAAGTTGCCACCACGAACAACCGAAAGGTTATCAGCACCATCGATACGACCATACTTGCGCATGACTTGTTCCACCTTGACAGCCTCCTTCACAGCCGTTGCAAATTGATCAGGGATGACCAATTTCTCCAGCTCATACGCAATCTCGGGACGAATAGCACGAAGAAGGTAATGGATCTTGAAACCTTCTTCAACCTTGCCAACCATTTGGAACAAATCTTGCAACCTTCCAGCAACTTCTTCGACTGATTCGTTCACACCTTGTTTCATTGTTTCAATCTTGGTCCACCAAGCATCACGATCTTGTCCAGCAATGTATTTGGCCTTGAATGCATCCTCAAATGCTGACCAGGTATGGATTGAGTCTTCGAGAGCATCCCACCACATTTGAGCTTGACCACGAAAATAGGAGCCTACAACAAGCAAGGCCTGTTCATCACTCCAAATAGCTGCACGCCGAACGCGATCGAATTGCTTGAACCAAGACAAAGGGTTAATACCAGAGGACGTTCCAGAAAAGACTTCAGGATTCGCCAAGAAACGAGAGATGTCTTGAGATTCCATAGATTTCTTGATGTAGTGTTAAGGTAAGGTAATGATGAATGAATAAAAGAAAAGATGAAAAGAAAGATACAGAGAATGGTACAACACGTGCGAGAGAAATAAATAGTTTCTCGGCAAGACCTCCAAAACTGACACGTGTGGTACTTGGTCTTGTTGTAATGGTTGTTGGGAAGAGAAAGGAAACAGATGGAAACAATAATGATGATCCGAATGATTGAGAAACGCGAGGAAACTCAATCAAAACGACAACGAAAAGAGAAGAGAGACCTCCAATAAAGAACCAAGAGAGAGAGAGAGAAAAGGGGAAAACGTAAAAGAAGAAAAGAACTCGACAAAAACCTCCTCGTTTATTGAATAGATACTTTGCATATATATATACTCGATGTATGGAAATGACAGGAATGCTTATACTATGGTTCTAGAAAATGATGGAATCGACAATAAAAGAAGCAAAGACGTGTTTACCATAAGTGACAGGAATGATAAGGAACATAATGGAAAATGAATCAAAAGGGAAAGAAAGGAACGACATGTAAATGAAGGATGGGCCGGATGAAGGTGAAGGGCTCGCTCAAATCATGTGACTTAAATCATGTGATCTTGGTTGTCGCTTCAGGATCCTGGGTCACATGATCCAAGTTGGGTCTTCATGCTGCACACGTGATTTCACCTTCCTTGTTAAGGAATCGAGGCCGACAAAACCGCACACGAACGTGTCAAAACATCGAATTCGCGCGGATGGTTTAGTGGTATAATATCCGCCTGCCACGCGGATGACCCGGGTTCGATTCCCGGTCCGCGCATTCATCCCTACATAACCACCTGATCAATCAGGTTGGATTCCTTTTTGTTTTTTCTTCTTTTGGATCACGTGACTTCGTCTTCATTGTTTTGGATCTTGCTTTTAGATTCGTGCTTTATTATGTTATCGATCATAAATGAGCATAGGTCTTTCCTCGTCTTCGCACATCAATCATGCAAGGTAGTATTGCATCCCTCTATCATAAGCATACCGTATAGGTGATATGAAAAAGATATATAAGCATTCGATTAAAAGTAGACATCAATCTCTCATTTTGTGCTCGATTGAGCGTCTCACGCCATACAATAGCGGCAACATTGCTATTCTGGGCCAAAGCGTAGCATCCAAAATAGGTATTTGAACAACAATACTAAGACGCGACATAAGATGCAAGAAGCGTCCCTTTCATAAAACGATACGATAATCACATCCCATTCCCAAAACATCAATTAAAGTCGTTTGGATCAAACCAAGTGGTATTATTGTGCGTATTAAACAATGAAATAGGGCGTACGTCTTGTCGAATCATCTCCAACGTATACATGTATCCAGGGTAGCGTTCATGCAGCGTTACTTAATCCCACTATAATATACTACGTTAGGTTGCCATGACACAAACCAATGTGTATGTTACTTACGACCATCCTTTCTGGTAGTTCATTCGAATCTGCTTGCATTGGGTTCTGTCGCTTTTGTTCGGCTAGTTGCTTGCTCAACTTGCCACCAGCACCACCTTGTTTCACTCCACGATTTTCAGCCTGATTGATACGTTTGTAAAGCATTATCAGCAGGATATTAATAATATATCGCTTACTTCTTGACGTCGTCTTTCAGCAGCAGCTAGCATTGCATCTCTTTGGGAACCTTGTTGTTGCTGTGTGGGTGATTGTGAAGAGCCTGGTGTTGCAGCTGATGTCGTTGTGTTTCCACCCAGTGTGTGTCCACCTTTGTTTCTTTTACCAAAGCAGTTTCCCTACGCAATGTAAGTGCATCGGTCAAGTGTGAATGGGTTGTGAAGAGATTGGTTACCATTGAAGGTGTCTTTTGTAAGTGAGTGTCGGGTTAAAAGAGAATTTTCTTTCGTATGCAGCAGGACCCTCCTCCTCCTCCTCCTCTTCCCGCAGCCTGAGCATGAATAAGGAAGGAATACGCTATAGTCACAGTGCACGAGCGCAGTTTAATCGATAGCAAGGTTATTTCATGATGTAAGGGAACATTCGATCAGCTGATAAGGGTGATAATAATGTGTATGCCGTGAAACCAAGATATTGATTTCTTAGAAAGTGAGGATATATGATGCACTCCAAACTCTATCGGATGTCGTGGTAAATGCGGTTGGAAGCCGTTACACAAGCTAGACTTTTTTCTTATAAACGACATTGATAGTGTTATGCTGGCCATCTTTCTCTCCTCCGCTGTCAAACTCTCTCTCTCTACCTATGCCTAAGCGACTGCCTCGCAACGCAGCACCAATACCTTTTCCTTCTTCAGGTCGCTCCCACACCTACCTCTCCACTTCACCAGCCTCATTCACGTCCGATCAATACCCATCGCTTGGCCAATGGTCCGATCAGGTTGACATTCCAACGCGTTCTCCTTCTTCCTACAGCGAGATAGAGGTCGTCCTTGATGATGGCACCCTCCAAAAACGCACTGTGTCATTATCCACTGTACCTGAGCCCCTTTCTCCGACGCATGAAGATTTCAACGCCAACGATTATTCTGCAGATGAAATGGTATCACAGCAACAGCACCAGTCGACATCATTCAAAAACCCAAAGGATCAATCAAGGTATGTGTGTATATGGTTACGTGCTTCAAGTATCTCATTTATTTGATACAGTGAGACAACGCCATTGTTGCAGGGCAGTAGTGCTGGTGAAACAACCTACAATGCTGTTTCAGAATCAAGCGCATCAACCACCGAGAGCGATTCCGACACGCCATTTTTCCCTGCTACATCCAAAAAGAGCCACAAGCATCAACAACATCATTACAACCCTCTACCCGATAAGCCATCCATATGGAAAAGAGCAAAGGATACCATCACTCATTGGGAACTCACCACTGCACAACGACAAGTACTGAAATGCAGCTTTGCTTATTTCTTGGGATCTCTTTTTACCTTTGTACCTATGCTCAATGCCCTGATTGGGAACAATCGTGTATCAAGCCACCTGGTTGCCACGGCTACTGTATTTTTCAACCCTGCAAAATCACTTGGGGGCATGGTCGAGGCTGCTGCTTATGGATGGGGCTATACCCTTTCTGCCACAGCCGTTTGTTTGGGTTCCATGGTGACAACAGATTTCTTCATTGATCACGGATATGACGTTGTTGCTCACACGTTATCGCTCTTGCTTTGGCTCGCTGGTCCAACCGCCGTGATTGCATTCTTCAAAGCACATTGGAATAAACCACCCGTGGCCACAGGTAAATTAAGGTTATGCTTTGGGCTAATCGTATGCATTGTGGTGGTGCTAATCGTGCAGCATGATATCATTTTCTAGCATCGAGTCTTTGCTTTATCATCATCTTCATCATTGTCGTAAGGGAAGGATCAGCAAATCGTGGCGATTTTGATACGACAAGGATCGAACAGATTGTATCAGCCGTGGCTACAGGGACCGTGATTACAGTTTCATGTTGCATCATCTTTTGGCCTTATTCGGCAGCAAAGAAATTAAAGTAAGTTGGTAGGACATTGTTTGTTTGTTGCGAGGTGACACTGAAAAGAGACGTTTATAGCAAGGACCTTGAAGCAACGTTATCATCGTACCAGGTGCTCTTGAAACTCTTAACCAAAACCTTTCTCCTTGACGACGACCTCCCTGAATTCAAAGCAAACAAAACCCTACAAACGGCTATCGATTCACACCGTGCAAGTTTTACATCATTGCAAAAGTCGCTTTCAGACGCAAAGTTGGAAGTCATGTGGAATCGCCAAATTCGTGGTCGTGTCGGGGAATACGAGGATATTGTCAAAAGCATGCAACGTTTGGCACAACATGTTGCTGGTCTTCGTAGCAGCTGTGGTATCCAATTTGAACGAATGTGCAACGAGTTACAAGGTTCCTGGAAGGGGCTTAAAAAGGCAAAGAAGTCAAAGAAAAAATCCAGCAATGGCGGTTTGCAAGAGACCTGGAGTATTCGTGCTGGCTATCGACGTAGACTTCTTGAAAATGAGATGCGACGACAAAAGAATATCGAGTTGGATGCTGCTGCTGCTGAAAGCACCGAGACAGCCGTGGCTGGAGCTGCAGACATGAAGCGCACGCATAGCCATGCATCCTCTGATCATCTCAACGATAGCGAGCTGGAGACTGAAAGCACCGCACTCCTTGATTTTATTCGCACAATCAGACAGCCGCTAAAGTCACTCGCATACACGTGCAAACAGACATTGTATCATTTACGGCGTGATTTCACCACCACACCTATAAGCAAAAAATCTTCACCCTCTTATCAGACCTTGGCAACCAATCTTGAAAAAGCAATCGCCTTGTTTGAAATGTCACAGCTACAAGCGGTTCAAAAGACATATCAACAACGTCTCCAAAAACGATGCAAGGATGGAAGTATTGATATGCCAGGAGAGGATCTTTATTTGGTGTACTTTTTCGTTTTCAACATGATTGAATTTGCTCGTGAGATGATCACCTTGGTGGAGTGTATACGGCGTTGGTCTGAAGCTGAGGAGCGTGCAAGCAAGATACATTGGTGGCAATTCAAGCTTTATTCAGGCAAACGCTCTAACTGTAAGTGTCATTGCTAATTGAGATCATCACATTGCTCACTTGTTTTTGTCCCACGTTCCCACCGTAGCCAAGAAGGATGTATCCATCGACAGCTTTGTCCCAAATGACCGCAACAGTAGAAATACATTACATACTCCGGAGCCAAAGACAGCATGGCGAAGATTCTTTTTAAGAACATGGAGAACATTATCACTACTAAAACAGCAAAAGGTGCGATACGCTACAAAATGTTCGATCGCAGCCACACTACTAGCAGCACCAGCATTCATGGAAAGTACAGCCGAATGGTTTCGCGCTTGGAGAATGGAATGGGCTTTGATTACTGTAAGTAGGATGGGTTGCTTATCTGATTTGGTGATGGTATTATCAATCTGATTTTCTCATTTGATATGATGCGATGTGTAGTTGATGGTTGTGATGACGCCTACCGTTGGTGGTACCAACTTAGTATCAATCTACCGTATATTGTCGACCGTACTTGGATGTTTTGCTGCCATGACGATTTACATGTTATTCCCAAACAACATGTATGTGCTGCCAGTATTGACGTGGCTCTTTTCAATCCCGAACTTTTGGATGATCTTGCATCACAAACATGGCAAATTCGGCCAATTTACGTTACTCGCCTACAACTTGGTGGTGCTCAACAAGTATAACGATCGTGATACGAACCATGTTGAGGTATGGTTGCTTGCTTTCCAACGCTGTGTCGCCATTTTGGTGGGTGTCGTATTTGGATTGGTGGCGACTGTATATGTATGGCCATATGAAGCACGTGTTGAGCTACGCAAAGGACTCTCTGATTTCTTGTTGCGAATGGCAAGGCTGTATCAAAAGCTAGTATCCGTTTACTCTGGACGATCATTAGCCACTTCAATGGAAACTTCACTCATGATCAAGAACAACTGCCATGGTGATGGTGATGGTGATGATCCTTCGACATCACAACGTGCTGTTGCAAAACGTGCCTTTATGGATATGGAGCTTGATTTACAACGTACACTATTGGAGCTTCAAGCATTGTTGGCTCAAACACCCAATGAACCACGTTTGAAGGGTGCTTTCCCGGTCGACACTTATAAATCCATGCTCAACTCCTGCCAGAACATTGTCGACAAATTTTGCTCTATGCGTACCGTTGTTTTCAAAGACGCTTGGTTTCAAGACGTTCAACGTGATTTCATCATGCCTGTTAGCAAAGAGCGTCGTGAAATGGTTGGCAACATACTACTTTATTTTTATCTACTCGCATCCGCTCTACGTTTGAAGACACCTTTACCGCCTTATTTCCCACCAGCAAGAAATGCATGGCAATCCTTGATCATTCATCTTAAAGAGCTGCCTGGGACTCAATCAAGAATGGCCATGTTGGAGAAAGAGCATGTATACGTATTGTATTCTTCTTACGTGATCATGATGGAAGATGTCATACGCGAGCTTGATAAGGTATGTGACGAAGAGGAAGAGCACGGTCCACATCCATTGTTTGCTCAAATGGAAATCTTTTGTTTTGGTAGCTCGGAGAATGCATGACAAAGTTATTTGGGGAGCTGATCCCAACTTATGAATGGGATAGTCTATTTATGGGGTTCGACGTTGAACAGCAGCAACAACCAACATTATCATCTGCAAAGTAGCAGCATCATTATAGCATACGATTTATTCATTATTCATTAAACGGCATTGATCATTGTTATTCCAAATTGGGTTCATTTTCTGCTTAGCTTAGTACTTTCATCTCCCCCCCAAACCTCTTGCATAGTACAAGCATGAATGAATGAATGAGTCGCATGATAGGGTAGAAGGGAGGCTGCGCCATTATTCTTTCTCACATTGTTGTGCGCGCGTGACAAAGAGAAAGATGCTGGTAGGTTTGTAGTTACACAGCTGTGGTGAGAAACCCAATTTCTTCGAGGACACAGCTCAGTGAGATACTCTTTGCTCTTCTTGCTCCTCATCTCTTCAAACATGGCGGGTGAACAAATGCAAACGATCAAGGTCGCCTTGATTCTCTGTTCGTGCTTCTTTGCTTACGGGGTAACAATCTTGCTTTCCTTTTCTCTCTCTCCCTTGCGAGTCCATGAGGCTAATCAATCCTCCATAGACATATTGGTCAGACTGGGCATTCGACTACTACCTCTTGTGGGCTAATCCTGCTGAGCACCCCAATGCTGTTTCAAGAGCTACGGTATGTCTTTATATCCAAAGTAGACTATGTTTTACACGTCGTTCGTGTTTGCATAGACGCAACGCATCTATATGTATCATGCACTAAGCGCCGCATTCGTTAGCTTTACTATATCACGCAAACACAAGCACCCAAGATCCTCAAGTATATTCCATTTGCCAACTTGATGATTGCTGCTGTGGGTTTCTCGGCTGGTTTGGCTCATATGACAGATTCCAACCTTCTCTTTGATGGCGCATCTCTTGGTAAGGCATTGATAAATTGGAAGGTGGATCATGACTAACACATTATTGCTTTATTCAGTGTTGATGCTCTTTGGATTGTCCACTCACGCAACATCTGTGCGACCAGGTAAGATTTTGGAAAGGGAAATAAGCTCTGGGGAAGGTCAAAGGTGGTGGTACAGCGGATCAGAAATCTGATGCTGATCTCTGATGTCTATTTAGGCTTGGACGTGATTACTTCTACCGAAAATGAAGACGAAATCACTTCATCATTGAAGAACATTGCTGCTGCTCATTTCATCATCGTGTTGGCCATCACTGGTAAGTGATTAGAGGGGTTGACATTAGAGCTACAGAGATTAATCCATGTTGTAGGCATCATCGGTCTGCAAATCGCACACTACTTTGTGATGAAGAAGAGCGCCAAACCTGCCTCTGCAAACGCTACCAAGAAGAACCAATAATGTAGTTAACATTTATCGCGTCCATCTATCACCTTTACGTCCTTGCTGAACAGTAGCTATTAATTCATATGTTATTATCACGCTTGTCTCAAAACAAAAAAAGTTGCTGAACCCATGTTACGATGTGCATTTCGATTAAGGAGATGAATGGGATATGAGGTGTTTGATATCGTTTGCTACCAGTGCATCCATGCCTCTTCTTTACCTTATCCCTTTGGAGGCAGCCAATCAGGCTTTCGTAGCGGCAAAACGAACCCATCCCCGAAAGCGGAGCCATGTTTGGCTAAGCCGCTTGCCTCTCAACACATAAAAAGAGCACAAAAATTCTTCTCAGCTGTTTTCGCGTTTTCCACTTTTTACACTTTAAAGTTATCTTTATACTTTGCATTGGTATGTACTTTTTTACTTTATGAGCAGCATGACAGCATAGCAATAGCGAAAGAGGACAATGATGATACTTTTTCCCAAACAGAATGGAGCATCAATATGGTCTTCCGTTCTGGAGGTACCTGATGTAATGATCCTTTTCTTTTAGTCATAGTTACACTGAGCATCTCTCTTTCTCTATTGCATATGCTGCTTTGGCTCTCAAGCTATCAGCAGAACTTGTTTACTAATCTCCAGCTTCGTTATTCCTTTGAACAGGTCATATACTATACCACTACATAGATACCCTTTTCTTCAATAGTAATAAATGCTCTTTTCTTGGCTTAAAATATGTATATTTTTATTCGTGGGGGGAATGTTGGGAGAGGTAGGATGAGGAGTTACGCACTACCGTGGTGAAGTGGAGCCTCTTTGTTGTTCTTGGAAGCGTTGAACACGTCCAGAGATATCACCACCTTCTCTACTTTCTGGTTGCTGTGGTTGTTGCCAATTGCCTGAAGAGTTCATTTCATAGGCTTCTCGCGTGGGTGGTGTATAAGAGGGTGGTGGCATGGATGGTGCACCATTGTATCGGGATGGGTCAACCCACTGTGCTTGTGGAGGTGGATAATAAGGAGGTGGTGGTGGTTGCTGAGGCGTGCCACCGATAACATAGACACCCCCATTGCGCCGTCTATAGTAGCTCATGCAGCAACATCGGAAAATACAGAATAAAACGAGCAATCCAACGACAATAGCCACGGGAATAACAATCTCTTTGTGGTTATCGATCCAATTCTTTGCATTGTCACCTAAGGATATCATTCATTAGCATTTACATGTAGTGCGAACAACCTTGTTCCCCCCGGCTCAATAAAACTTACCAAAGTTATCCAAGCTGCAAGAGCCATCTTTACATGTACCACCAATACCACAAGGTGTGCCATCCAAAAAGAAACCGTTAAAGATGACGCATCCAAGACCATCTGGATTATCGCAAATCATCTGGCAAGAGCCTGAAGCTGATCCACAAGCACGAGCGATCTTCATATCTGAGCCACGTTGTTTGCATTGTGCATCACGTGAAGTACATTGGCCCGAAGCACATTGCATGCCATTGCTGCAGGATTCACCATCTTGTTTGTGTTGATCTGATGGACAATCACCCGTATCACCAGCACAAGTTTCCTCGACATCACATTCAGATGTGGCTGCTCTACACACATAGCCCGAAGCACGTGGTTGACAATTGTCACAGCAAAGATCGGTCGAATCTCTAAATGATATGAAGCATTCCGTCAGCCATCATGCTTTTCTCATTCAAAATAAAAACACGTACTCGCACTTGGCTCCGTCATTGAATTTACATGTGCTTCCGTTACAGCATGTTGTATTGGTGCCACCCGTATCACAATCCTCGCCGTCTTCTTTAATGCCGTTACCACACATTTGTAATGTCTTGATGGTTCGACTGCCAGGATCTAATAATAGAGACATAAAGTCAATATAAGCCCACTTTGCATGCTGCCAAGTATCCAAAAATACCTTCTAAACAAGAGCCAAGTGATGGGAATGCTTCACACACGGTATTGATAGTACATGGGCTAAAGTCGTGGGTAGAACCATTACTCGATGGGTTCATGAGGTATCGTCCTTGGGCATCACATTCGCTGGAGCTAAGAGGGCAGCATTGGCAAGAGGAACCACTGCATGGGCAATTGTCGGATGTACAATCGTGAATAGCACCTTTTTCAAATATGAGCAAACAAGCTTTTTCCTACCATATCATCCAACTTACCAAAATTATGGCCAATCTCGTGAGCTACCACAGTCCACTCATCTCGAACTAGATGAGAAAAGGGGGTGTCAACATATAATGTACTTTCCCTCTTCTCTCAATGAAAGCAACTTACTGATTGAAGATACAGCTGTTCCAGAGACGTATTGTGTGCCTTCTTGGGATTGTTGACGTGAAACGGTGTGCGTACATAATTGCCTGAGCCATGCAATACCAACTTCGACACCAGAACTATAAAGGTTGAATGCAAGTATAAGCATCACGCTCCAAAGTAAGACGTGATCACCATCACACTTACGCGCAAGCGGTCATTAAATGCCATAAACCAGCACCATCATCACCAAGGGTTGCACGCCATTGACTAAAGTCGCTCAAACGAGAAGAAATGGTATATGAAGAAGAGCAACCTTGATTCCAGCTGGCATTGGATTGAGGTGTCGATGGGCAATTTTCATCCATGATGGTGATGTTGATCAAGCCCAATTGGATATTGAATGTTCGTTCATAGACGGCGGATGCAGTGTTCCAATCATTGATGATTTGCTTGCGAGCATTGTCGGCTGACTGGTAGAATTTTGTATAGGTGCAATCAGCAGCTAAAGGGGGGGGGAGTTTGTCAGTATCCCAATATAACCATTGTGCTTGTTAGGTCAATTTACCAGCTCCCATGTAATTAACTAAAGGAGATAGGAGAAGGAGGAAAATTAATGCATTGTTCGACTAGTGCATGGATGGTCACTTACTCTTCTTTGTAGATGGACACCCTTCAGGTGCACGTTTACGGAGAGGGGAATGGCCATCGGGCATCATCAAGTAAGTATCGATATCGAGTTCATTGTCTTGATAAACGCCTAGTGCATGATGTGCTGGGATGGTGGAAGGTGGTTGTTGATTATGCAACAATTGATCAAATCCGCATTCAGGAACCTGAGTAGTGGGTTGGCCATCTCGTCTCAAAAGGGGTGTGAGAACCGTATCTGAGTCACGGTAAATGACCATGCGAGATTGATGATGGGCTGTATTCAATTCAACGTCGTCGCTGCGTTTGGCCAATTGATAATTGTGGGTTGCCTTGACATGGTAAATGTTGTCATGGACACGGAAGGAGCCTTCAAAGACTGGATAGTCGAGGTCGTGGCTGTGTGTGTGAGAGTGATTATTTGTGTGAGATCGGGGCAATGCTTTCCGTCAAGTTCCACATTAAGCTCAGCCCACCTCTTGGCATATCGCCACCACCATCATCATCATCATCGGTCCTCGCACACACACACATCACATGCCACACGTGCCCATCACCCATCCAACCCACTATTCCTATATTTACCTTATATCATCTCGAACAACGATACGTGCCCATCCTAATACACCAGCTTCATTCTCGGCGGCAAAATCATCCCGCAATACACCAGCTCGATCAGCAACCCACCGATCGTGCGATTGAGTCTCGTCGACGACATAGCCACGATACACTCGATATTCGTGTCGTTTTAAACGCTCTTCTCGACCATTGTAGTTGATAACAGCATTGGGATGAAACAGATCGGTGTTGGGGTGCAAATGTAAAAAGTAGGTTGTATTGAATGCTGACACTGCAAGCCGTAACATGTCGTCATGTTGAATAGCTTTCGGCCCGCTTGGTTGATATGCAGGATTCTGTGTCTGATCGCGCTTGCTGTAGAAGCTTTGAGAGCGTGGAGCAATGTCGAGTTGCACTGTTGTTAGAGGCTCCAATCGGTTGAGTTTGCGATTGTTAACGCTGTGTGCTGAAACAAGGTGTCAATAGCTCTGTTCCTCGGTGATCAATGTCAATGTAGATATGTAGATAGATACCCAATGATGTCCATGGTAGAATAAAAGTCGTGCATATCAGCAACAAGAGCCTCGCATGCTTAGGCAATAGCATTTAAAATGTTGAGAGGGCTTGTTTCCTAATAGGATTGGGAATAAGGGGAAGAGAGAGAGAGAGAGATAAAGAGAGAGAGGTATTGACAATGAACCGAAAAGATCAATGTGAGAAAAGCCAAGAAAAGAAGAAAAAGAAGGCGCGCCACACCAGATTTCGTAGAGTACCTGGATTCTTCGTAAAAAGTAAGCGGAAGAACGGGGCGGGTTTGTGACACACAAGCGTCATGGTCTGCTTTGAATGTCGCCTAAAATAGAAAACTATCAAACAAAAACACACATATCGGCAAAACAGCCGGTTGATTGCATCATGATTAAGTTATTACTATTGTGCAAGGTTCAACATACTCTTATCCATGATGCGATCATGTACATAAATGAAAGGATATTCGCTGAGACACATTGAAGCTCTACCAGAACATCATTTGAGATTCAGCATCCACAACAATGCTGAAAATAGCCGGAGCCGGAAACGGAGCAGGTACAAGCGGTCCTGAATTTAGGTCTTGGAGGCTATCATCAGGATCTTATCAAGCTTCCCTGAAAGGGATGTTCACCCACTGATCTTTTCTGCATATCATCCACCACAATTCTACTACTCAGGGTTAACATGTCACTTTCACAATGATTCGTACCGGTATAGAATAGAGGGTTAAATGGCTTATTGAGTTCAACTCAAAGAGTGGGACCATTGTTTGGATGTTCATGACATGGTAATCATGCAACTATCCTTGTTATTTGGAGAGTAAGGACTCTTGTCAACGATAGCCAATGCATCTTGTACTTTGCTTGTTTCGAATAGTGATCCATTCTAGCTACTGCTGGAACGCAAGAGGGATTGTTTGAATGGCATTCATGCTGACTACATGTTCCAAACCTTGGTCTGCTTCTTGAGCTTAGATCCACAAGGTCTCCTCATGCACGATGAAGCCTATAAGGCTGAATAGAGATAGACCACGTTATGCTTCCATCCAACCAGAGTATGCATAGTGCTTAATATGGTATCCTTTTAGGTTCGGAAATGTTGTCTATACCTTTATTTTTGATCGAGTATCGATTCATCTACTACAATCGTTCTATGCTCTATGATAGCTAAGAACAACAAAGTTTTATTAAGGTTACTACTTAATGCATCGCTAAGCAATCCTCAGGTTTGGATCATAAGGAAACATGCTTTGAAGGATCTATCAGCATGATAGTAGTAGCGAACGATATCCAACTTACCAGTACTTCGGATTCTACAAGACTTTCACGCAAAAATAAGCCATCTGTCAAACGAACGTGCTCTTCTTTCGAGGGTAGAGATACAATAGCTGATTTGGGGAATGGAAATCCATCTCAGCGTCACATCATCAATTTCCGCAACTTCTTTGTACGCCCCCTCTCGCTTCCCACTCACCGTTACTGCTCATGTCAACACGCGACGAAAAAGAAACAATCGAGCTCGGCATCATTGGTGCTGGTGGAATGGGTCGATTCTACGCACAACGACTTTCGAAAGCCGGCTGGAAAAAGTAATGGAGAACTAGGCAACGACCTTCATTGGTTTGACAGTTGAACATTTATAGGGTTCATGTGTGCGATCTCCCCCAAAACTATGAAAAGCTCAAGCACGACTTCCAAGGTGATATTCACAGCAACCGAAACGTATGACCAGTACCATTAAACGCTATGTACCTACATATTAGGCTCTGCTATCAATGTGCTTCCTGATGGTTTTCACATATCACGACGTTGCGACTGGATCATGTATGCGGTGGAAGCTGAACACATCGACTCTGCCATTGCCAAATATGGACCAGGTATGCTGCTTGTCATCCATCAGTGGAATGAAAATAGGACTCATTGTATCATTTTAGCAACCAAAATGGGAGCCATTGTGGGTGGTCAGGTAATGTACTCTTGTCCTAAGCATGAAAACCTTCCAATCTTACACGATGATGATTCATTTTAGACATCCGTCAAACTTCCCGAGATGAATGCCTTACTCAAGCACCTGCCATCTGACGTGCATATCGTATCATGTCACTCAATGCACGGACCAGGAGTTGATCCTCGTGACCAGCCATTGGTGGTTGTACGTCAACGTGCCACGGATGAAAAATACCAGCTCGTTCTTCGCATTCTCTCATGCTTTGAATCCAACTTTGTTCACTTGACTGCCGAGAAACACGATCGTATCACTGCAGATACACAGGCCGTAACACATGCGGCTTTTTTAAGGTAAACAAACAGGGCAATGCGCAGCGAGTGTTTGGATGTTGATGCAGCTTCACATTTAACTTGTACTAAACGCATAATGTTTCATGTAGTATGGGAAGTGCATGGAAAGCCAACAACCAATTCCCGGTAAGTCGATGATGGATGCTCTGTATGGGCCATTGTCTTATCATGGACGACCCTTTTTAGTGGATGGTGCCACATTTTGCGGGTGGAATTGAGAATGTCAAAGTGAATGTGGCCCTGCGGATCTATAGCAACAAATGGCATGTTTATGCAGGCAAGTGCAAAAGGAGATGGCTTTTTTGGGGGGAGAGAGCAAACAGGTTGGAGAGAATCCTTGCAGTCACCAGCTAACAATGTGCATTTGACAACCAGGTCTCGCTATTATGAATCCAATTGCCAATATTCAAATCACACAATACGCTCGATCGGTTGCTGATTTATTCAAGCTCATGATACAAGAAAAGGAGGACGAGTTTCGTTCAAGAATCAAGGCTGTAAGTATGGGGATGGAAAACGCGTGTGTACAATAAAATGCATCAAGCTGATCTTTGCATTTGCAGGCAGGTGATTATGTCTTTGGGGGTCTGCAAAAGGATCATGTCCCTATCCTGCTATCGGATGACATATTGGACGAGTTCTCGCTATCAAAAATACCCAAGGAACAGCGCAAGCCCAATTCACACTTGTCTCTTTTGGCCATGGTAAGTGTACCCGATCGGGTGTGTATGGTAGGAGCTATGTATCTCATGTGGTTTACATTTGTATAGGTCGATTGCTGGTACACATTAGGTTTAAATCCTTATGAGCATATGGTTTGCCAGACACCGCTATTTCGTTTATGGATGTAAGTATGGCTTGTATTCAAAAAAGTGTGTCATGCAAAGACTAACTTTTGTATGTGCTTTAAAAGGGGTATCACCGAATATTTGTTTCGTAGCCCGACCATGCTGGAAGAGGCAATTATGGCTGCCTTGTATCGTAAAGAGATCCGATCTGACGATATGGAATTTGTCACTTGTGCTCGTGGATGGGCTGAATGCGTATCACTGGGAAGCATGGAGGCGTATCAAAAACGATTTACAGAGACTGCATCATTCTTCGAGGATCGGTTTGCAGAAAGCACAATCGTTGGCAACAACATGATATCGATGATTACCAAAAATATGGACAAATCACCTGCTGCATGAAATATAGTCTAGCGCATGGTTACGCTGTTTCGATACTTTTCTTTTTTCAAATGTCAGACGCATGTGGCCAATGGATCATCATCAGCTGGTTGTGGGTGACTCGCAAAATATGTGGATGACCGAGCAAGGAGACATTATTGGGGGTGGAGGAAGATGACAAACGGAGGTGTTGAAGTGGGAAGCAGGAGACTCTACAGCTAACGGAGATAATCTATGCTCTCGCATCTGTTTACGAAAAGGTACAGGACGACGACGATAGCGCCTCCGATACATATTTATGTGCTTTTTTACTTTAGATCGGATACGAGGATCTCTTAAGTTTACCTAGTTTCATGCATTAATATGTTGCTCGTTTGCTCAAATAAACATACACCTCTCGAAATGATTTCTCCCGATGTTACAAGTGAAGGTGTTCATTGTATCCATGAAGGGATATATATATTACCACTATGAAATGAAAGGTGTGGAGGGAGAAAAGGGAAGATCAATGACAAGTCGTTTTCGCATCGATACGGACGCGGATTGGATTCTTCAAAGGGCAGGTGTAGGTTTATGCATGAAGGCGGTGATGCACCCAGGGACATATACCCACATACACACGTACATTTGTAGCCAATCCACCTGCATCTTTGATCAAAAAGTATTCCCTTGGATGTGCTATCTATCATGGTTTACAGTGGGATTGTGTCGAAAATTCTTTGGTGCGCGTTAAATACGATAGCTTGATCGTAAGAGTGATCCACAGTACGCTTGTATGTGTATACATGTGCCATTGTGCGTGCATATGTCTAGCTGAGATCGACAAGAACAATGATGAAAACAAGCCGGTCTTATATCAAATGAGTTTATCTTCCTATAGTGACTCGAAAAGGGGATCTAAGCGATTTCTCCTCAACATAAGGGGCATGATGCAAGTGGGTGGTGTGTGCAAAGATTGCAAAGCACAATATGAACGAGTGGTGCGTGCACTTTCTAGGCCGAGAACACCATGTATGTGTAGGGATAAATGTCAACGGGACTAGATCAAAGCACATGGTCTTCTGAGGATAGGTATGGTATTGTGCTATGTTCAAGCTGTTGTTCACCAGGAGCTTTCTTGTAAGGGGGTTCTCCGCGTATCATAGCCAAGGAAAAAAAGGTGTCATGGCAGAGACGAGAATTTGGCGGTGCAAGTACGCTTTTCGCCTTCCATCTTTCCAGCCCCTTTTCGATGTTCCTTTTCGGTCTGTTCTTTTTTGACTCCTATCCCCTCTTTCTACAATATGGAATACGACCCCAAGCCCTAACAAGGGATGTGCTTTTCGGCTATTGCAAGCGGTGGCGGCGATGAATGGGCGGGCAACAATTAAAAAGCGACAACTACAACGATGCATGGTAGGTGAGTGTTACATGCGAGTGAGTGAGAGAGTATGCGTATGTGTGTGTGCGTGCGTATAGATGTGGCTATTTGGCATGATGTTAGCAACTAATATAGAAGGACATGTGAGTCGCTTAAGGAAAAAGCGATTGCATATAAAAGAGATTTACAACGCCCTTCCTATCACTCTTCCTCTCTCTTTAATCTCTTTCCTTTCCTCACTCCCTTGCGGCCCTTTTAAATACCCATATTTTCTTTTGTTTTGTTTCTATTGCCCTCTTGCTCGTGAGCCATGTTGAAAGACATTAAGCGAAGGGTTAGCTCGTACTACTCACCCGACGTAAAAACCATGCCATCGTCACCATCAACAACTTTCAAGAAGCGGTCATCCCAACAGCAACAACAACTACAAAATCAAGATGTAACAAAGCAACAACAGCAACAGCAAGCCATGAGGAGCGGTAGCAGCAAATCAAAAGAAAAGAAACCAGCACGTTCGCCAACCCCTAGCCTACCCCCAACACCAATGACACCTTCATCACCAAGACGTTTATCATCAAGTGTCAGCAAACTCCATCAATATGGATCATTAGGTGGTGGTGGTATCCATCGCAGTAATACATCCAGTCAATCGACCTTATCCTCGGCAACACCACCACCATCAACACCCAACCGCATGTATTCGTCAATGAGCTTAATGACAATTGGCAGCGAACTACTACTGGATCATTCACATTTGAAACCAGGAGCCAACGCTGCTCTATTGTCACACACAAGGACCATCAACATGTATAGGGAGAACGCCAAAAAGACAAATAACATGGAGATTCAGCACGACTTTGCTATGTTTCTTGTTGAAGCCGCCAAACGTCTTGAGCAAAAAGAAGAAGAGGATGCTGCCTTATCCAGTATGTCAGCTGGTGATGATGATGACAATGATAATGATGATGATGATGATGGCGATGATATGGGCAATGATGGCAGTGCATCCATGTCGGAAGCGGCAACAGTGTCACCCGAAGCCAACACACGGCGCGCTTATTTACTGGAAGCCGAGAAACTTCTCAAGCAATTGGCGTTGCGCAGCCATAGCGAATCACAATACTACCTTGCCAACATGTATGCGGCAGGGTTGTTGTCGAAACACGGCGAGCCAGACTTTGATAAGGCATTTCCATTATTTGTGCAGGCCGCCAAGCACCACAATCCAGATGCAGCATTTCGGTAAGCGAAAAAGAGAATTTCGTTTTTCTTTATTTTCATGCATGTGCGATTATTTTGGGGGTCGCGTGTTGTGGGGGATTAATGGGATTATCGAATGATTGCCCAACACACACAAATATTTACGCACACGCCTCCATGTTCTATTTTTATTCTAGCACGGCCAAGTGTTATGAAGATGGTCTTGGAACAAGACGCGATAAAGCCAAATCCGTGCAGTTTTACCGGTAAGGTTTTTACCCTTTTACCATCATCATTGCATGTACTCATTATATTACATTTGCCATCAACAGCAAAGCCGCAGCACTTAATCACCCAGGAGCTATGTACCGTTTAGGTCTGGCAGAGATGAATTGCGAGTTGGGTATAGCCCGTAACCTACGTGACGGACATAAATGGCTCAAACGATCAGCAGAAGCTGCAACACCCCAGTATCCACATGCACTACATGAACTTGCGTTGTTGCACGAAAAAGGCTTTGACACGGTGATATTTGCGGATCACACCTATGCTGTGCATCTATACAGTGAAGCCGCTGCTTTGGGTTATGCACCTTCCGCATTTCGACTCGGCGAATGTTATGAGTTTGGTCGACTTGGATGTAAAATTGACGCTGCCTTAAGTATCCACTATTACAGTATTGCTGCCGAGCAAGATCATCCCGAAGCATGCTTTGCGCTCACAGCTTGGTACTTGATGGGTGTAGATGGCGTGCTTGATGCATCGGAAGACCAAGCATTTGCATGGGCTTATCGTGCTACATCGACTGGCAATGGTTTACCCAAGGCAGAGTTCGCTATTGGATACTTTTATGAATGTGGTATTGGTGTACCCAAGGATATCCAAATGGCCATTCAATGGTACAACCGTGCTGCTGCCAAGGGTGATAAACGTGCTGCAGCAAGATTACATCAAGCCCCACCATCCTATCGTAGCAGTGCACCAAGACCTATGCCTGCACCATCACCTTCACAACGCCGTCTCACACCTTCCTTTAGCACACGCTTTTTTGAAAAGGCCAAGGGCCTCACAGCAAAAAAGGAGAAAAATGAGCCCCAACCGCCACTTGCCAACTTTCTCTAGATTCCATTCTTATTTACCCCTCCATCATCCATCCATCCACTCATCACTCCTCTTATCATTGTAATTGCTTTCTTTTCGATGTATACATCCACGCTCTCTATGGCAAATCTTTTCCACTTCTCCTTTTTTTTACTATTCTACGACCCAGTATATATGTAATAGCCCTTTTGGCCCCTCTTTTCATCCATTTCTTTTATTACATCCAAAAGATCGATAAAATAAAGAAACATCGATGCATTCCACTTTGGTAGATTGATGTTGAAAGGGGTAATAAGCATGCTCATCAGTTTACATGCAGACTTGACGGCTGCTGTGTGTTGTTGCTGCATGCAGCAGCAGCTGGTTATATATAAGAAGCAAGAATTTCTCTTCTCTCTCTCAAGATTTACAATAAGTTGACGTGCTGCTGCTGCTGGCATTATAATTTACTACTACAGCAAGTGCCTTTTTATACATCACACCTTGAATAGTCAAACGCCAAGGCTATTGCATTCATTGTTGTTGTTGTTGTATCCAATTGGCCCATGTTTTGATTAGCCCTGGTGCTGTTTTGTTGCCTTTGGTCGAGTCTTGAACGCTTAAATTGATAACCAGCATGCATTGTGCGATCTATACAATCATCACGCATTTTCCATCCTAAGGTTCTATCCGCACTCACTATCCTGATATGCATCAAGTCCTTCTCCTCTCTCTCTCCTAAAGCGCGCTCTTAAAAATATAAACTTTTTATTGGGGGGTAGGCCGGGGGAGGGGGGTTGTGTGTGTGGAGATGATGATACAACGAAAAACAATCGAGATGATCTTACATTTGTTGTTGTTGTTTCTACAATTCCAGGAGGGATCAATCCATAAACATTGTGTAATCAAAAAGACAACATCGACCATCATTGTTCTATTTGTGGTACATGAAACCAAGCTGGTGGTGATTTGCTTTTATTAATGGAGGGGCGCTATAATTGATGGTGTTGTTGTGGATGATTGTGGTGTTGATCGTATTGTACTCTTCGCTCTGGCAATGCAAGTCTGAAATTAGGTGCGGCAGAGTTGTTGTATACAGCGGATGATGTTGGTGGTAGTTGTGCTTGTTGTGGGATATTCGTAACAGCATTTGGTGCCATTGTCATTGGTGGAGATGAGTGTGGGATGACCATAGAGAGTTGTTGCTGGGGAGTGATATTATGAGTAGGTGAAATGGGTGGCTGTTGCTGTTGGGTATTGGGACGTTGCTGCTGCTGCTGTTGTAGTTGTTGTAGTTGTGATAGCTGAGGATTGCTTGTAGAAAACTGATGCATCCATGCACCAAATGCTTGCTGAGTGCGTTCAAGATCACCGCGAAGTTGTGCATTGGTTTGTTCCTTGCTCTGAACAAGCGCATTCACTCTCGCTAATTCCGCTTTGAGCTCCTGGACTTGTACACGTAGCTCACTTCCTTGTCGCACATGATTCAACATTTCCTTCTCAATGGCTTGTCGTCCTTTAGCAGAGCGTATAAGTTGCCGTTCCAATTCAGTTATTCGAGCACGAAGAGCAGCGGTTGATGCGGCTATGGATTGCTCAGTGACATTGGTGGGTGTAGTTGGATGTTGAACATGTGGAGAGGTGGTGGGAGAAGGTTGATGTGATACTGGGGTTGTTGATTGTGGTTGCTGATAAGGAGAAGAAGAGGGTGGTTGTGTATGTTGCTGTAATGAAGGTGAAGATATTGACGCTTGTGCTGGTGATGATGATGCGGCCATTGTTCGCTCCTTTTCTTTCTTCAATGCTTCCTGCAATTCATTGACCTTGGCTTCCTTCTCTTTCCTCAATATCCGTTCATCTTGCAAAAACTGGGCGAGCTCGTCATAGTTCTTTCGTGCGTTTCCCAAATACTCGCTCAATGCTGCTATATCCAACTTCAACGATTTTATCCGTTTGTCTTGCTCGCTCTGTGCCGATTGATGCGATCGCATGTGTCGAAGCAACTTGGATACGAATGCTCGATAACTTCCAGGTGCTCGCTTGCTTCTCGACTCATTCTCTAATGCCTGCAGCATGTCGTCTCCTTCGAGATCTATATATGCTTGTTGTCAATGCTCGATTTCGTAACCATGCGCAGCTCGAAGAGAGGACAACAATACCTGTATAGTTGCTGTAATTAGGTGGCCACGTTGCTGATTCGCCTCCAACAACCGCATCGATAGTGTTTGACATGGTGGAAAACGTTAATGCGTGCTTTGGAAAAGAAAGGAAGAGGAGGGAAGAAGGGCTGCGTGAAAGAGGATGAATGCCAGCACTAAGCGCGCTCTCGCGATTTGTTCGTGACAACAATAGTTTCAGATTATAGACTACTAGTCATATTGGAGAAATAGATAAAAAGACACTTCACTTTTTTATGTATGAACAAATTGTCTACAATGTGGATGTAGCTTATTGCTTTGTTTGTACAAGGGATAATGGCATGATGTAGATTTACAAGTACGAAGCCTAAGAAAGCATTGTAAGATAGGTATTTTACAACTTTTTAACAGATGGATGGAAACGTACTCTTCTGCTAGCAGCCTCCATGTCGCTTTCCGACACTGTGTGCTTGTTATCCTTGGACTCTGTTGGGATCTCGTAAACACCACCAAGGATGAGATAGGGTCGATAGGCAAACAATGAAAGCTCTTCCATAGACGTGACACCAGAAAGCACAAGCACAGGATCAATTTCGGAGCTAATACCGGCCACAATGCTATACAAGATAGATACGTTGGCATTCTACTCGTGTTTACATGGCGATCAATGCTTGCTTACTCTGTATCCATGCGATCACCAATGATGCATGTCTCCAAACGGCTTAATCCAAGCACACGTTGAGCGTAACGCATAATCAAAGCGGATGGTTTGCCACAGAAGAAAGCCTTAGTACGTGTAACCAACTCCACACATGCCGTAAATGCACCACAGGATGGGATCTTGTTACCCTTAGAGTCGAGGTTCTCGACGTCCAAATTGGTAGCAATCAACTTGGCGCCATTACATACGAGTTGGACAGCCTTACTCAACTTTTCATAGTTGCTATGGATACCGTTGTCAGTCGTCACACGGAAGTATTATGTGGGATCACAAAACAACATACTAGGAAGGTCCTTCACCCAACACGACATAGTCGGGGTTGTGATCATTCATGAAAAAGCCCTTGTCATAAAGTGCATACGCCAAACCAGGTTCACCAATCACATAGCAGGTGCCACCCTAATCAATACGTGATGAATGATCCTGGTTGTAGTATTTTAGATATCCACATGTCAACTTACATTGGGTGATTGTGAGCTCAAAAATTCAGCTGTAGCTTGACCAGCAGTGAAAAAGTGGTCTTCGGTCACTTCAATACCAAGGCGACTAAGCTTTTGCTGCAATTCACGTGGCGTAGGAGCCGAGTTGTTGGTCAAGAACAAGTACTTTTTGTTATTGTGATTCAAAAACTCGACCAACTCCTTGGCACCAGGCAGCAATTTGGTACCCTAAACAACCAATCACGTTAGTTGCTATGGTAATGCACCTAAGCAACGTGATACTTGCATGATAAATAACACCATCCATATCAATAACGTATCCCTTCTTGTGGCGGATGGCCTCGAGACGTTCATTGTGAATCTTGGGATCCTTGAGCAAAGCCCAGTCCTTGGTCTTGGAAGCTGATTGTTGTTTATCGGAACCTCCCATATCTTGCATGTTCAAGTTGTTGGCAAATTCAGTGGCCAAATCTCTTGACAAAAACTCGTCAGTTTCTGCTGCGTCTTCAGGTGTGCGAATCTCAGGGTTGGACATGTTTGTTTATGGATGAAGAAAGAAAAAAAGACAAAAAGCGTGATGCCCTTGAAATTTATCACGAGGCGTACAATCGAGCATTGTATTGCTGGGGTTTGTCTCATCCTTACCATGGGTATTTTGTATCTCCGTCGTCATACCTAAACGCGTGGTTTATGTTAAAGGGGTTCTCATGCAAATCACCTTGTGAAACATTTGTCGGCTTCTAGAAAATGGTCATCCATCATTGCTGGGGGGGGGAAGGCCTTGCATATACCAACAATCCCATACATCGCCACCACCAGGATGCATTGAATAGTACTCTAGGGCAGCATGGCTACATGATATAAGGAGATCATGGTACGTGTGTAACTACAATGAAAAGAAAAAAGGAAGTTTTCCATGGTTTGTCATTTTCCATGAGCAGAGTTTATTTATTTGACGGCGAGGGAAATGGTGTTTACATTTACAAGGGACCGGTCGCATTGAAAAGAGAAGAAGAGCTCAAGAGGATAGAAAAAAAAGTCATGAGGAGATGAGTATATATGTATACGTTTGTGAAAGTAGGTGGCTGAGTGCTGAATTGATGAATTGGATCAAGGATGTAGTAGTTGAATTTGTTGTTGTTCATTATCGGGAGAAAAAAGGAAATTGAGTGTGTGGGATGTAAATTATTAACCGCTTGCCGATGTTATATGCATGGTTTTGTGTGTTGAGGTGGTGGTGTATGAAAAGTTAGATGTTGCAATAGCTTGAAAAAGGGTGATGGTATGGTGGTGGCGGGGATGGTGGGACACCAGCAGTAGCAACAGCGTGATGATGAGGGTGATGGGATACACCAACGCCTCCAAGGTGGAAATCAGAGGCCGACGGTATCTTTTTCTCCTTCTTGACACCTGCATTGCTGTGGCGGTGAATGCGAATGTGCTGGTTGAGATTATCGGATCGAGAGAATCGCTTATGGCAATTTTGATAAGGACATTCGAATGCTATGGCAACCAAAGTGAGCGACATGTTCATGTTGCCATATTACATCAAAAGCAATACTTACGTTTTTCTAATGTATGAATGGATCGAATGTGGCGTTTGAGATGTTCAGATCTCTTAAACACCTTTCCACAACCTTCAGCTTGACAAGTGAACATGCGAACACCTTGTGTGGGTACATTGGATACTCGGCGCCCACGAGATCGAGGAGGATGCTGCGATGCATTACTACCGGAAGAAGCCGATCTACTTCCGATGTTTGTGTAACCATGATGTTGATCCCATGGACGTGACTCATTGGGGTGACGATTAAAACGATCCATATCTTGATGATGTTTATCGTCGACATCCAATGACAATGGCATCAGGGGTGAAACGGGAGTAATAGGTCGAGAAGATGAGGAGAGACCTCCAAGCATAGTGTTGCCGCCGGGGCTGTTGGATGTACCACGTGGTTGTTTATCTCTATTTGCTCCTCCTGACAGCATTGTTGCTGTGGTATATGGGTATCCAAATCCTTCATACAATGAAGACTCGCTACTACCACTACCATTGCGATGTTGTTGTTGCTGTTGATGCAATGGTCTTGCCACAGGCGAGGAGGGTGAATAAGGTGAGCTCAATGGATGCAATGCCATTGTGCTTGGTGGTTGTTGTTGATGATGTGTCATATTCATTATGTGATTGTTGCTTTGTTGTTGATTGTGATTGTGCTGAGATGTTGCTACAGCTGATGATAATGGAGGAGGAGGTAGCATACTGCTGCTCATGGAATTGTGTCCCATAGCCGTTGTAGGTGCTGCTGTGCCTGTTCTTGCCATGAAAGAAGGTGGTGTCATTGTAGAAGATGATTGTTGTATGCTTGGCTGCTGATGATGGTGCATTGTTGATAAAGATTGACGTGAATGAGGATGCAGCCCAAGTCCATTAAATCCATTGCTTTCTGGTAAACCACCACCTGCGGCATGATTGGTGCCATTGTTGTTGCTTTCATTGTTACGGTATCCATGGTGTTCATAAGGCGATGCTTGTGATGTCAATAGATCCGAGTAGCTAAAAAGACGTTGATGTGGTTGTGGAGCAGCATGATGATGCTCGTCTTTGATGCTTGCAGTTGTGGCCATTCGAAAGTGTTGTTGTTGATAGTTGTTGAGTGGAGAGTGAAGAGAAGAAGAAGGCGAAGAATTTACGGTGTAAGTTGACGAGCTTTGATCTTCACTGACAGGGGGAGAGCTGCCAAACGTCAATGCGTTGTTATCTTGCATGTCGTGAGCGATCGAGGGTGATGTACTAGGAGATGCCATCTTTTTTTAGGAGAGGTGGATGACAAAAAAGGGGAAAGCAATGAAAAAAGAGAGAAAAAAGAATGAGATACAGGAGAAGCGATTAAAGAACGATGGAATATATAACAAGAAAGGGGATAGTGAATGCAGATCTTCTCATCCCTTGACTCTATTGTATGAGGATAGTAGTGTGTGTGCGAGTGTACGTATACGTTAGATCTCTTGAAGCCGTCCAGCGTATTAATCGTGTATGGGACACGACCAATTTTAAATGGCAGTTGATCTCGTGAGCAAGGTCCGGATCCGTCACAATGAATGTTGGGCCCTTTTTTTTGTTGATGGCCGATTATGGTTATGTAAAAATCCATTGACAGGGCCCTGAAGACAAAGGTTATGGTAGCAACAATGATATTGGCAGCACGAGTTTTCCGTGGAGTTCACTTGCCTTTGGAGACTATGGGGTGCTTGATGTTAGGGAGGTATCTCTCGTCTCTCTCCCATTACTACTGTTTCTTTTTTCTCCTTAAGCAATACTATCACGTCTACAACAAACATTTTACACAACGCGTGTAAAATTATCCATTACATGGATCTGGACCGGTGAACTGTTGTCGTTAAACAGATGCATTAAAAAAGGATCATGTTACTTGCCCAACCGGATGTTTCATTAATGATGAGTCCGAAACCTATGATCCTTGTAGACAATGTTCCATATGATGGGGGATGATTCTAATGCGTTGCTGACATGAACGTGCACAGCAGCAGGATACACGCACGTCGCCCTTCATCAGATTTAGGAGACTGAAAAAAAGGTTATGCTGTCCAACAGTAGCAAGTGGCCACGCTCAGCTGCATGTGAGGGTATGTGCTGTGTAGCATGTTGTTGTAGTATCAGGCACCGATTTCTCTTTTATGATGTTCCCGAAACAAGAAAAGGTAATAAAGATATGCAGATCGTAAACGAGCAGTCTCGTGCATTGGACACGAGGAGGATGTCGCATCTTGGCTATTATTTTACTGCAAGAGAAGGTGCATTGTTTATGCATATGTATGTAGCTGTTATTGGCTGATCACCCATGTAATGATACCATTAGCTATACATAGCCGTCATGGGAGGATAACAGTGCCAAGGCGTTCTGATGAAGGCTTTTTGTTACATGTGTCTTGATTATCTCCATAAGGGACTATTGTAGTCATGATGGCATTCTCCCCCCCATACACAATCCCACGAGGATAACCGCCATCCCGAATGAAAGTAAACGATACTGCAACTTCTGAGAAGAAACCCAAAAAAGCATCTTCGTGTTGTTGTGAGCAACGCTTCACCCCATAAGATAGATCCACGAATAAAGAATAAGGGAAGGGAGTTAAATGGCGGTGCAATCTAAAATAAGATATTTCTGTATTCACGAAATCACAAACTCAAGCGGTACATGCTATACGTATATCAATGTTGCTAAACTGCTATTATGATGATTACGATGAAAGAGCCGACAATGTGGTCCGTGTCGATTGCGTTTTTATTATGACATTTCTCTCCCATTGGTGCCCCTTGTTAACGAATCCCACTATTGGGCTCTATATGATTAAGGATGTGTGTGATACAGCAAGTACCCAAAGCCAGCATGCGGCGGTCTGTGCACGACATTTGCTTGCACGAATTTAAATGTATGTGTGACAAGCTAGGAGTAACAACGTAGCCATGAATAGACGCTACTGTTACTTATCATTGTTTAAGTGATAGTAATATGATTGTATTGTTATTATAAAGGCTTCAACATTAACATAATCAAGGGTGTTTTGAATGATGGGATTTGTGTAGCCATGTGGTAGGAGACCATTCAGTCACGTTGCATGGCAATAAGCTCCTCGGGCACATTGCATATCCGTATACTTCTTTAACTACTACTACTACATACACTCCTACGCCTAGAGTACGCACACACAACATACACCTTCACGATGCTTGACTTGAGCTCGTTAGACCAACCATCTGACCAATCCTGGGCTGACATGGTGGATGAGGAACTAGAAAACGTTCAGTCAGATGACGGTAAATCCACAAGCACCCCTTCATCTGAACACACACCTTCCCACGCCAATGGGGCAAGTGCATCGAATGCATCAGCTGTTGAATCTAAACCAGCGAGAGATGAGCAACCTAAGGAAGAGAAGGAGAAGCAAGCTGACAGCAGTAGTGGGGTCGTATGGAGGATACCGGATGCTAAGCAACGGCAAGAACAAAAGAGTGTACTTCAAATGCTTATTGAACGACGCAAGAACCTTGAAAAGCTAAACGATGAGCAGAAGCAACAACAACAACAAGATCGAAGGCGTGAGTCATATAAACGAGAACAACGACGAGATGTGGAAGAACGACGCCAATCATCTGCTGGAAGAAGCGATTCTGTTGATAGTTGGAGACGACCCATTGGGAAGTATGAGCGGATTCCTGTGCGACCTTTGGAGGAGAATAAGATCAGTCAATGGGCAAGCTATTCAGCAACATTGCAAAAGGAATTCAAGGAAGAACAAGAGGAGGCTCAACGTGAATTCATTAGACGATTTGGATCAAAGGCAGCCAACGATAGAATGGATGGTAGCAACAGCAGCAATGGCAGCAACAGCCCCAAAGCAGCAACATCAACACCTCTCGAGATCAAGATTTCAGCTGATGGTCCTAGCGATTGGGCCGATGATTTTCCATCAGATGACGAGTGGCCTGTGCACCATGACGATGATGATGGCGAGAATGTGGAATCCGGCAGGGCGACTGCAAAGGAGGATATTACAAAGGATGAGAATGAGCTTGTCAATGAAATGCAAAAGACTCGGCTTGAGGAAGAATCATCACCTATTGTGGATGAGAGCAAGACCAATAGTAGACCCACTGTAGCAGCTGTGCCGGTTGAAAACAATAGCGCCAATGACGCTTCAGCACCAGAGCATGATGGTACACTTGACAATGAAGAAAAGGATATGGATCAAAAGCAGCAGCAGCAACCGGACGAGGTATCTATGGGATGGCAAGCATTTGCAGAGAATGGAACAAAGCCAATAGAAAACAAGAAAGAAGAGGAAGAGCAACATCAACCCAACGATACGTCAGCGAGCAGTGATATTGATCAGCAGCAGCAGCGACAACAACCACCACCAGCAGCAGTCAAGAGTGCTGTTCATGAATTACCAGGTCAACTCAAATGGGCGGCTTTTGCACATGAAGAATCACAAAAGAAGACCATGAAAACGCCCATTATTCATGCATCACCAAGCGTATCATCCGGAACATCAGCCTCTTATAGCAGCCGAGATCCACCACACACACCTGATGAGGGTACACGAGCACAATCGCCATCTTGTAGCACATCCACTACCAACAGCGATAAACAACCACCATCTTCTTCATTATCATTATCATCCTCACCACCACAACCAAGACAACGATCGCCATCACCTTTGAAAAAGAAAACGCCATTACCTGCTCGTTCAGCGCGTTCACAAATCATGGGCCATCTATTAAAGAATGAGAGGAAACCTCGTCCACTGACTACAACAGAAAACAAGGTCGCACAGCAATTACAGCAACCCGCCATGGTGGAATTCAAGGAACGTCAGACGCATGTGGAACGTGTATATCCCAGCACTTTAGAAACATCCAGTGTTACCAGCGATCATGAAACAGCTTCGGTTGCCACTAGCAACAGCCATCACTCGACGACAGCGGATCATCATCATTCAACATCACCATCGCAACCAAAGCCTATCAACATCAATAACGATCGAGCTGTCAATGGCTGGCAGTTGTTTGCACAAGAGCATGATACAACGGCAGAGATGCATCGTTCACCACGATCTTATCGTTAATCATTATGTAATCCACACTTCCGCATCGAGTCCCTTGACCTTCCCACGTTCTATTACACCCATGCCCCCCTCCCCCCATCAAGCAACATGCCAAGGATACAAATGAGTACCGCACATCACTGGCGTATTACAGCCAAGCAATACCCCCCACCACCTTCTTTAGCTGTTTGCATTTCATTCTCAATAGTAGAAGTTACAACAAGTGTCATAATAATAAAGTTTTGCAACTGCTTTTCTCATTCAAATCATGAACCTTTTTGGATAGAAAGTGCTTGTATTGAATAAAAATCTCTTTATCACTGTAAATGGGAAATGAGGGATCATATGGCTTCCATTGATTCTATTTCAGAAGGCGACTACTATTATTGCGCGATTCAATGCTGTATGCCGTTGCTGCCTTCTTTGTTCTCTTTTTATGACGCATGGCTGACCAAAAAAGATCGGAAAAATCGTCGCTTGAATTGCTGCAAGGATACGGAAGATCTTTAGGAATTGGGACGCCAAGAAATTGGCAAAGAGGATCCCATCCATCACGTCCCAATGTCATGACCAATAAACGCTCAGCAGGCACCGATCTTTTGACATCTTCGATGTGATCCATATACATTTGACGCATAGCAGCTGGATCAAAGAGAAAGTTGTACACCTCATTCACATCCATAGGCACTTTTTGTTGTTCATCCTTGTAGATGAATGATTGCAACCACAAGGCACGGACTTGCTTGACATGTTCAGGTAACATGCGATCCTTGAACTTGCGGGATAACCGTACCAGAGGCAATATTGTACGTTGCACGGATTTATACCAACTCTCGGGAGATCGCACCACCAAGATCACTCTGCTTTCAGGATAATGTTGCATCAACTCCTTGTAAAATACACACGTAGGCCAATCGACAGCTGCATCATAGTTCTTGTAAGCCTTCTCCCAATCCACTATGGTCTTGTTCATGTATTGCTGTTGCTGCTGTTGTTGTAACGATGACCACCATATGCTTGGATCTTGCTTTGGATCAGTGATAACGCTCATGCCATGGTGTGTCTTGAAGCTGTAAATGATGAAGGTTTAAGATATTGCGCGTGGATCAAACGAATTGTATACGTCCTTGCATGATAACTTACCCCAATGTTTCCAACGCTTGACATAAGCTAAGAGTACCTGTTCTACTGTAACCAGCACCTATAATCTGTAGCGGCATGTTGTATTGATCAATAGCTTGAATAAAAGATAAAAGGGGAAAAAAGCAAGCAAGAAACGTTCACAAGGATGGCAATTAAGTAACAATTCACATCGAGCGGTAGAATAGACGGGTAGAAAAGAGGGTTCGCTCGGACGTGGTGCCGTAACGTGTAAAGTCTTTTAAACAACAACATGTTTTATTGTTATTAGAGGAACAGAGAGAGCGTGTTGATTATATACACACAAAAGATGCATGGTATCTGCCTCTTGTTTGGTCTACTTTCTAATCATAGCATCACGGCTTGCGCCAACACCAATCCATTCAACTATATCACAAGACACATATTAGCACGCTTTCTCCTAAGAAACATTTTCTCTCTTATCCCACGTACCTGGAACACCCGATTCCTTTTCGATCAACTCGATGTATTTCTTGGCATTCTCAGGTAACTCTTCGTACTTGCGACATTTTGAAATATCGGTCTCCCAACCGGGTACTTCAATGTATTGGACTTCGATGCGATCGAGGCAATTCAAGTCGGCGGGGAAGGATTCAAGAGGCTTTCCATCAAGCAAGTAGCCAGTGGCAATCTTGATAACAGGGAGCTGATCAAGGACATCAAGCTTGGTGATGTTGAGGCTGGTGTAACCGTTGATCATGCACGAGTACTTGACGACCATCATGTCGAGCCAACCACATCTTCGCTTACGGCCAGTGGTAACACCAAACTCGAAACCAACACGTTGAAGGTATTCACCAACATCCTAAAATCATGCATGTTAGAGAGACATTTCACAAAGTAGATAGATAGATAGATCATGAAGCCACTTACGTTGAGTTGTTCAGTAGGGAAAGGACCACCACCAACACGAGTAGTATAAGCCTTTACAACACCAATGACCTTTTTGATGGTGGTAGGAGGCATACCAAGACCAGTGCAGACACCACCAACAGCAGTGTTGGAAGAAGTGACGTAAGGATAGGTGCCAAAGTCGATATCAAGCATGAGAGCGTTAGCGCCTTCGACAAGGATCTTTTTGCCTTCCTTCATCTTGTTGTGCAAAAAGGCGACACCATCGACGACATGGGGTCTAAGGCGTTCAGCGAATTGGCGATAACGAGCAAGTTCACCTTCAACATCGTAATCAAAGTGACCATAACGCTTGCGTTTGTTTTCGACCATGACACGGAACTTGTCGGCAAATTCTTCAAAGTTGTACAAGTGGTGCACACGAAGACCGCCACGCGAGGCCTTGGAGGAATAAGCCGGGCCAATGCCCTTCTTGGTGGTACCAATGCTGCCACGGCCAAGTTCAACTTCCTTAAGACCATCAATGATTTGGTGCAAATCAAAGACAAGTTGAGCACGATCCGAGATAAAGAGACGACCATCAGCGTTCAAACCCTTGGATTCAAGCTTCTCCAATTCATCAAAGAAGGCAGGCAAGTGAACGACCACACCAGTGCCAATAAAGGCAATGCAAGAAGGGTTGATCAAACCTATCATCATCATCTTGTTAGGGCCTTACTTTATGACAAGAGAAAGAGAATACATACCAGAAGGCAAAAGGTGAAAGTCATACTTGACATCGTTGACAACAATGGTATGGCCAGCATTATTGCCACCCTAATGGAGCACCATTAGCATCGTCATGTGGACCATGTGTATGTGTGTATGGATATGTATTTACCTGACAACGAGCACAGACATCAGCTTCACCGCAAAGGATATCGGAAAGCTTGCCCTTGCCTTCGTCACCCCATTGGGCGCCGAGGACGACGGATAGGCCGTCTTTTGCAAGGATCGAGGACATGATAATCAAGTATAGGTTGTGTGTTTTTAGCGAGACAAACCATTCTTTTGCCAGGACCCCGAATTGAAAATCTTTTTAAAAGCACTGTGAACGAATCAAATGGCATCATCATCACATCTACGCCCAGTCAGCTCTCTTTATCCCTCTCTCTCTCCCATGCTCTCTCTCAGTCAATCAGTCTCATTTGTATCCTATCATCTTTTATATCGAACATGTCTTGTTTTCTATCAAAAGTTGGGAAAGTTTATTGCTACTATCATGATGGGTAGGGTAAATATTGACAAAAGTACATGGGGAGAGGGGAATGAATTGTTGAGTCATATAGTGTACATTTCCAAATACGTGGGTCCACAGATATGAGAGAGAGTTAGAGAGAGAGCTAGAGAGAGCGAGAGAGTAGGAAAGTAAGAGAGTACAAGTACAAGCTTATAATAATAATAGTGGCTTTGGTGGATATGCAAGTAACTGGGTTTGGGTGGGGGGAGGTGAGGGGGCCTATATCTCCAATGCCGCCCGATATTGTTTAACTTGTTTTCCTTTGCCACCCAACCCAACTCCACTTATTGACCATGCTTCGAAATACGAAAGTCCTTGCTGGTTCTTCTCACCCTGAACTCGCTGGTCTTGTCAGTAAACGCCTTGCTACCCCACTCGCTGATACAAAACTTAAAAAGTTTAGCAACAAAGAAACAAGCGTCGAAATCGGTAAATGGCTGCCATGTCAAAACACTCCACTTGTTTTGCTTACCCTTCTTTATAGGGGTATCCATTCGCAATGAAGACGTCTTTATTATCCAGTCCGGTTCCCAGGATATGAACGACAACATTATCGAGCTCTGCATCATGATTCAAGCTGCTCGGATCGGTTCCGCCAAACGTGTCACTGCTGTGTTGCCCTATTTCCCTTACTGCAAGCAGAGCAAGCGTAAAGGAAGAACTTGTATCACTGCCAAATGTAAGTGGATATACCTCTTTCTTGATTCCAACGCGTCATGATGATTCATTGATGATGGCTCTATAGTGGTTGCCAACATGTTGGCTGTTGCTGGTGTCGACCACATTATCGTAAGTAGTGGAATGTAAATTGGCCATCAAACATCAGCTGACATGCTTTTATCATATCATAGACAATGGATTTACATGCATCTCAAATGCAAGGTTTCTTCCAACGCCCCGTTGACAATCTTTATGCCGAGCCAAGCATTGCAAAGTGGATCACTCAAAATGTGCCAAATTGGGAGGATGGTGTTGTTGTTAGCAAGAATGCTGGTGGCGCTAAAAGGTAAACAAGGAAAGAGGATCATTGTTGCATAGGCATGGAAATCTCATTGTTCTTTTATAGAGTAACTTCTTTGGCCGATGCCTTACGTCTTGACTTTGCTCTTATCCACAAAGATCGTGCACGTGCGGGTCCTCAAGGTCACAATCGTCCTTACAGTGGCATGCCCAAGGCCAATGGTCGCAACAGCGGTGAAGAAGAAGAGGGTTCCTTAGCCAATGAAGACAAGGAGGATGATCTCATGATGGCTTCTATCTCATCCCTTAATGAGACTGGTATGAATGGTGACACTATGAATGCTGCTGTTTCAGTCGTTGCCAACCATGAGGGTGAGGAGAGCACAATCACTCTTGTCGGTGATGTCAAGGGCAAGACCGTCTTTTTGACTGTAAGTGAATGATATGAATGGATCTCTTGAAAAAACAACAGCATTAATGGGTATTTTGGGACCTAGGATGATATGGTCGATAATTGTGGTACATTCCTTGACGCTGCTGATCATCTTGTCAACAAGTGCGGTGCTGCCAAGGTCTATATCATTGCCACCCATGGTGTCTTGAGCGGCGACTCGGTCGAGCGTATCCAGAACTGTGATAGCGTCTACAAGTTGGTGGTCACAAATACCTTCCCTATTCCCAAAGAAAAGAAGGACAAGTGCAATAAGCTCGAGATTATTGATATTTCCGCTACTCTTGCCGAAGCAATAAGAAGAACGGTAGGTTGCAGTCGATGGGGGATTACATGCATGTTGCTAACAACGTATCATATAGCATAATGGCGAGAGCGTTAGCTACCTTTTCCATCATGCTTAATAATTGGAAACTAGATTGGGGAAAGCGTTTATGGATTGTCTATTCAAAATTAAAAAGCGAATGTATATCTATTTTATGCAATGTAAGATGGTGGATCGAGGTTGATCTTGCATCATAATCATTATCCAAAGCGCATATCAAGTATAGGGGGGTTGAGGGTATCATGCTCATAGGGAGACTCATTGACAGCAAATTCTTCAACATCTTTTGTCATGACAACTAAAAAGTTCATTACATATGAGAGCTATGTTTCCTGTACTACCTTATTTGAAGTCTACCCTTAAGAGCATCAAATCAATGGTATCCTCGAATCCACCTACGTATTCAGTTTTCACAAGGGAATGATTGTTGTTGTCAACCATCCTAATCTGATTATGATTTGACTTATACACAAAGACCACGCACAACACCCTGATGGAATATACTAGACTACCATACGCATGCCTATTTCACCTTGCTCAATGACTCCTGGAATGCATTCATGCATTGAGAAGAATGAAAAAGTTGAGCTGAATACTGCTGTCCATTTCCTCCAAGATTGTATCTTTTTTGATAATACAACCCAAGAAGCCTCAGTTACATGAGCCAATCCACACATAAGAAGAACGGTATTTGAAAGGGAAGCATGTATCCTTATCATTGTGTACAATAGCAGTAGCATGTTTTTGTCAGTGGACTCCTATAAGAATGACTATGCAGTCGATATTGGATATGAAAGGGAATTGATAGGTAATAATAGCCAACAAGAGAGTACGTGGATGCGCTGTCATGCAGCAAGTTGCATGTCAAAATATCCGCACGTAGATCATCCCACATTGATTTATTCTTTCTCCTACTCTTTTTCCATCGAGTTGGTTTCAGTTGTTTTACTACTACTTTCCATCACCCCAAAAACAAGTCGGTAAATATCAAACGAGTCGTGCTGGACAACCGTTTTCTTCATTTATCTCACCCCAAAATTGAACGCCCTTTCAGGAGTGGAGTCTTGCTCTCCTTTTAACCGTTGTTTCATATCGGTGACAAAGAGTGAGACATTACACACATTGACTCTCAGCATTGGTACTCATCGGATCATATCTTGGTCTCTTTTACTTAGACGATGAAGGCGAAAAAGACAAAGACGCATCGTGAGGAGAACACCAGCACTACCACCACTCACCATGGCAACAGTGCATTCTCTTACTTGAGGAACCGGCTATTTCACGGCACTGGTACAAGCAACAGCAGCAGCAGCAGCAGCAGCAGTAGCAGCAATGGCAGTAGCAACCAGCCTTCTCAACAACCACCTTTACCCAGCAGACATGAGACGTGTCAAGATGCGCCATCACGATTAACGGGACATTCACGTTCCAGCTCACATCGATCTTCTCCTTCTGTTGACCTTGCTCAATTATCAAACGCTTGGCGATCAGGCTCTTCAACTGCAGGACGACCCATATCTCGATCATTTGAAGAACCGCAATACTGCATGGATACCAATAGTCAGTTGACGACATCAGATGCAACGACAATGGCAACGACGACGACTAGTTTTACAAGGCCTATGTCCGTTATGGGATTGCTTGCACGACATCATGATAGTAGTAGTGGACGACGAGCAGGAGAAGGTAAATATAGATACATACACACATACACAGCAGCAGCAGCAGCAGCAGTGTAGAGGAGGAGGGGGAATGAGGGAGGGTTGTTATTACTTTTACAAGCTAAATGCCGACACGGTGTGTAAATAGGCAAGTCCGAAAGCAAACGCACGAGCCTCATTGTGATCAAGGAAGGCTTCCTCTACAAGAAGGCCGACTTTCGAGCGTTTCACAAAGCTTCCAAACTGGATCGTAGCTGGAAACCTTATCGCGTCGTCTTACGAGGTCACAAATTGTATCTATACAAGATATCATCCGAATCAGCATTCAAGGCACTCTTCCCATCATCATCATCATCACATCCTCAACAGCAACTCTATGACTTGCCATTTTCACCATCCAGTAGCAGCATAGCAAGCTCCATTATCAAATCGGTGGGTGACACCATCACAGACCCAGTCGAATTATCAATAAGCAACATGGATCAGCTTGGTGAGCGTGATGAATACCTTTATGGCGCCATCTTCAAAGAGATCAAATCAGCCGGTGAATCGCAACATGTCGCTTTATTGCTTTATAAGCACGAGGTGGTGATATGTGCACGCACATCATATCAACAACAATGGAAAATCGATTCCAGGATACCAATTGATAAGGTGCAACTTGAGCAACGCGTGATGGATCCACAGGCATCATCTTCATTTGCATTACTATACAAGGATGAATTGAGGATTTTTACAACGCATGCTGCTGATGTGCAGACCTCATGGATTGATACGTTGATGAAGACCAAGGAGATTTCATGTGCTGGTGACAAAAAGAGAGACAATGCACTCTACAACGAATTGGGACCGCATCCAGATTTGCATATGGGGGAGGATCAAATTGTTCAGGGTGGTACAATTGAAGCTCTTGTACATGAATTGATATTTCAGCAATGCACCGCATCAGCATCAGATACCTTTTTACGATCATTTTTATTGACATACAACATGTTCACAACGAGTGCCATTGTCTTGGAAACAATGAAATCCTATCTACAGCAAACAATGGATGATGGCGATACTCAAATCATGCACAACACCTTCGAGCGTATTCTTGATCTATTCACTGTTTGGTGCAACGTATTCACTCAGGATGTGGTGGGAGACGTGGTCGCTGGGATGATATCGATTCTCGACATGTTGGAAGGTGCCCTGGTGGATACGCCTGTTTTGCTGGACAAGACAAAGATCACACGAGAATTGATTCTTGCAACCGTCAATCGGAATGGCGAAGCGGGTGAACAAGCCAATGTTGAATCAGCAGTATCTTGGGATGATGCAGTGGAAAGCATTCAATCCTCACAGCTGGGACGATCCGATATCAATTTATCCAACTTATTGATTACGGGATTAACACCAGGACTCTTTCTCAGTATTCATCCTCAACGTTTCGCTGAACAACTTTACATGTTTCATTTGACACAACACCGATTACATCAGGATGCATTGATCAGCTTGTTGACCTATGTCCCAAGACCACACATATCAGCACAAATTCTTAATTCGGTGGTATTCACAGCACCTGCACCTCATTTCATAGCCAAGTTGATACGACATCATATTTTGATCGACTCTCAGCATCATCGACAAGATGGCATGGAAGGGAATATCATTGAGGAGAATAGTACTCTATTGCGCACACAGCTTTTGGAACATTGGATACGAGTGGGCAGCTCACTGCTTGACTTGGGTGATATGACAGGATGGTGTGCAGTGGCATCAGCGATTTGTTCGTTAGGCGTGATACGATTGAAGGAATCATGGAAATCGGTTGACCGTTCACTGGTTGAGATGGTGACTCAAGATTGGGTGAATCGATTGATGGAGTATGGCTTTTTTACGCAAGAAATTTGGATCAGCGGATGGGAACATTCTCCAATTCTAGACAAGTTTACACGTGTCATGGATGCTCCTCAACAATCCAGCAACGACCTTGCATTTTTCGGCCCTATACGGCAATCAGTGGATCGATTACGCAAGCATATCAAAGATTGTTATAATGAAGGTGGAGTCAACTTTGCAAAGTATTGGATGATCTATGACGCCGTGCAGACAAGTCTTGATCATTGGAAGCGTACGATGAAGCCATTACCGGACAATGGATATCCATTCCAAGTGGTGGGTCCTCTTCAAGCCTTCTTCGATCATTCGGTAACCACCTTTATTTCAGCCCCACACGATTTCAAGTATTTGCATGAATGCTCGCTAGGATGTGAGCCACGTATATTTGGACAAAGCTTTGATCGACATCGCAAATTTGATTCCTTGCACGGCACCAATGTAGCACCACCCTCTTCATTGACATTGACTTTTCCTGAAGTCTTGGAAGGCTATCGTTTATTTCAGCCTCCTGTGGAGCATCTTCAACATGATACATCTTCATCACCACGCACCAATCTACGCAAAAAGAATTCGAGTCACAGCGTGAAATCGGATTCAGGTGAACATGGATCATCAGTAACCCTTCCTCGCACGCCCACCAGCCTCGTTAGCATGAGTACAAGTTCCACCGTTGCTACGCGACCACCACCACCAACACATGGATTCTCGTATGATCAATCACGACAACAAAAATTGCCACGTGTCACTCGACGTAAATTGTTTCGAAGACGCACTTACAGCTTTCCGCCAGGACGTGCAGTGGGTGACACAGCAACGCGATTTATGCAGAGTGATGATGGTGCGACCATGGACAATAGTTATTTGGATTCGTTACACAGCAGGACATGGCTTGGATCTTTGGTGTCACAAAAGCATGGAACATCCACTGCCAAAGCATTGGTCGAAGCTATTCAGCACAGAGAAAAGTACAGCGGCGAATGGTTGATTGTTGTTGAGAATGGAAACCTTATCCTGAAGGCATCGACTTTATTACAATCGGATGATTCTGTCACCAAAAAGTCACCATCACCATCACTCAAAAAGAGCACATCAAGTGGATTTTTGGCATTGACTGAAAAAGGTAGCTCGGGTATGCGATCACGATCAGGGACGCTTAGCGGTGATGCACCACGCAAGGAAGAGGATGTTTTACTATGGGGCGACAATCAACAACAAGAAGGGCAATCGGTTCTTGTCAATGTCAAGGCAGGGTTACTCGAGTACTTGGTAGATACGTTGGTGCATGGTGTATCAGCGTATAACAAGGATATGCGTGAGCAATGGCAATTACCCTCTTTGTTGAATGGCAACTTGGAAGAGACACCACGCTACTTGACGATTGATGAAGAAGAGTATACCAGCGCCTTTTTCGTTACTTATCGTAGCTTTTGCTCATGCGTTCAATTGTTGGATCTCATGCGGAAAAAGTTCACGGGTGCTGTTGCTGCTAGTCGACAAGCGAGACAAGAAAACCGTAATGCATTGGAAACGGTGTTTAAGGCTGACAACAACAACAACCAAGACTTTGATTGGCGCTTCGTTGCATCAACACAACTACGTGTGACCCATTTGATGTTGTATTGGACCGAAGAGCATTTCTACGACTTTGTGGATGAGATTGAGATCCTTGGGCATTTTAGTCGCTTTTTGGAACAGACGCAGGCAGCTATTGATGAGTGGACTACACCTTTACGGCAACAGCAACGACAAGGACACTCACCAAAAGAATCCAAGGATATCCAATCAGCGCTTTCAGTGGCTCACGCTATTCATCGACAATTGAATGAATTACGACGACAATTTATTCAAAAGATTCTTTCACCATGCTATGATTTGAAAGCCATCAGCTATGATACAACGTGCAGTAGGAAAGTGGATGACTTGTATACCCAGCTGACAACGGGAATGCAACGCTTCAGTGTAGCCGTGACCCAAAGCAGTCGTCAATCGCAAGCATTTTCGCTGATAAGCAAGCCATTGGAAGAATTGGGGAAAGAAACACTTTCAGATCAACAATCAGCTTGGACTCTTCTTGAACAAACGGATCGATGTGTGCATCAATTGTTTGCATCAGTGACTCTTCAAGATTGGATACAGACGTTTGACGTATTTGAAGCACAATCGAGCGACTTGTATGCATGGTTACCAGCTCATAAGGCATCACAAACTCCGCCGCTCTCATCTTCCTTGTCCTCTGTACGAGATTGTCCAACTGCACAGCCTAACAGCTATCACATTGCAGCCGAGGATGTAATGGTATCAGATATATTTACGGCTATTGAAGGTGCTCGACGATCCATTGTGTCACCATCAGCTTTCTCAGCAGATGACTTGTTATTGGCATTCCCAAGTTCGATTCAGTATCTCTATTGCATGCATTTCATTATACGCAGCTTGGTGATCCATGAAACGACTGCCATGGATATCGACCTCACAACACGAGTTCAACGTATCCACAAGTTTTTGCAAATGCTCATGATCAGCAAAGGAGTAACGGAGCAAATGGCATTGTTCCCCGAGTTGAGAGACGTGGATGATCGTCCAAGACGTGTACCTGGTTTTGTCGAGTATGCAATAGCATCAGCCCTCATCAGTCCTGAAGTGCGTGTGTTTACCAAGGCATGGTCACAAGTGATGCGACATTATGGCTTGACGCAGCTAGATACATTGGAGAACTTGTTATCCCATATACAGCAACGCAACAAGGTTGAGGATATTTATGATGATGACAGCAATACAATGCGACTGGTACCAAGCGTTGGATGGATCTTTGACAGGATGATTGAATTATGTGCAGCTGTACCGGATACGTATAACCGACAACAACACATGATCAATTTCGACAAGCGGCGATACGTGTTCCATTTCCTTCAGCTTGTGATGAATTCTCAGATGGATCTTGAAGAAGCTGGCAACAATGATGCTAGCAGCAATCTTGCTTTTATCATTTCTCCCAATCAGAAAAAGCCAACTTGGAAGGAGCTTAAGGATATGGCATATCGTGAGAATCGAGCTGGAGGTGGATTATCAACACGTGCAGGATCCAAAGGACACTACACTCGAACAACAGTGTTCAACAAATTGGTCGCTGAGCAGCTGGACAAGCTCAAACGTGATATCAAGGAACGTGATCGAATTGACAAGGAATGGCGTGATTTGCAACATAAGCTTCAGAAGCGACAATTGGAACAGCAACGTTATCTTGAAAAACAAGAACGACGCAACCAACAGAGACAAGGTCATCACCATCATCATCATTTGCCCAAATTCAATGCACTCTTTCGCAATCGAAAAACGGGTGGAGGTGGTCATGCGGAGTCTACATCAACGACGACAATGGATGCTAGTGAAGTGCTTGCAACAGCCAAAGCCTCAACAGTGATCAATCTTATTCATGCAACGACATCGGTAGCAAGTGCTTGCACACGACGGGATCACGTGTTTCGGGTTGTGACAGAGGAAGGAGGACAATACTTGTTTCAAGGCACGAGTTGGGATGAGATGCACGATTGGATGCTTCAAATCAACAATGCAGCACATGCAGGAGCTGTAAAACGTCGTAGTGTTCTTGCCGCCGAATCCGAAGATAATCGCAACAGCAGTGGTACAACAGCAGCTCATCATTTGACCGAGTGCGATACCCCAACCTCCGCCTACTACACTCGTCGATCTGTTTATGGCATGGATTTATCAACATTGATGGCTGATGGGAATGTGCCGCTGATTGCTGAGAAATGTATCAACGAGATTGAAAAACGCGGTCTGGAAGAGGTGGGCATTTATCGCATGGCTGGTACAGGTTCCACTGTTGAACAACTCAAGGCTGCTTTCAATCGGGATATGGCGGCCGTGGACTTGGGTGACCCTGATTGGGCTGATGTCAATGTTATTGCCGATGCCTTCAAGCAATTTATACGCAGTATTCCCGGTTCTTTGTTGACACACACATACTATGACGAGTTTATTCATGCCTCTGGTACGTACATCTATTTTCATCACGCGCCCGTAGACTTAGTTCATGTCACTAATCATCATCCATAACAGCATCCGAAGATCATGATCAACGGGTTTATCTCATTAAACAAGTTTTGAAAAAGTTACCAGAACCCAATTATATCCTTCTCAAGCGACTCATTCAGCATTTTGTAATGTACGTACCAAATGAATATGCCATTTCCTATAGCGTGTAATGCTGATACAAAAATATCTAGTGTTACGGACTTTGAAGCGGTCAACCATATGTATGCAACGAATCTCGCCATCGTATTTGGACCCACATTGCTACAACCAGCACCTGGACCGGCATCATTTGCAACAACCATGTCCAATCTTGGTCATCATCAAACAATTGTCAAATACCTCATACTGCATTATCACTACTTGTTTGACGTGGAAAGTGACGAGATGGAACACGAAGAAGGGGATGATGAAGAGCAACATGGCGATGTTTCCTCAACAACCACAGCTAACCAACAACTCAATGATGGTGATGGCAATGACGATGATGGATCCAAGATATCAACAGCAAGTAACATTGGCCGAGATCAGTGAAAGATGATACAACACATACACACAACGCACACAACACACATACACAGTTAGCATGATTCTGGGAACTTTTATATAACCACCTACCCGACCGCGGCTGGCCCACGGACTCGTTCTTCTCCCAATAATTACGTTATTTGCATTGCTATTATTCCTGACATTGATTTATTGATCTACACAATCATGATGGGTTCTTTGTGCCGATACAGAGGAAAAGCGTGAATGAAGGGGGTTACTTTTAAACAATGAACACCATAACCATCAACCAGATTACGGGATGTGGAGAATGATGATATTAGAGTTGGGATGCTGTGAGAAGAAAATTTGAGTTAACATCTATGTATCAAGGCAAATGATGATGGGGGGCGGCGGGTAAGGGGAGTGTGCACGGTGGTATTTACAGAGCGGGGATCGACGTAAAAGTCGTTGCTTATCCATAAATGGTTGGTGGTTCTACTCCCTGGTCTCAAAAGTTAAGCTAACAATCTACACGAGAGCAGCCCCATCCAATAATGGCTCGACAAAGTGATAGGATCGTCGAGTGGGAAACGGAGGTAGGTGTGGCAGATTATGTATGCCAAGCAACAATGTGTAGCCTAACCTATCCATATAAAAAGGACACTCCTTCTTCCTTGTCCCTTTCTTCTCATCATCATCTCCCTTCCTTTTACTTGATACAACCAACATTATGGATATTGCTTCAATCATCAACCCGACAACGCCAGATGACCCTTTCACCTATTGCAGCTCAACGTCTAAACCTTTCTTTTTAAACACTACTATGGGCTCATCATCAAACACATCATCACCTACAGACTCGGTGTTTCATGTATGTGTCAGCGAGTCAACATGCCATCGTCATCCTCCTAGTGTCTTACCAAAGAAGCAACAACCTATCCTTGATGAACGAGTACCTGTACCTCCGTTACATGCTATGCCTATCAAGAAACGCCCTTTACAGCATCCTGATAACAATGACAACAACAAAGGAATAAAGCGCAGGAAAAGAGGACTTGATGATCCTGTGTCATTGGTATCTCTCAGCATCCATAAGCCAAGGCGACGTACAAACAAACGACATCCTACCACCAAAAAAGCGGAGACAAATGCCGCTCTTGCGTACGACACGATCGATCCTGAAGCACCGGAATCCAAAGTATTTGATGCAAGCTGCTGGATCCCTGATATCCACGTTTTCGATGCCAAGCCTACTGTCAGTGTCCGATGGAAAGGTACGTACGCGTGGCGGTGTCATTGATGGGTGAATGATGTTTCTCTTAACATGTTTGTTTACAGGGACCCCATTGGATATTCGATCATGCAAATATTATGAAAGGTTGCATCCAGGCGAAGTGGCCATTGCTTCTACATTGCGTTTATTTCCAGAACAGTATATCCGATGCAAGCGTGCACTCATTCTTGCAGCCCAAGATGCCTATAAGAATAACACACCATTTCGTAAATCAGAGGCACAAAAGCTATGCCGTATCGATGTCAACAAGATCAGCCATCTTTGGAGTGCCTTTGGTAGGCTTGGTTGGCTTGGCCCCAAATGGCCTGGCAGTAACATGATCAACAACAACAACAACGGTAGTGCCACATTATAAAGACCAAATCCATTATCATCCATCACATCAACGATGTACATAATCACCCTTCCAACTCGTATGCTACCCTCCAAAAAACAGCACATGTATATATGCGCGTTGCTACATCTCCTTCCACAGCAGTATACATAGTGCACGTTACGTTGCATCAACCGAATCACACACAATGAACAATCCTTTGCTGATCTGCATGTCGCTGTTGGCGGTGTGTAACCACCCAATTGAAAGGCTGATACATTCTTGGCTGTGCACCACCAGCACTTAATAAACAAAGGTTTCAACATTAAAGGTGTTCCATGAGAACATGCATGTGCGTGTGTGTGTGTGCCATTGATTACGTTTCTCGTCGGCGTTGTTTTTGGGAACGATATCCGAGTACACGGAACGAATGTCGATCTTTTTTAATGTGCAACAGCAATGGAGGAGTATTAACAAAGGATGATAGTGGATCCCTGATGAACATAAATGTGCCTGAAATTGTAGAGTAAACGAGGAAAACAAAGGTAGACGGCAAGCTCATCAATCCAAAATGATGTGAGTGGAGAATAGGAATCGTGCTAAGTACTGATGATGTCGTACACATATTATCCTTTCGGGGCTGGGTGCACAATACCTTAACCAACCTATTTTCTGGTTGCTTTTTTAGACCTGTTTCTTTTTTTTCTCTCTTCCACACAAACACTTTCACACCTAATCATGCGAGGTGGCAAGCGGTTGATTGCACTCGGCACTGTGCTTCTTTTATTATTCATATACACATTTTCGACGCTTGTCACCAACAAAAGCCATTCTATATCGTCATCCACATCATGCCAAGGCGATACAACACGACGACTACAATTGACTCAGCCGAATCTACCATCATCATCAAGCAAATTGTCATCATCAATCTTATCCTCGTCTTCGTCTTCACCTTATTATCTCAATCTCAATAATCTTAATGCTACATCCAAGGCACGTGAACAAGGCGAACATCTTTTAGTGCTTACTCCATTGACGAATACCACACGTGCCAAGTCATTCCTGGAACGTTACTTTGAGCTACTTGATCGATCCACCTATCCGAACCATCTCATTTCTATTGGATTACTGGTCACTGAGAAATCGCTTCTTGATTCCAATACGTTCATGCATCAGATACAGCAATGGCAAGGAAGGTGGTCAAACGCCTTTAACGATATCCATGTTTATGAGCGCACTATGCCAGATTTGCATATACAAAGTGATGGGCCGTATCAACGATCGTTAATGGCTAGAGCTCGCAACATTTTACTCACAGCAGCCTTACGTGAATATCATAGCTGGGTCGCTTGGATAGACGTGGAAGTCGTCGATTACCCGCCCACCATCTTTGATGACTTGATGCGTGCCAATGTCGACGTTATTGTTCCCAACTGCTTGCTGCAACGAGAAGATCACGTGTTTTGGGCCTATGATAGGAACAATTGGGCTGAAACCGATTATTCACTCGACATGCAACAAAGGGTTGGCCAAGATTACATTATGATGGAAGGTGAGTACTATTGATATGGGCCTCAATAAGGCTTTATTCTAATCATCTTGAACTCTTTCATATCTAGGATACAATGATGTTGCTTCTGGTCGCTCTCTGGTAAGTCTCAATAAGCTTCACTCAATGGTCACACAAAGTCAAGGAAAAATGGGAGATTCTCACATTTGCTGTTGCTAGCTTGTTGACATGCCAACGCATCTTGGACCTGAACATCGAGTACGCTTAGATAGTGTTGGGACCACCTTTACCCTTGTCAAATCGCATGTGCATCGAGAAGGAGCCAATTTCCCACCGTTTGTATACCAACATGAAGTGGAGACTGAAGCTTTTGGCAAGGTGGCCAATGCAATGGGGTTCTCAGTATACGGCGTACCTGGTTATACAGTTTATCATGCAGGCGATAATACCAACCCACTCTAATATGCTCGCATTTGAAATACAATACCATGTACTGTAATCATCCCTCACTTCCGGATACCAATACCACAATTGAAAAACAAAAAAAGCTGATGTATGTCGAATTTATCGATGATAAAAAACATTGTTGGTGATGTGTGTGTTGCGGACGAGAAATGTGAGTGAGTGTTTGTGGTTGTCTCTAAAGGCTGCTTTGTATAGGATGGATGTATCTTGTTCTTACAAATCGGAGCGAACCTTGAAACCAGGACCATAAGGCTCCGAGTTAAGGGTAGTGTAGACACCAGGAGCAGGCTCACAAGTATGACGACCGGTTTGAGGACCAGCCTTGATGGGCTTACCAGCCTTGATGTTATCAAGAAGCGCCTTGGTGGTCTCGGGAGTAAGATCCTCCTGTTGATAGATAGATAGATGATTAGAAAACCTCCCTCCTCCCCATACATTATTATCTTTATCCCAATAAAACTTACATAGTAATCATCATTGATGGCCATCACAGGAGCATTCACACAAGCACCAGCACATTCAACCTCGACAAGAGTGAAGAGACCATCCTTGGTAGTCTCGCCGACGTTGATGCCGAGATGTTCCTTGATGGTGTCGAGAATCTTGGTAGAGCCACAACCACCCAATTGACAAGGAGTAGTAGTGCAGAGCTGCAAAAAGTTCTTGCCAATAGGTTCTCTACAATCCATCCATGTATGATTAGTGGATTTGATCTCATCGTTGACCTTGCAATCATTGTTGTTACCTGTTGAACATGGTGTAAAAAGTGGCGACTTCGTACACACGCATAGGAGGAACTTCGAGCAAACGAGCAACTTCGTTCATGACAGAGATGGATGTAAAGCCGTGTTGTCTTTGACCCAAGTCCAAAAGAGGCATGATAGCAGCCTTCTTGTACTGAGGAGGATACTTCTTCAAGATCTCTTCAATACGCTTCTTGTTGTCGGCATTGAATTCAAAGGGAATATTGGGATTGTTCTCGGCGGTATCGCGATGCTGAAGATATAGTGGTGTAAAGAGTAAGTTTCGATGGGACTTGTATGTCTGTGGATATTATTCAACATACCACAAACAGCGCGTCTGACAATGCTGCAGGAGATGAATGGATGGCTCGACGAGTAATGACGTTGCGCTGAATGGCTGCCTGTCGAACAAGAGCGCGTACTGGATTCATGGCTGCCGAATGAGGAGAGGGGGGGTGGATTAGGATCACTAGTGGAGCTGACAAGAAAGAAAAATAGCACCTTTGGCACCTACTTGGTCGTGTTTACCCAACCTTGCTCGACATGTCACCCCCGTGACTGTGATGTCTCGCCCTCTTCACTCACCTTCTTCCCTTATTGCTACTACATTCTTACACTATCCCTGTATCTATATGCTACCATGTTGAAAGGAGTTCTTGATATGCTTATTCAGGATGCAATAAAAACATTGTATGTTATAATCGGATGTATGGATACCATGTCAAGTGATGTTGGTTTGTCTATTTGATGTGGCGGTATATTACATTTTCTTTCCGATAAGCGTTTCTCGTCTTGAATGTCACACGGGTTATCATGCACTGTGCTATCCATTCATAATGCCAATCATGACGTCAACCCATTATTTACTTTCTCAATGCTATGATTGAGGTAGTAGTTGTTGATGGATGCAATCATGAAGAAAAAGAAGTGAATGTCCGTCATAGAATGTTAAGTTCGCCCTTCATCTTTTTCCTTTCATAGTAGATGATTGATTGCATCGATCTAGGGTTCTCGGGGTAACTCAAAAATGGTAATGAAGAAGGTTTTTGGGATAGTAGGGGTTCAGGAACGATCATAGTAATATAGTAAAGCACCTTCTCTCTCTCTCCCGAGCGTCTTGTATGTACGTTGTATGCTTCATTGAATATCCAGGGGCTGTAATCCTTATATGATTCATCTCCCGGATTCTCAATTCCCCCACTGTAAGAACAACACCACATCCAATTGAAGATTCCTTGTATCTTTATTGATAAAACAGCAAGAAAACGCTGCTTTGTTATGCTATTGGAGGAGTGGTATAGTAGTATTATAGTATAGGAACAATACACATGATGTAATCAAAGTCTATAATTTCTTGGCCTTCATTTTCCGGTAGTAAGCGGCAGTGCTTGATGATTGATGCAATTTAGCATGAATCACGGCACCTATATACAAAAGGGAGTAAGCCAAAATGCACCAATTGTGCAGGATTAATCTCCCACTGCATATCTTTTTCTCTCCCCATCATGTGCATAATCCTTCCTACTTCTTCATTACCTGCTTCATAAATGATCCAACAAAGCGTGCCGCAAAAGAGGTAAAAGCCGGCTCGTGGTACAGGTGTCAACTTGTCCAAAAATGGGTAAGGCCAATGTCCATTTTGTGTTTGACATAACCATGACCAAGCCAAGTAAAACATAGCGAACCCATATATCACAGCAACATGTCGAGGCGAGCGTTTGAAATTAATGTTGAAAACCAAGAAATCGATCCATAAAAAGAGCGCCGGATAAAGATGAAGGGCACAATCAACAACGACTGGAATAGGAGGCATGTCTTCTGGAATAAGCAGGGTTGGCTCGAGAAACACCATGGACCAATACAATAAGCTGATAAGGCCTTCCATCTAAAGGGGGGAATGAAATCAATAAAAAAAAGCAAACGCACATGTGAGTACATGTCACTCTTATGATTTTTGCACATGAGGGAACCAAAGACGTGTCTCATCCCTCACGTTTAACGTGCTTTTTCCTCCTCCAATTGGCCCATGCTTACCGGTGTAGCGATGTTTGTCAAAACTTCATAGCACACTACGTATGATGGTATCGACGCAATCAGCATTATCATCTTCCAAAGTCAGCCACATGCATGGTATCTTCATTACCTTCCATTGCACCAGGGACAAAGAAGCGTACCAACTTTACAGCACATGCGAGTGTAGCTGTTGTAAGGCCAAGGATTGTCAAATACTATACAGCAGCAGTAGTAGTGATAAGTAAAAAATGTATCAAGGATAGATGATGATATGGTTTTCATGCCGCACTTGTACACGGCCAACCCTCCCCCCACCTGAAAATGACCACCAAAGCCCGTTGCATAGGGATTCTCGTAGACAAAGTTGGCAGCGTACAAAGCCATGAGGTTGGATATCAAGCCCACGCCGTTAACGAGGGCACTTCCCCAGGATGCATTTTTCATGGCCGAAAGTAAAGGTAACAGCAGAGAAGGGATAGCAAAGTGGAGAGAGAGAAAGAAACAAGAAGAAGAAAAGAATGGAAGAAAGCCCGAATCTCATTTCTGCCCGTTGCCTTTCAAGGGGTGTTGGGCGCTGCTGCTGCTGCTGTGCTGCTGGATAACCCTCCCACTTGACCAATAAAACAGCTCAGCGCATTCGGATGACTTTTGCCCCTCCCAATCTGTTGCAGCCCGTCTCTTGGCTCACAAATTGGTTGTCATTCCTATTATATTGCGTTTCGATACCACATGTACACACACACGCACACACTTACATACATACATGTATGATATTGGTGTTATCCTAATGATGATTGAAGCTTGGCTTTGCCCATCTTGATATGGAAAATGCTTCGATTGGGGATATGATAGTGTATGAGTGTAGAGAGAGAAATGGATAGATTCTGCATGTGAACAATAAGGTGCCTCTCTTGTCGGCGTATTACACCGTGTGAGCGATACCCAAATCCGGGCAGACAGCTTCCCTGTGTTATGTGACACCTTGCTTCCAATGCACACACGTCATTTGCTCGGTACATCTCGGGTACCTTTTCAAGAACAAGTACACAAGATGTGGTGGTGAGCAACACAGATGGATGTAAAAGAGGCTATTTTGAAATTTACTTTTGCCAAGCTATATACTACCAATATTGGCGGCATGAATCACGGCCTCAGCTTCATTACTAAGTAACCAACCCCATGTACTATTTCCTCTCCGCCGATCTCAGCAAGTGCAATAGTACATATGAAAAGGCGATTATGGTCAGTGCGTATGCAATGGAAGTGGACGCATATTGATGGGTGATTTGCACATGGCTTATTTCTAGTTCCACAACCCTGTATCCTGATTTTGTGGGCACGTCAATTTCCGCACACAAGAAAGTTTCTGTTACTGCTGTTGTTGTTGGTGATACTGTTACGTCGTAACACCACTAAAAGATGATCAAGACCTATTTCTCTGTTTACTTGCATACGTAGATAGATGACGGAGCAGCGAAATAGAGTTTGAAAGTCGTGTTTATTTATTACTAACAGGCAATTCTAGGTCATCTGGTATCTGGGGATTGCTGTAGAATCATGTCAACGTTGTTGTTGTTGGAGAAGATACTAAACAATGAAACACCAAGCATATAGGTAACCCAACAAGGTGTCTCCAAAGGGAGTCTAAGCATTGTCGAGATACAAGTTAACTGCTATCAGGAATGAATTCCATATCACCTATTGCACTAATAAATAGCGTCAATTACGTTTACGTCTTTTGCTCTGGAATCATCTCGAACCAACAAGTCCGCCGCATCAATGATCCATCATTGAGATCAATGCTGTCGGGGTCGAAAACAGCTGCTTTGCAATTGGATGGTGCTCATCTGCTCAATGATAGCAAACTCTCATTTCGATGGATAAACCTCCTGTAATCATGTTGTACTTTCCAATTACACCGGCTACTGAAAATAAACCCAAGCCTTGTTGCTAAACGACATCTTCTTGAATTAGCTGTCCAATGTAGCCGAGCTTGTATATAGGTGCCTTAGAAGAAAGAGCTGGTCGACTTGTGTACAGCGAAGCACTTGTAATGTAAAACAAGAGCAATCATATATGAACAAGTAAAAACAACAAGGGGCGTAGAGCAAACAGACTTTTGTTGCATTTGTTGTCAGCCCCCATTATACCCCAAGTGGCACATTGTATAGCAACTCAGATCGGTTGTTTGATATGACAAAGGATCCATCAGGGATAAGGTAAAAAATGACATAATACAACAATGGGCACATCCAGTACTAAGACAATCCTCGATGCAAGGGACCACACAAGCTATCTATCCTTGAGGTGTGCCGAAAGCTCTCAATGTAGTATGTAAACGTGGATATAGATCCAATAGGCGGAAGGTATGGATGATAGTAATTATGGTGACAGAAGCTTTGCTCTTATGTGGTGGATATACAAGAAAAGGTGTCGGCTATAAATGTCTAGGATTATTTTTGGTTGTCGTCGAAAAAATTCAAGAGGTTGATCCAATTTGTCTGGTTGGCGACATTTGCGAAATCTGGTGTTGGCCACATCGATCGTCGAATTTTCACACAAGACGCGGTTGACCATGCTGAGCAAATTTGTTCTATTCAAAGCCCCAGGCCTTGATTGTAACATTTGGAGATATGACTGCCTTTACGCTTTACGTATGCTGTAAGCGTGATGCTATATGACAGGTGGTCTTTGTTCCATATTAATCACCTCTACAAAGATGCAGATGGAGTTGTTTGTGTAACAACGAGAGAGCAGATCTTGAAGGCTCAATCCCAATTGGCGGAGAGTGCATGATTGATCCTCCCCTTGCTGCCTGCCTATAGTAAGGACCGCCTGTGATAGCCAGTATGCAATGGTTTGTTATCATATAAGGCTGGATAGGATAGCGTAAGCTGAAAATCGCCATAGTTGAGCATGGTATGTTCATGTACTCATGCCACATTGTATCACAGAGCTCACTCTTTCTTAAACGTAATGAATTAAACTCACAATGAAATAAGAGTCTGCAACAAGCAATACCATGTTGTTGGCACCATCACTCTCAAACTTATTATCTTTGGAAGCTTTAGCAAATGTGATAGCCTCGTGACAAAAAAAACAAAAGCATCTTGATACGATGATGTAGATGATCCACTCTCGCTTGCGACCTTCAAACTTGTATTCCCCTTTCAATCCAGAAACCAACCAAGTGATCCACATCTCGCACATTTGAGCTGATAGCACGTTACCCTTCTAACATTATGTTGGATCCAATTTTCATTCAATGAACAATTCGAAGAATAGCACATGGTAGAGTGGATGTTTATAAAGTAAATATGATAGCAACAGCATTGGGGGATTGAATAAGATACGGGTGAATCACATAAAGTGAATAGGGATCATTGTGCCATTGTATCCTTGGTGGGTGCCGTCATAACCATCCTTCATCCATGATTGCAAAATAGCTGCTGCATGCATTGAATCGAGTACTCCAATATCATCCATGGCTGTACAACACCCTTCGTCGATTCTATCCCATCCATCGTCATTCTCAGCGGTATCCGCGTGACACGATCCATCGTTCCTGCTGACGACGCGCCCAAGTAAGCAAAGCAGCATTCCTGGATTTCTCATCATTCCACTTGTTTTTATCCTCCATCCACCATAACCACTGTAAGTCCATAAGAAAGTACCATCATGTGATCGCTGCTGATATACTTCCTTTTCCATCCTGCTGTTGGTCTGTCTCTTTCTTGGTCATTTTCCATCGTAAGTCAACCAGGTGAAGATTGCTTGTATTGCCGTGTATTTGATATCTGATAAAGCATCATCCATTGGAATTCGTATATACCAAAGCAAGTTGCTGCAAGTAACTTGAGACCATCGAGTAAAGACCTTCCTAATGGCAGCCGCTGTTACTTTTGGTCGTGGCAGAGGGGTGTGCAAGAACGTGTGTTGCAATAAAGTGACAATGTTGTGAATGCTATTTGAGACAATGAAGTAAAGACCTTGCTAATGGCAACTGCTGGAATGGATACTGTTACGTTCGGTCGTGGTAGAGAATTGTACATGAGAAGGAGTGGTATCAAGAAACGAGGGTGTTGTGGTGGGCTGTACACGCCATGAACTTGCCAATCAGTCAAAGGCAATCGGATCAAGACAATCGGATCAAGACAATCGTAGGGTTGACATGATGGGTTGAAGCAAGGCAATCGTTCGCAGGTGGTAGTTGTGCTTGAATGGGGCAACGATTGAGAATGGGAGGAAGAGGGAAATACGCTGAGAGTGGAAGAAGTGGAAATTAAATAGGTGGACACCTCTTGTATAAATGCATGACCACTGTACGTCAAACCTTGATATTGAGATTGCCCCTCTCGTACCTGAAACTTTCACACAAGATGCTCTTGTGCATGCTGATCACGTTGATCTAAAAAAGCCCTCATGTTTCATTTGAAAATTTGGAACGGGCGGGTGCAATGTGGGATTTACTAAGTCGAAAATGGAGGTCAGCCCCGGATTCATGATTTATGGAAAGCATCTATTATCTTGGGATTCCCCATCTCGAATGTGAAACTGGGTCAGAAGGTTCGCTGAGTCATGCTGATCTACTTCATTCATTTAAAAGTCGCAGACTTCATTGTGAAGATTTAAAATGCGGGGGGCGTCCAAATGGTAGATGATGGGAACAAAAGAGCGGACGGCCCACCGCCCCGAAGTTGCCCACTTCCAACTTGGAAATTGGTCACAAGGGTGCTCTCGAGCATGCTGATCAACTTTTTCTAATAAAGACCTCACGCTTCATTCGAAGATTTGAAATGGGAGCGTCCAAAAGTTTGAAAGGCGGAGACATTCGCAGGGTCTGCGATTCATTAATTTTAATGTTTGCTGTTCCACCGTAGCTCAGTCAAATCGGCTCGGATCAAGAAACTTGAATGATGGAAATGCTCGGCTGGAGCAGGAGAATCATTCCCATGCAGTGGATTTAGCAAAAAAGGACAAATTGGAGGAAGGGGCTGTTAGCTGGCAGTTTATGAGCTATTGTCATGGTATGTATTATCATGCATTAATCCTTTCCAGTACCACCCAATGAGCTGTGTTACACAAAGAAGCCCGTCTGCATCTTTTGCTCTATCATAGTCATACTACTTTACATTAAACAAAGACCACTTCTCATATAGCATCACGCTTACAGCATAGTGAAAACATAAAGACGACTGTATCTCTAAACTTTACAATCAAACGTGGGGTTTTTATTAGAGCAATGTGCTCGGCTTGGCCAACTTAACCTTGGGTGCCAGTTTCACGATCAAGCTTGCCAATCCCAGATTTCGCAATGTCGCCACCAGCCAAACTGGATGTGGGGGTCGACCTCTTCGACGACGACGACCAAAAAAATATTTTTTGGGCTAGTTGCGACATTGAACGTGAAACTTTCACACAAGGTGCTGTTGGCCAAGCCGAAC